GAAAGTGGATATGAATAAAGTGAAACTGTAGAATTAAATTTTGGATTTAATAGTGGAACTGATCATTTGAAATTGTAAACAGCAAATCAAGAAATAGATCATAGTGATAAAGTGATAGATTCATAAGCAGATAAATAAAATATTCCATGGATGATTGAATTAAATGAGTAATCTGATATTAAAATAGAAGGAGTAAGTTCATATGGTTATGGAATGTGGATAAGATTCAGATATTATGGAGCAAGTATTCTCTATAGTCAACCTAAATGGATGGGATTGAGTAGATTGACAACCAATAAAGATTATAGAGATGCTGATAATGTTGGTGATAGAGTATTAATGATACTATTTGGAAAAGGAGAAGATGAAAAATCATAAGGAATATTCTAATTTTCAACTTATACTATAGGTTAACCCAATATCTTCAGTAATCTATAATATTAAATGGAATATGAATCTGAATGGGTTTATATTTATTATAGTTATAAACGAATATCTTAAACTTAAGGTGTTGCTATGGGATATGCAGGAAGAATGGATATTGTAGATGAACTTAAAATAGATGCATTACATAATCCAATCAGTAACTATGCTCAACTTACAATTGGTCATAGTGGAAAATATTATCCAAACTTTAATGGACAGTTGACAGGTATCAAATTTAGATTAGGAAATGGTGCGTTTGTTGAATCTAAAAATGATATATTGTAAAGAATGAAGAATACAGACATAATGCCTACTGTTCCTTATGATGTCTCTCATAAATATACCATTATTGATGGAAAAATTGACAATTATAAGGTTATACCAAATAATCCCTAAATGATTGATTTTCCAACTAATGAATATTCTTTAGCTTTATGGTATAAACAATTCCAAAAAATTAATGACAACAAAGAAACCGTTGTTCGAGTTACTCAGAATCCTGTAGGTAAAGTATCTGATTCATCATGGGTTGGTGATAGAACTCTTGCCTTTTTTAAAAATAATAAAGATAATATGGAATTTTCCACTTATACTTTATTGAAAGGTATGAATTTTGGTATTCCTTATAATTGTTAAATACCAGAACTTAGTCAACACAATTGGTCATTCATTTATATGGGATATAGTAAAAGCAAATAAAAGTTCTATTACTATCTTTCAGTAGATGAGTATATATGTAAAAGTGAAGAAATTATCCTACATGCTATAAGTGATAGACTCTGGATTTATGTAGGTAGTGATAATATCCAATAAAGATTTGAAGGCAATTTAGCTTAAATTGCACTTACAATAGGTCCAGGTTCATATACTAATAGTAAAATACCATTTTTAGCTGAATATCTTGTTGCTGATAAACTATTCCCTAAATAAAAGAAAGTTACATGGGAGAAGAATGAATAAATAATGTTAGTTTCAGATGGTGATGAAACTATAAGTTCTCTGAAGGTTGAGTTATTTAATGGGTTTCAATATCCATTTGATTAAATGCAAGAATATGGTTTTGGTATGTGGACACGTTATCTCACTACTATTCCTTAAAGATAATTAACAAAACCTGCTCTTATGTAATTAGCACGATTATCAATAAATAAATAAACTACAGATGGTGTTATTAAACCAGGAGACAGAGTTCTAGCTACTCATATTGTATTTAATTATTATTAAATATCAACTTATGATCTCAATACTGATGCTGGAATATAATAAAAATTTGTGAAATATAATTAATTAGAAGGTATCTGGAGATATATTTATATGGGTTACAGCAAAGATATTGAGACTGTCTCATGTTATACTTATGATACAACAATAACTGAAATGAAAATAGACAAGATTTTACATAAACCATTAACTGATTACTTATTATTTAGAATAGGAAAGGAAGATACAATTACAGGTTTTTAAGGAAGTATAACCAAAATTATGTTATCTATTGGTCCTGGCTCTTACATTAAATAATAAGATTAATTCAAGTCTTAAATAGATACTACTTTCTCTTTACCATTTTAATTGACATAAGAATATATTGATAAGGAAAAGCATGGGAAGTTTGAAATTATTGAAGATGTTAATTAAATTGATATTACTAATGGAATACAATTTGAAGGTAATAGATGGAGTGGAATCAGTGAATATGCTTTTAGTGGATGGATTAAACCAACAGGTACAGGAAATACAGATTGTTAATTAATTTTAAGATTAACTAATAATAATGTTGAAATCTTAAATGATAGAAAATCTTAAGGAGACAGAACCTTACACATTACTATTTGTAATACATAATTGATTAAGTATTCAACTTACACATTAGTAGATTTAAAAGATGCAAATGAACCTAAATTTATGGATGGTTAATTAGAATTGAATGATTATAATTATGCTTGGAATTATATCTATATGGGTTACAATTAAAGAACAAGTGAGGTTCATTGTTTATTGCATACATTAATTGAAGATAAACCAATAACTTGGGAATAAATATAACATTATGTACCTAATTATTTGGGATTGTACATTGGATAAGATAAATTTACAAATAAATTTATTGGATAAATGAATAAATGGACAGCAGCATATGGATAAGGTGGTTATGTAAGTCTAAAGAAGAATGGTTATTAATAATAATTACCATATTATGGTTTGGTTTAACCAAATAAATAATTCTAATGGAATTCAAATAAAGATACTGTATTATAGACACCTGAATTTATTGTTTAAGAATTTACTAATGAAATTGATTCTGTAACTGAATATGCTGTTGGTATTTGGACAAGATGGTTAACAGATTTCCCTGATCATTTAGTAGAGAGAAAAGAATCACATTCTATTTTTAGATTAACAGCTAAAAGAGAACATTAAGATAAATCATAAATATAAGATAGAGTATTGAGTGCATTTTTAAATAAGGGATCTTATGATTTCAGTAGTTATGATATAGCAACTAATAACTTTGCAGTAAATAGTTTAGTAGCATATGATTAAATTGAAGGATCATGGAATTTTATATATATGGGATATAAAGATGGATAAACAATAGGTATAATAATTGTAAGAGATACAGCTAAAGCTTTGAAAGTAGAATTAACAACAAAACATATACCTTTAGTGGGATACGCTAAATTTTTAATTGGTGTTTCTGAATTTGGACATGGACAATTTCATGGTTGGCTTTTTGATCCACGTTTATATTTAGGATAAGGTAGTTTTATTAATGAAAGTCAAAAAGTTGTAGATTTACTTCAAAAAATTCATCGTAAATTACCATTACCTGCAGTTGATTTGGCTGATTTTAAGTGGACTATTCCTTAAATGGATACAACTGAAAATATAAATGCTGATGTTATTAATTATAAATTTTTGGATAAATAAGAATCTGTTGAATATTCATATGGAATGTGGATACAATAATCTCCATTATTACCTGGAATGCCAATAGTTCCTAGAATCATTTCCAGATTATCAACTAATCATCCCTAATTTATGAAAGACTAACAATTAGGAGATAGAACTCTACTTGTTAGTATATTGAATGATAAATTGAGTTATAACACATATAAATTACTTGATACACCAGAATTTGAATAGAAAGTAGAAGAGATTTAAGTTGAATAATTATAATGGACTTATGTATTTTTCTAATACAAAAAAGGAAATGCATTAGCTTATGCTTTATAAGTTAAATAAGCATATCAAAAAAAGATTGAAGCCTTACATGTTATACCAAATGTGTTTTATTTTTATATTGTAAAAGACTAAAATTTCGCAGAATTCTATGTATTATGTTGTTTGATTTATTTTAGGGAAAAGTTAGTGATGTGAAAGTGTACTTTGGCTCAAGCAGTTACTTCGAAGATCCATAAGTTACAATAGAGAAATGGCCATTTGATAAGAAATACTTACAACCTGTTTCTGAATCACCTATTAATAATCAACAAATCACCTCTGCTAAAATATCTAGAAACATGGATATCAAAAATGAAAAATACATTGGGGATTATTGATTAAATATGATATATAATTAAAATTAACCTAGTTTCACCCAATAATGGATCTAAATGATGATAATTTTGAAGCATTACACAATTATCCCTAAAAGGTTATCTTTGTTCTTATAAGTCGTATTATTGATTTAGCCAATCTTTATGATAATAGAAACGGGATTGTAAATGCATCATACTGATAATTCTTTACCTCATCTAATAATTTTGTTATTATTCAGATAGGATTTACTACTCTTAGATTAGAATTTCAATTAGACTCAACTCTATTTGATTGTACTAGCATTCTTATTATTTCAAAAAGCATTATAAATTCCTATCACTTTTTACCTTTATTATATTAAAGACAGAGCACTCTCTTTCTAAAAGATTGATGAATCTAATTTAATTTAGAAGGCATTAAGGATTCTAGCTACTATAATGTAATTATAATTAACAGCCTTACATTTGTTAAGTTCAACATTTTGCATGATGAGTCTAACATATGCAATAAGAAATGGAGATTAATATATTCACTTATTTCTATCAACATTCACATACATCTTATGGTAAGTTGAATATATTTTCACATTTTCTCTTTGTAGCACACCACTCACTTATAAATATCACTATTTAGACATAACAAAAGTAACTATACTGCATTACATTATTTATTCAGTCTAATAATTGTAAATTATAATATTTTGTGTTCTTTAAGACAATCAAGAAATTAGAATTGTAAACATAATTTTATTATTAATTGAAATAATTTCATAACTTACTAATTAGTTCATAAATCACATTTATATTTATAAGGAATCTAGATAATTACTATATTTTATAATTGCATTTAAAATTACATTATCTTGCTATTACTTTCAACCTGTTGTAAATTCTTAATATTTGATTATTCCTATGCTCATATATCCTATAATATTATATTCATTTATTACTCTAGATTCTGAAATTAATAATAGTCTATTTGCAAATATTTTCAAAGATTCATCATCTATAACTCTATTAATTCATCAATTAAAAATGATCTTAAATCAATGTGATATCAATATCAAAATGAATCCCTTAAAATCCTCATTAATCAATAATTTTCATCGTAAAAATTGTGATAAATCAGAATGTATTTGCTCTAATAAGTTATACATTTTAGAAATTTCATAGGCTAATGCAATTACTTAAGCAATTCTAAAATAATTTCTGAGATCCAGAATAAATTACATAATAGATACTAAAAATTAATAAAAGAATGCTTAAATAAATGAATTATTATTTATACAAACTTTATTTTATTTTGATTTTGGATGGTTGACAGATTGTATTAAAAATCTAACTCAATTTTTGAGTTGTTTTGAAAATAATTAAAATATAATGATTAAAAATACTGTTTAATAGACTAAAAATTTAGAGGATCCATAAAATGAATCATTTACAAAAAAGGATAGATCTAATTAATAATTTCCTTAATTTATTTATGTTAAGATATAGTTAGATATGACTTAATATTGTAGATTAAATTATATTTTACACTTAGCTAAATTTAAATTAAAATCATTTTTGGGAACATCAATGTATGCATTTTAATAATTAATGGTTTCTGATTTTATAATATCTTTTTTGAATTATGATAAATGTTTAAGAGAAATACAAACTTAAACTTTAAATATGATACATGAGAAAATTAACTTTTATCATTCAATTATGAAAGATGAGAAACATAACCTCAATCATTTAGCAGTTGAGACTACAAAAATTTGTATCAATTTAAGTAAAATGAAATAGAGACTTAAATAGATTTATGATTAATATCCTTGTAAAAGTATGTAGAGATGTTTATGTTTTTTTCAAAGTGAATTATTGAATAATTATTATGAAGCCAATAAAACATCATCAATTACATCCATGACAGATGATAAAATTTTTAGAAATAAAAAAATAAGAAATTATGAAATATAAGTAGAATAGACAGCATTTATAATTTTATCAATTAAAGGAGATTTAGATGATTTCAATATTGAATAAGGTTCATCTTTTCTTTTGTAATTAATAGGTTATGATACCTATAAAGATCTTTAATTCTATTAATTATTACCTACTTTTATGAGACATTTTCATCCAATAATAATAAATAATTTTTTTATAAATGGTTAATCTCGATTTTATAAAAGTTTTAATTAAAGTTTTATATAAACTAAAACTGGACTATTGAAAACAGTATTTTTAACATATGATATCACTAAAATAATATTAAATTAAAATTTAGTATTTGCTGCATTTTTACAAGAGTTACCAGATTAAAAATGTTTTATGTTATCATATGGTAGTAAAAGAAAATTAATTTTTTCTGAAAACTTCTTTTAAAAAATTGGATTTGATTAAAAAATTATATTGAATTTACCTTCAATTGTAATCAATTCTCTTAATTTACAATATCTAATTCCAAATTTTCCATTAGATCATTCAGAAACAGAAACTTCTTAGATTAATACTGAAATGAGATTTTTAATTGATAAAAGATTGAAAGAACTATAAATAAAAGGAGTTGATTTAAGTGAATATATATTGGATCTATAATAATGGGAAAATGAAGATTAAGTATGTTTATATAACATATCTGTAATGATTACTAAACGATTTATTGAACAATAATCTTATCTATTAATTGAATTTTCATCAATAACAAGAATGACAAAATTTTCATAAGATGTCTCTAAATTTTAGACTATTCAAAATATTGATATGAATTCTCCATTTAGATCTCCTATTATCTAATAAAGGAAAAATTCTGTTAGCATAGGTTCATTAATGAATTTAAGCATAGAAGCATAAGCAAAGAAAGTAAAAGTAATGGATATAAGAAAGAAGGATATTTAAATGAATGATTTATCAGAAGATGAAGTAGCTTGTAATATTGCATCATTTAGAAAAGATGAATAATAAAATCATGCTCCATATTAAAGTTAAAGATAATTATTGTCTGAAAGAAAAAATGATACTTAATAAGAATTTTTCAATATTGATTTATTGAAAATGGATTCAAATATTAAATCATCTTTAGAAATTCAAAAATCATAGATTAGTAAAAAGAAGATAGATTAAAATGATGATATTTAATCTTAATAATCTTCAATTGGAGGAGTGAGAGAATCTTAATTGTTTAAGAAATTTGAAATGATTGAGAAAATTATTAAAAATAAAAAGTTTAATACTATGATCATATATATAGTTTTATTGATTCTATTAACTATGTTTTGGATATCATATACAATAGTGGTTGTGACTGCTATGTCATCTCAATTATTATAATTTATTTAAGAAATAGATATGATATCTTTACATGCTAGTATAATGGGACCACATGATATGTATTTATCAATAAAAGTAACAGTATCAGCTTATCAACAATAATATAGAGAAAAGTTTATAGATTAAACTACTTTATTAAAATTGATTGATCCATTATTTTAATTCAATGCTCCTTATTATTTTGATTTGTAAAATAGTTTTTTTAATATTTTAAAGAATGATCATTTAACTGAATTTTTTATTGATAAGTATGAAACTGTATATTTTATGGGTAATAATGATACAGTAATTTATAGCCGAAATTTGTCATTTAGAGAGGAACTATTAGCAATAATTAATGCATAATATTAATTTAAAAGAATTTTTGATGAACGTAAGAATGCAGCAGGATAACCATGTTAAGTATTTTAATTTGCAAATTATTTAAATTTATAAGATTAATTAGAATAATTAACAGATGAAATTTTAGTATATTCTAAAACTAGAAGTATATCTTCAAATGATTAATGGTTAATTTTATGGATTATATATTAAATTACATCTTTTTTATTAATAATTGCATTAGTTATTGTACGTAAAAGGATGTTAAAAACTTATGAATAATTATTAAGTCTATTTTATTATTCAGATAGAAATTCATTAGAATAAGAGATTTTAAAACTTAAACATTTACATTAATTGATTACTACTTAAAATTAAGAAATTATTTAAAAATATGAATTTGATTTTAAATAAAGAGAAGATTTAGTTAAATAAAAGAAAAACAAGGTTCATTAATAAAAGATTGAGAAACATAATTTAAGAAAAAATAATTAATTACCTTAATTTTTAACATTTTTAAGAATATTTATTATGTATGCTTATTTTTTGATTTACTCTGTTGTAATTTATGATTAAACAAAAAATTATCTTGTTAAATATAGATAAACAACTGATTTTTATAGATTAGTTTAGGATATGAGATTTAGAAGTGGTACAATATATGTTTATAGAGAAATCTTTTTTAGATGGTCTAATTTTAGTTATTTAACAACAAATGATTTAGATCGTTTATATTAATTAGTTGAAAAATCATAAAATATAATACAATAATACTTAAATGATTAGAGTGATCTATAAAATGATAATTATTTACTTTCAGATAATTATATCAATTTTATTACACAAGTTGAAAATTCCAATTTGTGCAATTTTATTGATCCTGTATTTATTTATTATTATTAATTTTAGTAATACATTAATCTAACAATTTATTGTTCAATTTCTTTAGATGGAGTATTACTTAAAGGTATGATTCCAAGTTTAAATTATATATCTACTGCTATTAGGAGTTAGTAAGCTATCAATAATTTTACAAAAAGAATGGAAGTACATTTTTATGAATTGGAAGGTGCTTAAATAATATGTTAAGTATTTTCTAATGTATCATAAAAATTATAATAAGGAATGATCGATTTGACTCATAAATTTAATTACACTAATGAAGTATAAATAACTATATATATATATATATAGATTCTATCTTATATATTCCTTGTAACCTAATTGTCCATATCAATTGTTATACTAACCTGTTTTAAGAATTCTTTGATAAATGAATTCACTATGTATAAGAAATCTCTGTATCTCATACCTATTCAAGTATTACTAGGGGATAATTCTTTGGAAAGAGCATTAAGATAATATGAATTCACTGAAAAGATTTGATTAAAATAGATTGTTTATAAAATTGTCATAATTTATAACCTAATTTCAATTCAATTTATTTTAAGTACTTTTCAAATATGTCATTTTGGAGTATATCTTTATATGGGATCATGAAAACACTAAATTTCATCATTTTAAGATTCTACTTAATATTATTATAATAAAATAATAGAATATAAAAACATATTGAAAATAGAGCTAAAAGAAAGAAAATTGATAATAACTAAAATAATAATAAATAATTACTCTATTTTAGAAATTAAAACTTTCAGTTTTAGAAATAATTCCATTTTACAATTTCTAATTCATGTTTGAAAATACTCTACTAACTATTTAACCACCTTCAATTTCATAAAATATGTCTTCAACTCTATTTGTAAAATTATTGATATCTTATTAATTTTTAATTGTTAGATGAATATATGTAAGAGTAGTTAACATTCCTTTAATTAAAGATCCATCAAGTGCTTTTAAACAATATTATTCTAATATTTAAGAATATTATTCATCCAAATAATTACATATATCAGTATTTTAGACTTAATTAAATAATGTTAGAAAATCTTATGAAATAAGTAAATCATCTAAAGTAACACGTGGAGCCAAATCTATATATTCTAAAATAATATCTTAACCATTATCTATGAGATTGTACAATTTTTATCCATCAGATTTATTTAAATATTGTTATTATTCCCATTATATCAATATCTCTCTATATATAAATAAATTTCCACTTCTAAATGATAAATCAGCTATCAATTTATATAATTATTATGTTTATAAATAAAGATTTAAAAAATTCTGACTTGAAAATATCACAATACAAGAATATACTAAATATAAAACTAAGATTGTTATTGAAAATATAATAGATTTTATTTTAGATGTACGAATTAGTATTTTTCTTTTTGATTTTCGAAAATGCAGATTTTCAGTTTTATTATCAATTTATTATTTCTCAGTTTATTAATCTAATTAATAGGAATTTATTAAATCATTATCTGAAATAATACCAGAAATTAAACTCTTTTAATTTTCTATTTCATTTTTTAAACTTTATTCTTAGATATGGGTTACAATTTCCATAATTGTATCACATTATAAAGCTAGCATTAATCTTAAATAATAAATTAAAAAACAAAGTAAACAACATACAATTAAAAATGATATCCATATTATTCTCCATTTATTAATCATCTCTTCACATTTATATATAGAATATGTTAAAATATCTTATGACATTTATTCTAAATTATCATATAAATTAAAATAATTAGAAAATTAGAAAACTTAACAAGGACAACCTTTCATTTAAATTCTATTATCCAATATAGTTTTATAATCATACTAATAATTTAGTAATTAATGTAGAAATTCCCTAAATGTAATATTTTTAGACTCAATTATTTAATCAGTAGTTCCCATAAAGTATGTATCTGTATATAAATCCTTAAAAAATTCGCTAAGATCTGTTTCCGATAAGGATGAATACAAATTCAATTTAAGTTCATTATAACATATGTCTATTATAGAATAAAGAGGTTCAACTAAATCTATCTATTATTCATAACTTATTTTATTTTAAGTTTATAATTCTTAATAATAATTAATTTAAGATCTGATGCCTAGATATCTATCATAAGGTGCCAAAATATTGGCTTAAAAAGATAGCATTTCAATACTTTGAATTTTACTCAAAAGATCAGATTTAAGAAGTGATAGTATAAATATAGAGAATATACAACACACAATCAAAGTTAAAAGTAAAATAAATAATAGAATTTATTATTACTAAAAATTAAAACTCGAATAAAATCTTTCTATTGATTCTAATCTCTAAATAAATGATGGTTTTCTTGAAGAATTCAAACTTGATTCTGAATTCATATCTAAAATTAAATCTAGTTAATTTTAATTTTATGATCTAATCTAATTGCTTGAATGTTATCCCATAGAAGCTAAAGGAGATTAACAAAAAAAGTCTTATTACTAAAATACATTCTATTTTTGTAATGTATTGATTAATTATGGTTGTTATTCAATCAAATTTAATTTACTAACATCATTTGGTGTGATTAAATCTTTTTGAAGAATTCCTTAAAATTCTATATTTTTTGTAACTTCTTGTTTCATAATCTATCTACTTTCTTACTTTTATAATTCAGATTCTTATTTATAATTATCTTCTTATAGTGATAGGATTAAGGAATCAACATCAAAGACTGCTGATTCATCATTATTTTTATATTGTAAAAATGATTAAGGATTTCTACTATATTAAGAATAATCAATCTAATAAGCTGATTCGATTTCAATAATATAATAGAAGAATCCAAATACATTTCTTTTCATTATATATAAATCTACTTAATACTCTTTTACTAATTTATTATTCTACCAAATTTTAGATAATTATTAATTACCTCCTTAAGATGTTGATTTAGTTATTATATCATTAAAATTGCATGAAATATCTAAAAATAAAAATCTTTAGTTATCAAACTTTTATTCAGAAAAATCAGTTTCTATTAATCGATTAAAATTAGGAACTATTTAATTTATTTCTATTTCATAAAATGAATAAAAGTTATTAACACTTTATATTTATTCAACTGTAAACCCAAGCTTTCTTAAACACATAAAAGTCATTCCTGATAGTAAACCATTAACATTTACTAATAAATATGCTTTCTAATCTATAACATCTTATATCACAGCACCAAAAACTATTCTATTATCACTTAAAAGAGTGGTAGTATCAAAACTTTATTCCATTTATTTAGCTAATCCATTATCTTATTAAATAAATGTCAAACTTAAATTTCTATAAAATCTTGCTTAACCAGTCTAAACAAATCTTTAAACCAAAATAGGATGAGCATCTTTTATAAAATCAGGTAATACATCATAGAAAATTAACTTTTTCTCATCATTTGATTTATTAATAATTTTTAAAAAATTACTAGAATAAGATTTTATTATTAAATTCTATAAATCATCTTATAATTACAATAATATATATCCAATTTTATTAGAATAAAAATCTATTGTTTGATTTCTATAAATGAATTTTTCATGTTAAATATTATTAATTTATTTAAACTTTAGAGCTTTCAAATAACTATTATATATCTTAAAATAAAAGAATATTATTAAATGCCTTAATTTGGCACTCGAATATTTATTATAATTGTTTAATAAGGTATCTTCAACATTAATTACTCTTTTAGAGAATTTACTTATCTAATTAAAAACCTGATTTCCATTAAGATTTTCTGATTTCAATAGATAACAATAGAATTCTGTTTTCATTTTAATTAAATTAATAATCTTTGATATAACTAGGTTCAAATCAAATTCATTTAGTAAATAGTAGAATATACAATCAGACATTTAATGCTATTATGGATTACAAACATATGAACTAAAATTTTCATTTAAATGCATTTATGCTTGAATAATTCTATATTCAATTTTGATAATCTCAAGATTTGATATTTGATAATTTTTACTTCCAACCACATATTTTTCATCCTTTTTCTATTATATATTGATAATCTCCTAAATCTAAGAATCAATAAAGCTTTTCTTACCCCTTCTTTAAGATATTAGTGATTTTTCTTATGAAATTACTCTCCTTCTATGATAATCATTAACTTAAAATATAATTCTATTATAATTTTTGATAGCCATCAAAATGAAACCTTATCTCATAAATAAAGTAGCTTGAACAATTTCATAAAAAGCAGCATCAACTTTATTTTAATTTTAATTAGAATAAATTATTTTTTTAATGTGATTAATTTTGGTATAAATGAAGGAATTAAAAATTGGATCTGTAATTATATTTGTTTAAGAAGGATTCAAGACTTTCTCTATTAATTCTTTGCATAAGCATGTAGGATCTTTACACTTAAGTTTATGTTGAATCCAAATAATAGTATTTTATATAGGAAGTATCTCATTTTAATAGCAATTATTGGATATCTTCATAAGTTAATGAACATAATAATTTAAATTTGTTGAATTTTCAAGGAATAATGAATAAATACTATTATATTAAAATTGACGATCAGCATAGATTATAACACTTGTAAATAATGGCCAAATCAATATTGCATTATTTGTAAGATCAATAAATTAAAAGAGAGTATATATAATAATAATAGAATTAATAATATAAAGGATATATCTTTGATATTGAAAGATGTATCCTTAATAATGCAATTAATTGAAAATTTTAAAAATAGCAATAAAAAGTGTTATAATTTGCTGCAAATAATTCACCAAAATATTTTAACTTGAAATTCCAAAAACAATAATTTATGATATTTGCTATATATAAATTAGAATATCAAAGGTTGACATTAGAAACTGTTCAAAAGCAAAAATTTATAATGTTGTTGATTTTTTACAAATAAAAATTAATGATATTGATTCAGCCTCTAAAAGCAAAAATATAAGAATTGAAAAAATCAATAATACAATGTAATTAGAGTTTTAATTTAAAATATTTTACATTGCTTTATTAATAGTGCAAACAACAAGTGTTTGAAAAGGATAATGTAATACAACATTAAATAATTACTAATAAAAGGATGTAATATTGATTAACATCATTTGAATTGGATTAGATTTATTCCATCTTTTTGCATATCTTAAATGTTGATTGTTGATATTTAAATAAGTTATGAATTTCATCATTATCATTAATAAAACTATAATGTAAGGAATGGCAAATAGTATTTAATCTGGTAAATATTAAAGTATAATTATCTCAGGTCTTAGAATATAGAGTATCTTCTTGCTTGAACTAATTTCATGAATATTTTTCTAAAAATACTCATAGGTTTGAAAATATAGATAAAATATAGTCTAGCTCATACTCATTATAAATAAAAATATTTTGATGGGTTCATAGCAATAAAACTAATCGTTAATTTGTAACATAGTTTTGATGAATTTATTTATGAGTTAAGAGTCATCTTGTTTTTTAAATTGCTACATCTTTTTAATTTTTGTAAGGTCCAATTAATTAAATTAATAAGAATAAAACTTTTGCCAATCAATAAATGTTAGGATATAATTGGTTGTTTGGTGTTTTAATCAATATGTAAGATAGAGTAGAATGATGTAATATAATTATTTAAATATTCAGTAGGAATGCAAATTATATTTAAGATTAATATTCACATGTTCTCTGATACATATGTCTCAATTAATTGCTAAAATAAATTCTTAACACCTTCTCCTGTTTTAGCAGATGTTTCATAGAATATCATATTATTCTACTTAGCAAAATCTGTAGCCTTAGCTTTTGGTACTTTTCTTTCAGATTCTAAGCAATCGCACTTATTGCCTACTAAAGCCAGAGCCATTCCTCAATTATTTCAGTCATTATTACCATCCTTTTAAATCTTTTCTTCTAATTCTTTTAGCCAAGTTGAAACTGATTAAAAGGATTCACTTTGTGTAATATCATATACAATGATGGCTGCATTTGCATCTCTATAATATAATGAAAGTAGAGATCTAAATTTCTCTTCTCCTGCCGTATCCCATAAATGGATCTTTAAGTTTTAACCTATGCATTATTAAATTATATCAAATACCTTTTACATTCATCTCTACACTATTATACACTCCACCAATTGTTATTTCATATTCAGATTGAAACTATTATATTTTTAAATGGATTTATATACCTTATCAAAACAGAATCTTGAAGCAATCGAACTCTTTCCTACAGCCTTATCACCAAGCATTACAACTTTAATGTCCTTCTTTTATCCAGGAGTATTTGATTTTGTTTTGATTCCTGCCTTAGGTTGATTCTTTGGTTAATTGTCTCCACAACACATAAATATTTATATAAATTTATAGAATTCTTAATTTCATAACTATTCCCTAAACTACCTAATTTCTAAAATTATATTCATCCTAATCATATTAAAAAGCTTAATATACTCAATCCAAAATACTATAATCACAAATTTCTCAATTCAAATTATTTCGATCTCAAACACTAATGTAGATACACTTAATTATTTTAGATTAAATTCATTGTTTTCAATTGTATTAATGAATTTCATTCTTATTTATGCTGAACCTAAATCTAACTAAATGATTTATACTTGAATTCATTAACAATATATTTTTATTAAATTATCACATACAATAGATCCTTATTTATATTTAATAAATAAAATTGTCACGTTTTCAAAATCAATATATTCATCTGAATTTTTCACATTTTTACTTATATCTCTTGCAAATTTAATCTTCTTTTTGTAAAACAATTAAGAATATTAATAGAAGAACTAATATATTTGGATAAAATTAGTGGTATGAATGTAAATAAACTTTCATTAATTTATAATATTAATAGTATATTTTATTTTGTGTAATAAAATTATTTGATTAAGATCAATTTTATATGTAATTGTAATAAATTATAAATCTTTTAAGCCTCATTAATATATAAATGAAATTTATTGTGCATTATGATTACTTAACATAAATGGTATTTCCAATTAAATGTGATCTAATTTTTAATAATTTATTTTAAATCTTTTAGATAGATTGTAAATTATATAATATTGTTTGTACTTAAATAAAATTGGATATTTAAATTGTTTATGATATTTTTTTAGATATTTATATAATAAGAAATACCTAGTTGATAGAATTTATAGATATGAATACTAGATTAATAATAATATAATTTTTATCCTTAAAAATATTATGAATTCATGAATTTTTATTAATGTAATGTAGTTACTGTTCATCTTTAAAATAATGTATATAGATATGATTTATGTTTTATAATATTTTATATTTTTATTAGATATATTTTAGTAATAACATAATATAATATAATCTTAATTAATTTAATCAAGATAAATCAAATATCTTTAATAAATTTAAAGTTTTCAGGCTCTCTTAATGCTCTTAATAAGTTTTATCTATATTTGAGATGCCAAGCTGTGTTTGATATTCTTGAATTGTAAACATATGGAACAGCCTAACTTTTCAGAAAGTATTGACTATATATATACATTTAAAAATACCTAATAATTCTAAATACCTTATTAAATTCAGGATTCCTCCCTGTGTCTACCCATAGATCTCTAAGCTATTTGATATTGGTCATTTAATTCTTTTTATTCTTTAATAAAGCAATGAAACTATCATATTATTCATTAGTCATGAATTTTTAAATTAGTTCTTTTTCGTTTAAAATATAAGATATAATAGCCTTTGAAAAATTTTTAGTTATATTCTTGGTATCATTGACCTTAGGTCCCTTTTTCTTACGATTGATTCTAAATGAATCTGAACTTTCTTTAACAGGGATTCTCTTTCTTATACGTTTTGCTAATTTTTATTCATTTCTGACCTCTTTTGGCTTTTTCTAACTACTGTCTTCTTCTTCTTCAATTACCAGACTTTCACATGAGCTAACATGTCTTAACCACTTCTCCTATTCTGTGTTGAAATGCTTTTAAGATTAGATTTGTTATGGTTATTCTAAAGAGGATGGATTCAATGTGAATGGTTAGGTTATGTTTGTTTTATTGATTTTAACCTATTTATCCAAACTGTTATTTGATTGGCGTGGCAATTCATTTTGGTATTGCTAATGTAAATAAGGATAACAAGATTGAATAGGTGAATTATAGAAGAATGGCATCATAGAAGCAAAAAAACGACTTTAAGATTGCAAGACATCAAGTTGTTTTTACATTGATTTACTATCAAGAGAACTATTTACAAGTGGTCCTACAATTTTTTAGTGATTTAACAAGTATTCATTAGTTCCATCCAATGACACTCTTGATGAAATATCTAATGGAGTGAATGGAGTATTGTAAAATAGATTAGTTTAAAAGGGTTGATCAGTTGACATCTATTAGACCTAAGGGTCTGTTGAAGTTTAAACTTTTATGAGTGGTCTAAATTATCTGAGAGGATCAATAGATGCTTCAACTGAAGGGATATCGGAAGGTTTTGCAATATAAGGTGTAAATGATTTGGCATTCCTTTTGATGCTTTCGGACATAATTAATTCTAAAATTAAATAAATAACAAAGGAAGAAAATAAATAATATTCATATTGTTTAATAACGAGTTTATTTTAGAGCAATAATCTCTTTTTGCAAAGAGGCAATATACTTCAACAATACACGTTCTCTATTTTTGTAGGAATCCAAAATTAATCTCATCCTATTATGGATTACTTAAAATTATTTATTGAGTCTTTGATTTTATGGGACTTTTTTCTTTGTTGTATTTGTTTAAGAATCTGCTAAATCAGAATAATCAAGTGATCTAGTAATCTAATTAGGGTCAATCAATTTTCTATAAATTTTAGATGATTGCTATATAGTAGGTTATTGAGATAGGGCAAGTTTTGGTTTCTTTGTATCAATACTCTTAAATCTAAGTATATTAAATTTTATTTTACGGGTTATGCAATAAATAAATTGCTTAATTTGGAACCTTTACAGGACCACTATATTATGATTTGGCTCTTGCTTCTGGTACTCTCTCAGATTCTATTGTTTTAAAAGCCCATTCTGATATTGTTGCATATCTCTATTTGACCTTGAATCTTATATCCTCGTCATAGTTCTTTTTTTTCATCTTTGCTATTTACTTATAAAAATAAGTATTGAAATAATTATTATAGTCTTATTTTGATTACATGTTGATTTTTCATCATAATTATATTACATCCTACTCATTATTAAGAACTTATTATAGAAATATCAAAAAACTAAATCTAATAAATTATCTTAATAGGAATAGATAATCTAATTTATTAATTATATTTTTATTAATAATCGTATTATACATAAATAATATAATATAGAGAGTATACAAATTTCAAACTGATGCATATTTAGAATCAATAATAGTTTTATTAAATTCTTTTTCTCTTTAAATTAAAGGGAAGCTGCAACTCATATTTTTTATTTTATTTTAATTTATTATTAAAATAGTTTATCTTGAAATTAATTTTAATTATAAAAACAAAATACATAATAATTTACTGAAGTTGATATATTATTCAATGAAGCCTGTTAAATAGAATTATTAATTATAATCAACTAGGATGAATTAACATCTGAAACTTTTGGTATAGAATTTTAATTTCTTACGTTTGCTTAATCTCTTTTTTTATAATTATATATAATATATGAAATAACCAATTGAAAAATTTTGAAAACAAGAATATAAATCTCAAAATTTTATATTTTTGCTTCTCTCTATCTTAGTTTCTTTCACGCGTTCTATTATTCTTATTATTATTATTTCTCCAATTCATTTTTATAAATCTTTTTTAAATGTGTATTTTTCCAGGATTCAATAAAATTTAAAACTACACTTAAACCACTAGTACTTGCTGAAAGGGATCCTGAACTTACAGTTGCTACCCACAATGAACCTCTTGTTAATAAAAATTGCCTAGCCAAATTAGCCACAACTCCAACTTCTAATAAAGCTAGAGATGTACCACAAGTCGCTATTCCTGTTATAAAACTAGTAGCATATCCAGTGTACTTCCAATTTTTATAATACTAAATGGTTTATTCAATCATTTTAAGGATTGTTTTAATTTTATTAACTAGGTTATCAATTTTAATTTCAAAAGGCGCTATATTATTATTTTAGCAATATTTTGATATTGTTAAAATGGATTTCATATCTTCAATGTATAATTAAAGGAAAAAATCATTATGTTTTAAGTGGTGATTTCCCTTTACCCAATCAGATATACCTTTAAGGATTTATTCACAGTTTTCCTATGTTATTTAAGTATCCTATGTTATTTATCTAAATAAAATGTTTTAGATTTTTTGCATTTATTCTTTTTTTTAATTAATAGTATCATCACTTTCTAAAATATATTAATCTAAATCTTCAATTAAAAAATTTATTAATTATTCTAATTTCATTTTAGCTTTAGGTATGCATTGTTCATAAAGCCTCCAAACTTTATCATCAATAACAAGTTTGAAAGTTGGATGAAATCTTTCATTTTATTAAAGTTAATTTTATAACTTTTAAGGAATTGAATCAACTAAATTTTTAATATTTTTAGTTATATCCTTTGATGGTTTTGGGAATTCAATACATCTATCATCATCATTAAATAATTTTTTATAGAAACTATAATCTTAATCTAAATACTCTTTATAAACCTCCTTCCAAAATTTCAAATATTGATCCCTTGATCCATCTTTAGCTTTTGTTAGAATTAAAATTGTCCATTTTTTAAAATCCTTTTCTAAGGCATTTTTATTTTCCAAAAGATCGCTTATTGGATCAAAAGTATTTTTAATCTACTCAATATTTTGTTAGGAAATGTCAACTACAAAAAATACAATTATATTTTTTGTTTTGCTGAGGTAATTGTATAAACTTATCCTATGTGCAATTCTCATTAATTAATTAGAATTATCATCAAACCCAGGACAATCAAAAATGAAACATTTTTAAGGGATTTTACAATTTTGATTTTAGTTCTAGTCCAATACTTCTTCAAGACTAAAAACATTTGATTCATCTTAATCAAAGAATTAATTTAATTCTTCCTTTTTACCTATGTAGACCCCACTAATTTTTTATGTTTCACTATTATAACCTTCTCCAATTTTAAACTTTGTCTCCATATCAATTCTATAACATTTTTAATCTAGAAATTCTTCTCTAACAATTTTATGTGGATTAAGAAGTGAATTAATTATTGTAGATTTTCCTGCTTTTGTTATACCTATAAAATATATTCCATTTTCAATTTCTTTCTCTGGTCCTTTTTATATTCTCTATGTGATATATTTTAGTTCATAGAGAGTATTTTCTAATGATTCATGACAGTAGGCACACCATTATTTAAGATTTAATTTTAATTTTTACACTTCACAAATTTTATCATTTTTTATTTATGTATTAAGATATTTAATAAAAAATTAAATTATGCTATTAAGTTTAACATTTAGATCATCACTAAGTAAAGGTTTAATTTTTAATTATTCAATTTTATTATCTTCCTTAAATTGTTTCATTTAAGGACTAAATACTTTTTCTTATCTTTTATTTATCATACAAGCATTAACCTGTTTATTCACCTTATTAATATATTTGTAAACATTCACAATTTAAGAAGCCTTTTCAGTTAGAAGATTTCTTTTATCCTCAAAATCCTGATATAATTCTTTTAAATAGTTTTCAATTTCGTTTGTAGCATCAGTATTATAAAAGAGGATTGGCATCTATTATAAGTAAAGAAGGAGTTATTAAAATTGACGAATATTAAGATTCAACTATTCCTTTAAAGAATCATACTATTTTTATAAATATGTTATCATTTTTCCATAATTGATGACATCTTCTGATTTTACTTTGGTTACATTTATTATATTGCCTGATTTAATGATTGAATTCAAAATTTCATTTTAGCCAACATTCTGAGTTTAAATTTATTATTTCTATGAAAAATAAGAAAAAAATCCATTTGATTTTGAAAATTATAGATAATCCCATCGATTTTCTACTTGATGTCTTAACAAGAAAAAGTTATCTTCATTAAAATAATAAGATCCAAAATAAAATATTGAATCTTTAATCACATTATCCAACTTTGCCAAATCATCATCTCCTTTTATTTATTAATTATCTAATATTAAATTAAAAGAACATTTTTCCATTTATTTTAATGCCATTTCAGCATAAATTTTAGAAATACATAAATTCTATGCTATTTCATCATTTTGATCATCATATAATAAGATCATAGGAAAATTTAATAAATAATAAATTTTTCCTTAATCTTCTACTTTTACTAATTTATAGTATTTATTAACTTAAATGACTTATTTGGTTAAAAAATGAGCATAGAAATTAAGAAATTATAATCCAAATTCTCCCAAAAAGATAAACACAGTGCTTTTTTATGGAATTTAAGGGAATTCATCTTTTATTTGACTAATAATATTTTTTTAATTTTTAACAATATTTATGATAGTTTTTGCTAATTGTGATTCTTGTGCTTCATTTGGTTAATATTAATCCATATTATTATTATTGATGAAAAAATTGATTTTATAAACTTAAATATCCAAATTTCAGCATTATAGTTAAAATCATTTTTTGTTTTTTTTTAAATTCTATCATATATTATATAAATTTATTAGATTATTTATTAATGTGGAAAATAATATAAAAATAAAAATATGTTAAAAAGTATATAAAAACATAAGATATAAATGCTGTAAGAAAATTAAAGTTAATTTTATATATAGAATTTAGCATAAAGTTTATTTGTTACTTTTTTTCCAAAAATTGAGAGAAACTTTATTAAACAGTATTAATAATGATAAAAATATCTCTCAAATAATCATCAAAACATAGGATTCATAGTCAAAAATTAAATATTATTCAATTTTTGGATAAGATTGTTTATCTTGAAGTAACATTTTGTGATATCAAATTAAGAAAACTGTATTAAAACTGGGAGAAATTTGTTTAGATAATTTTTATTTTACTAAATATTATTGTAAATAATCATTAATCTGTTCGCAAAGAATTCAGAATTAAAAAATTTACACAATTCTTAATACTGAGGAAAATAAAAAAGGAAGGAAAGTTCCCTTTATAAAGTAAATATTAAATATAATTTAATTCCATATCTAAATTATATTTGATCTGAAATTGTTTCAATTAAAAAAATATATCAATAGTTGTTTTCAGATGCATCATTAATTTCAATAAAATGTAATTATGAAAATAAATCTAGTCTACTTTATTTAACCTTAAATAAAAATAAACTATTTTAATAACTGATTTGTGAAATAATCTCTACGATTTATAGACCAAATGCTTTTTGATTTATAACAGATATTAATTCAACAGTACTTTTTTAAAAATTTCATTATCTAAATTAGATGTTATGATCATAGATATTAAAATTAATTAGAGGATATATCACACTATTCTATACGAGAAATTTGTAATCCAATTTCAATATTCTAAATTTCTTCATTTGAAAATTTAGATACCACCCAATTTGATGAAATATTTATACAAAATTTACATATTCAAAATGCGTATGATTAATTTTATGATTACTTTTAACTCTCTTTGTCTTTACATAATATTTATTTAACCTAAATATTGTATCTAGAGTAATTCTATTTCTATACAATATTATTTCTATTTTCTGATGTTATTTATGAAAGCAACTTATGATTAACATAAAAAATGTTTACCATAATCATAATGGTACCCTATCAATTCTAACTAAATAAATTAAGGAAGGACACAGAAAATTAAAAAAAAAAGAAGAAAGATATAAGGAATTATCAAATTCAGAATAGAATTATTCTTTATTAACAAGTGTATTTATTAATCACATTTATTAAGTGCCCCCATAAATTTATAGCTTCAATCAATATATCTGTCGAGTGGAATTAAGTTATAATTAAGGTAGAATTTATCATTCAAATTATATAAACATTTCTTATATTTTAATAATAAAAATTTAATCAAAATAATAGAAATAATGAATGATATCAATAAATAATAATGAAAGTGTTCAAAAATTGGCCCAATGAAGTCAATATTAGAATATCATAAAAGTGAAGTCTTACAAGGCTGATCATTTTTGCATGATGTTTATCACTGATGATTTATTTTAAATAAAATTCTAAGAAGCATCTAAAGAAGACTAGGAAAAATTTATAATTCAATCTCAATCCTACCAATTTTTTAGAATATTATAAATTTAATATATGAAATCTAATAGGAGATATAAAGTTAATAACTAAAAATTTATGTAAAAATTTTGGATTCAGTATATCTAAATGGGATTATAAGAGATAGTAGAGTAAATTGTAATTTTGATGATTTTATAAATAAATTATGATTATCAAAAAAGCAAAACTAGAATAGAATAGATTATTTAAAAATAATAAAAATAACCTATTTGTTTTCCAAATACTTTTTAAATTCAGATTTAATGAACTAAATTTGATGATTTTTCAAAAGTTTTTCAATAAGACTTTAAAAAAAATAAGGCTTAATTAGTCTCAAGATTATCGATTTATGAAATTCTCTATAGATTTAGTAAATGATAAACGTTAATAATTATTAAATTTTCAAATATAAATATTATAAGTATGCAAAAAACTCCAGAGAAGCAAGAATTAAGTTAGGCTCTGCTTTTGTCTATCAGTTAATATTCATGGGATAAATAAATTAGATTAACAACGGATGAAGATGTATTATGTAGTTATAGTAAATTCTCAAATGATCAAGGAGTATGATATTAATTATTAAACTCTTTAGAGTTATTGTGAGACAAAGAAAGATCAAGGAAATGTGTTCATTAAAAAATGCAATCAAGTTCAAATTGACGATGTATAAGGCCTAGAAAATAAATAATTATTATTAATCTTGAGAGAAAAGGATAAAAGAATAGAAGAATTAGAGCACTATTAAGTATGGTTGTAAGAATAGAATGAGAAATTGAAGTTGAATTAGCAAATGATGATGTAAATTTCATCTGAATATTAGTGAAGATTAATCAATGAATTAATTGCAAAGAGATTCAGCATCAAAAAGACATCTATAAAAAATAGAAGATCTAGAATTGCAAATTAATTAATCAGAATAATAATATCATAAGAGTTTGAAAAGTCTTGGATAATTAGAGAAAGAAAATTCTACTTTAAAAACTAAAATATTTGAATATGAATAAAAGTTATTTTAATAGCAACATCAATAAAAAGTAGCTGAATAAATAAATGAAGTAATTTAAAAATAATTTATTTTTAGTAATAAAAATTAAAATATGAAGAACAAGAATAAATAAATTAATCTAAAATTTATGAACTACAATAATACATACAATCCTAAGAATCTTATATTCATAAATTATAAAATGATGTAATTCTATAACATAATTTTTGATAGGTCTAATTATCTAGAAAGAATTCTAAAGAAAACATTAGTAAATAATACAAGTCTGTAGTTTTGAGAGAAAAATCACCTCAATTAAATCAATATGATTAACATTAGATTAATAAATTCGTTGAATGTATAGTTGATATGGTGATGAATTGTACTTTGAGTCAAGCTTAAGCTAAACCAAGGTATTAATTTAGTTAAATTATATAGTTTGAAAGAATGTTGGAAATGGCTTAAAAATATATTAGAAGAATATATGATATTGAAAAAGCAAATCCTTTAAGATACCAATAAAACTCATTCTACCAAATCTAGTTAATTTGTAGGTAAAGAAATCAATGGAGAGAGAAAAAGAGATCATAGTTTTTTTAATGACTTGAATAGGAGATTTTAGACATCTGTTGAGGATTCAGAGAACAAATATTTAAGATCAAACACTCTCTTAAGCAGAGTTCAAAAATGAATTAAATATTATTGCTGGTTTTAATTAAGATTTTATAAAATATAGATTTATTAAATAGAAAGGATTATATAATAAAGATAACTTAATTGTAATATAATTATTATAATTATAAATTCAAAATTGAATTAAGTTTCAATTATATTATTTATTGACATACTTAAAATCAGATATTTTTTTTTGTATATCAAGTTCTTGTTTATAAGAAGAAATATTACTAAATTATAAACATAATTATTATACCCAAAATTGATATTATTTTCATGATTTTTAGTAGTACTAACCTACTGAATTTCATTATTGAATAGTTTTTATTTAAGTATTTTTATTGATTCTTCATTCCTTCTTGTTATCTATTCCAATTATTCGAGTTTTTAGAGAGATTAATATCCATACTAAATCTTAAATTCAAATTTACATCCTAATATTTTCTACTTTCCGAAATAAAATCAAATAGTTGATTTTATATATTTCTATTGAACACATCCAATTCATCCTGCCTTTTTTTTATTTTAGAAATATCCTTCTAAATCTTATTCATTTGAAATTCCATCCTTCTAAAAGAGTCTTATTATTCAACATTTGATTTCTTTTTTTAGTCCACTTTTAATAAATTGTTCAATAAGAAATTTGATAATTCTATTTTTTATTTTTCTTGACCATCGATTTATTATTAATCAGATTTATATTTATAACTGTTCTATTTACTATTGTTATTATCAGTTTTTTTTCTTTCTGGAGTTAAACTTGATGAGATATCTATTTTGTTTGATTAATGGAGAATTTAGCTATTTTTCTTTTGCAATTCATTTGTAAAACTTAGATGCTTTTTTTTACTTTAACTATCATTATTTAATGTTTTTTATGCTATTTCTTTTATTGGATGACTACTTTTAATCATGTATTAAATTGATGAGATGATATTTGTGCAAGAATTGGAATTTATTAGATTTTCTTTTTGATCTTATGAATAGTTCTTCTTTTATGATTATAATTAATCATTTATACAATTCTTCTTTTCAGAATGATGAGATTATTCTGTTGAAGAGCCAACATCAGTCTATTCAGGAATTTGGAATAACATATTACCAAAGCTTTGGTTTTTGTGTAAATTTTTATGAGAATTTTACTCAGATACTCCAGTTATTTTAGAACTTATTATTTATTGAAAATCATTATTAGACTATGCTCTTCTATGATTGTTTTTACCCTTATTCATTCAAATTCAAAAAATAAAAATTATTGATTTAATAAAATATAATACATTTTTGGAAATAATCACTGAGTATAGCTATCTTATTAAAAAATTAGATATAATTTAATAGGAGCAAAATGAAGTTCCATTATAATATAAATAAAAAGAGAGATTGTGAATAAGAATCTTAATAATTTAATTTATTAGTTGAGTATTAGTTTTTAAGAAAATGATATTAAATAAATATTAAATTGAAAATCAATTAGGTTTTCATTTATCTAGACAATATGGCTTAAAATACAATTCTATTAATTTTAATGCTTATTATAATTAATGTAGATTAGTAAAATAAAGTGTAGAAATAGGCAGAATACTTTTTTTTTTGAGATTGTATTTAAAATATATATTTTGATTATTTAATATTAATCTAACCATAAAAAGGAAAATTTAATTTAAAAATTTAGAAGAAATGAAGTTTTCAACATCTTAGATAATAAGCAATTCATAAGTAAGATCAGAATCACCATCATTCTAAAAAATGTAAGCATTGGCAGATAAATGGACTTAATTAAAAGCAGGAATAGATAGAGATAAATTTGAAAAAAAAGAAATTATTGATGCATCTCTCTAAAAAATTGATAGCCTATTAAATTATGATAAAATTAAGGATGAAGATAGATTTAAAGTATAATGTACAATAATTCACTAGGTACTAAAAGAATAAATTTTAAAACTCAGTGATCAAATTAATAATGAAAAATTTGGAAAAGAACATAATGTTCGTTATTAAGAATAGCTATAACAATTTGAGGAATTAATTAATAAATAATTAGATGATGAAAAAAATGTAAAGTTATTTATAAAATTAAATTAGAATAAGAGAAGAGTAGAAATGTAGCTCTTGAAATAAATAGAAGACAGATTTGAAACAGTTCATGGAATGCTTGAAAAAAATAATTCAATATATTATGATAAGTTGAATAGATAAATTGGAGATGTAAGTAATTAATTAAAAGATCTAAGATATACAATTGAAAATGAACAATAAACAAGGTATTTAACATATTATAATCAGATCTGACTCCTAGGCTCATTTAATAGAATAAATGGATCTAGAGTTAAATAAGTTTTAGGAAATGATGTCTATAGAAAGGACTGTTAGAGAGGAAACTGAGAAAAAAATATATTCTATGATTGAAGAGGTACATTAGAAGATTCAGACAGAAATTCAGGCTGAAAGGTAACAAAAAGAAAAGTCTCACGAAAGTATTCTAAGATTATTAGAATAAACTTGCATCAAAATAGATGAAAGCTTTAATTAATGAATTATAAATAATTAATATTATATTATTTTAATCCATAATAAATGTCATTAAGATATTAATTTATATGTTATTCGAAGTGAAATTTTTCAACAAAATTTAAACGTTTTAGTTTAGCATTTGATTAACTTATTAAATTCTAGTAATTTAAAAAAAAGTTAAGAAAATAAATTAGTATTATTTTAATAAAATTTAATAAGTAATTTAAAATAACTATCAGAAAGTTTTACTATACTACTGCTTCCACTCTTCACATTCTCTTGATTTCATCTATAATTAATACAATATGGTTTTATTTTATGTTTCCAATAATTCAATTTCTGATTCCATCTGTCTTTTCATTTATTCGAACTGTGATTTACATATTTCCTCTTTTACTTATCCTTAAATTTGATGTTATTTTTGAAGTTCAAATAATTTTTGCTTTTAAGATTCTAACTCGTTTTGTAATCTTTAGATCAATAACTATGATTAAATTAAATAATTTACATTTTTTTCATTATTTTTTAATGTTAATTCTCCTCTAAATTATCTAGCATCATCAATTTCATTTGATCTTTACTCAAATAATTCAGTAAGTTATTCAATTTAACTATTTAACTATTCAATTTCTTAGTTTTGTTCAGTAATATCATTTTCATACTATTATTATAGCTATTCTAATTCAATTTAAAATTTGCTTATTTACTAAGATTTATTTTCATTATTCTTATTCAAAGTATCAAAAGTAATTTATAATTCTTGATTCAATTCGGAATTTTCATTAAATTATTATGAAGTAATATCCAATTAAGAAGTTAATTTTGAAATTTCTTAGCATAATTTATTTTTTTACTATTCATATTCAATCTTAAGATCTTAATTTATCTTTTTGTATTTTAATTCTAAATCTTTTGAATTATTTTGATGTTACTCTTAAACATAGCAATTCTATTCCATTTATGATTGAATTTCATTTTATAATTCTTAAATCAGATCTTAAACAATAAATAAATTAGAATACTTTATGATTCTTAACTTTATTAGTTTAATATGTCAATTTCATATTACATTTTATTGATATCATGAATAAGACTTTCCTTTTCTTCAAGAAATTCCTTTTCTTGTTGTTTTATTTTCTAATCGAATTGTTAAATTTACTTATTGATTTTCTTCTTTTTTTCATCCTATAATTCTTGACACCTAGTTTTATAATTTTCTAATGTTTGTATCAATGTCTTTTCTCCAACTTTCATTTCATTAATAATTTTATCTAATTACATTATTTCTTATTTCTAAAATTCAATTGCTTAATTATGTCTTATTAATTCTTCTTGTAATTTTTAGACTTAATCATCCATAATTTAAATTTACTAAAAATGTTTCGATTACATATCTTATAAATTTTATTTTTATCTCTAATCTTATTAATAGAATTGTATCGAAGTATCTTTATCCAAATTGGCTTTTTCTTTCTATACATACTTTAATTCAGACTAATAATCATTTAACTGCTATTTATAGATATCTAATTATTTATTCGATTTTGTTATTTGATTATCTTTCTCTTTCAATTCATTACTTAAATCATTATTGATAAATATGTGGTTTTTTAGTTCTTTTGTTAATTAATCTATATGGATTTCATATTCCTTTATTGTTTTAGATGAAGTTGAAGATATACACTAATTTTAGTTTAATAAGATACTCGTGCCTCTGATTATTCAAAACGACGCTTCCAATTATTTATTTCATGTTATTGCAATTCAACTAAGTTCATTAATTTTTTAATCTCGAATTCAGGGTTAATAAAACTATTACTTAGTTTCATATCCAAATCAATACTCTTCTCAAATTTGCTCGTATTATGAGAATTTCGTAAACTTTACTATGACTTTTAGTGTGTCGAACCTCATTTATAAAATTAAGAAATTACCTTATTATATTTCAATATAATGAGGACTCTTTGATTAAGTGTGTGATGATATTGCACTTCTTGTTTTTGAAGGTGATGAAGCAGATATAGGTCTTAACAATTAGGACATTTAAGTAAATTCTAACAGACAATTTATAATATTTTATCAAAAAATCAAATATGATTATAAACAATGTAATATTTCATTTGCTTGGATAGATATTAATTCAATTATTATTATACATTAAATGGGATGTGCTACAGCGAAACCAAAAAGAGCTACCTTCTTAATTATAATTGATAGTCCACCACCAAGTTTACCATCCTCAATGCATATAATTGATTTACCCTTTAATCAAATTGATTGTCCAGCTTCAAAACTACCATTGTTTGAAAAATAAAATTAGGCAACAATGCTTAGCTCTTAGCCAACAAATGAGGGAAGAGAATCTTTAGCAAACTGAAAATAGTTAAAAAAAGAACTTTATATTCATATATTTTTATATGGGTTGTTCTACCCAAATTATAATTCTCAATTAAACCAAAAGAAGTTCTCAATATCGTACTTCAAAATATATTCCATTTAGTTTACTAAAACAAAAAAATCCTTCCCTGATATTCTTATAATTTTTCTCGTCCATATTATTCAATAATTCGAAGTCTTTCCTTCTCCAAAGTGTACTGTTAAGACGATCTTTAGATCTTAAATATAATATTAGTTAATATTTGTAGCTACGATTTCAAATACTTTCATTGTAAAAACATTGAAGACCAAATTTCAACCCTCTTATAAAGAAAAAGAATACAGCCACAGTTTTAGGCAAATTTTTAAAATGTTTATATTTAACATTAGTATCAAATTTAGTTTGAAATTATTTTATCACTTTTTTCGTGTTCTAAACTTTATAATTCGGTAGAAATTTATTCTTAAATTTTAAATGATCTAAGAATTAAAATAAGTTTATAATAATTATATTAGTGTTTAGTTAAAAATTAAATATTTGTTAGAAATAATGATTTCAAGTGTTAATAGATGGGATTAGCCATTCAATTATAAAAAGCTAAAAATAGTGTTATATTTTATATTAATTATTTAATAAATTTTAAATTTCTTAATTTACTACTTGTACTTTTATTTTTTAGATTAAAAGTCTTATTCGATTAAAAATAATCATTCTAGTAACATATATATTAAAGTTAGGAATCAATTTTAGGGAATAGGGTTTAAAAATATTATTCAAATATGAGCAATATTAGAAAATGACATGATAAAAATGATTTTAATATAAATTTATTAGATGGAAGTTAAACTTTATTGTTTTTAAGTTTCTCAAAACTATATTTTCTTTGGATTATTATAGTTATTCTTGTGTAAAGTATTTTGCTATGTTTAAGTCTAAAAATTTTAAGAGAAATTTTTGGATAATTAAAAATTAGTGAGTGCTTTCTGACAGCATTTTTATTATGTTTTATAAATGTTATTTTTATATTTTTTCAATTAATCAATAAAAAAAAAAGTTTTTATATTTATCGATTCATAATTAATGACTTGATTAGATAGATGAATATATAAATTTTTATAAATTATTAAATATTCAATTATTTTCTAATTGTATAAAAACTACATTAAAGGTCATTTTCTAAAAATAATCAAAACTAAACCGATATATTAAGAAGAGCAATATAAGCATTATACTAATCTCAAGAATAGTTGTTGTAATAAATATAAATTGAAATTATATCCTTGTTGAAAAAAAACTTTATTTTTGTAAAAATGATTTTTTTATAAATATAAAATTATTGTCTTCATTGAAGATAATCGATATCAACATAAATAAAATAGGTTTTAATTCTTCATTTAATAAATTTAAAAATTATCTTATTATAAAGAATAATTATAATTATCTAGAATAATAATATAGAGTTTATTTGTTAAGCTATGCAGATAAGATAAACCTTTGTAAATAAATATTATTATGATTATAAATGAGATTAATAGAATAATTTAATAAATTGAAAATAATAAAAATATAATCTATTATTTAATTGAATTTATATAAATGATTAAGGAAGTGATAATTACGTCATCGTTTAATAATATTTATACTATTCATAGTTTTAATTAAATTAATATATATTTAAAATGGAGAAAACATTATTGGCAGTCGGTTTAATGATGTTGTTGGGAGCCAGCCTCTATTTGAACAACACCTAGGAAGTATCTGATGAAATTGATACAGCAAATCTTTATACAAATTGGAAGATTAAATATAACAAGAGATATACAAACCAAAGAGATGAAATGTACAGATTCAAGGCTTTCACAGACAACCTTAATTACATCAGGGCTTTCAATGAAAGTCCAGAAGACAAAACATACACTTTAGAATTGAATCAATTTGCTGATATGAGCTAATAAGAATTCGCTTCAACTTATTTGAATCTAAGAGTTCCAAAGACAGCCAAGGTTAATGCTGACAATGATAACTTTTAATACAAAGGTGCAGAAATAGATTGGACCGATGGATCCTAAATTAAATACCCTGCCATTAAGAACTAAGGATCATGTGGTTCATGCTGGGCATTTGCTGCAGTTGCAACACTTGAAATTAATGCTCTAATTGAACTTAGCAGAAAATATGACTTATCTGAATAAGATTTGGTTGACTGTTCAGGTCCTTATGACAATTAAGGATGCAACGGTGGTTGGATGGATTCTGCTTATGAATATGTAGCTGATAACGGTTTAGCTGAAGCTAAAGATTATCCATATACTGCTAAGGATGGAGTCTGCAAGACTTCAGTTAAGAGATCATTCAAACATGTTGTAGGATTCAATGATATTGATTCATGCAATGAATTAGCTGAAACAATCTAAGATAGAGTAGTCGCTGTTGCTGTTGATGCCAATCCTTGGTAATTCTACAGTAATTATTTAAATTTAATTTTATAGGAAGTGGTGTCCTTTCCAAATGTACTAAAAACTTAAATCACGGAGTCGTCGTTGTTGGTGTCTCAGCTGATGGAGTTTGGAAAATTAGAAATTCATGGGGAGCAACTTGGGGAGAAGCTGGTCACATTAGACTTGCCGGAGGTGATACTTGTGGTATCTGTGCTGCTCCTTCTTTCCCAGTATTAGAATAAAAACCTTGATTATTCCAAACATCATTTTACAATAATATTAGTTTATTAAAACTTGATTTTTTCTTACTAGTTTTAATCACTCTCCAGGATAATCTTGAAATTAATCATTTTTATTATTATTAATTAATGGGATGTGGATCTGCTAAACCAAGTGAAGTAAAAGAAACAGAATAAATAAAATCCTCTAAAATTCATTCAAGAACTCCCAGCTCAGTTTCATTAGGCCAGACTGAAATCGCTAAATTATACAGAAGAGGTTTTTCCAGTGTAATATTACTTAGCCAATTACCTCATTAAAAATGAGAAGTATGAATAAGCGACAAAGTTGTTAGATCGAATTTTAGAAACCGATCCTGATTTCAATGATGCTTATTATTCTAAAGGTAAATTATTGACTTTTCGTAGGTATTGTTGAATTGGATAAAAGGAACTTTGAAGGCGCAAAAAAATTTTTCTAACTTACTCTCGATAAATAACCAAATCATGCCCTTTCTCTCAATGAAATAGGTTTACACTCATATTTTATAGATTAGCTAGCTTAATGATTAATGAGAAATAATATAAAGAAGCCTTGATTTATTTAGAGAAAGGATTTCAGGCTAATCCTAATATACCAGACTTAAATTATGGTTTAGGTATGTTTTAATCAAATTTTGAGGTTATGTTTTATCAAGATTAGAACGAAAAGATGAGGCCATTCGTTATTTTGATATGGCGATATAATTAGACAATACCTAAAAACATTATTATGTTAGTAAAGCAACTACTCTTTCAGATTTAAAATAATTTGATATCGCTTTAAATACCATATAAAATGCCTTAAAAATTGATTAAAATTATATTGATGGGTATTAGACATAAGGTTAATTAATATTTACATTATTCAGCATACATATATCGTTAATCATAACAATATGATAAACTAGAAGAAGTTTGTGATTAAATTCTAAAATTAAATGACTAAAATTAATTCGCATTAAATTGCAAAAGAAAAATTCAATAAAATTCTTAAAAGTAATCAAAAATTCCAGAAGTTTTAATGAGTGTCGAGGATTAAATAAGAGAAGGTATAATCAAATACTAAGATTTTAGTTTAGAAGTTACAAGGAGAAAAAAAGTACTCTTAAGCGTTGAGTCATTTAAATTAAATTTTGGAAAAGAATCCTGCTCATTTATATACTTTAAAATTAAAAGCTTAAATATAAATTGAATTAAAATAATAAGCAGGCTCTCTTGTAACATTGAATTAAATTCTCAGTATTAAATCAAATGATATTGATTCATTAAAATAAAAGGGTATAAGAATTAATCTTAACTAAATATAGTGAAAATTTTAGAATATATGAACAAAAATGAAGAAGTCTTGATTTGCTACGATGAAATACTTGCTTAAGAAAAAGACTTTGATTTATTGGAAAAGAAAGGTCAATTTTTGTATTATATATTTTAGCCTCTATTTTGATTAAGTTTGATAGAATTTAAGAAGCATCTGAGATTTATGAATATTTATATTCTTAATCAAATTAGGATGATCCAAAGATATTTATTATTAGAGGTATGTAAAATTTAATATTCAGGTAAGTTACTTTAGGCATAGAAAAAATATGATGATGCCATTATTTGTTTGAATGATGGAATTATTAAATTTCCTTAAAATATAGAAATTTTAAATTTGTTAGCATTAATTTATAAAATTACAAAGAATGTGTAATAAGCTTTAGAAACTTATGATAAGATTTTGAATATTCAACCTTAAAATGAGAATTGCTTATATGAAAAAGGTTTAAATTAATATAATTAATTAGGTTTGATATTGTTTAATTTAAATAATTTTAGTGAATCATTTGATATGTTTATTTAGTTGAACAAAAGCGAATAAGCATAAAATTTAGATTATTATCTTGGAATATGTTACAACGAAAAAAAGGATTATTTCAATGCATTAAATCACTTAAATATCTATGTCAAAACAGGAAAAGACAATTTAGAGAAGGTATATTACATTGTAATCATTTCAAAATAATATAGATGGGATTAGCTAATCTATTTTTATTGAAGTTTGATGAGGCTATTGAAAATTATTTAAATTGCATTAAAATTAATCCTAATAATGCTGAAGCACATTATTAACTTGGAAATGTATACAAATAAGATAAATTATTGGATGAAGCCAAAAATTCTTTTGAAGAAGCAGTGAAAATCTAACCTCAAAATAATTTATATAAATAAGCATTAGGTAATTATAATATTAATTGTTTTTAGACAATTTAATAAATGAAAAATCATTTCTATAAGAATATAGAAATAGTCTTCTTTTTACGCTGATAATATTTATTGGATGTTGTTAGTTAGACCCAAAATCTTAAGATTTTGAGAAAAAGTAAAATGAAAAATATTTAACTCTATTGACATTGATGGAAGCTCATTTAAAAAAAAGATTCAACACTTTAGAGAAACATTTCGAATAAATAAAATAATTAATTGGATTATCATATGATATGAAGCTAACTTTAATTGATGATACATTGTTTCCTATTATGTAATTTTGGCATAATCAAAAAATTTGTAAAAGAAAAAAAGACAATAATGATTTGGTTGTTTCAATGATAAATGCTGTCAAATCAATTATTAATTCAAATAACGAAAAGATTTTAAATTTGATTCAAGGTGAGAAATCCTTAGATAATCGATATTGTCTTGAATTTTTATAGAAATGTCAACATGAATCATATTAAAAGAAAAGTGGTAAATTAGGGTTGTTAGATGGAATAAAAATACTTGGTTTTTTAATTAAATATCAAAAAGAATTCACTTCTGATACACAGAGTTTCCCTGAATTCATTGCAAATAAATACTTAGTTGATGAAATACAAATATTTCATGACTCATATTATCATTAAAACGTTTGATTGATTTATTTTATTTGATTAAATTTGATAAAATTATTAAAGAGCATATATCAATATAATTATTAACTGTAATATTAATTTATTCAAATTTTCTAAATGCAATACATCGATGAAAATGAAATGGGATAAAAAAGTAGAGTCCCTCGTCTAAGTATGGGGGAGAGATGTTTTGGAAAGGATTTATCTAATTTTAGATAAAGTAAATCATAATCTTAAACTCAAAGAATAAAATTTGATGAATTAGATTTAATTGACAATAAGAATAATAACAATCCCTAATTAGTGTCTGTTTATGCTAAAGATATCTATAAATATTGTAGAAGCAAGGACAAAGCACTTGATCATACTTATATTGATAAACAAATAGAGATTAATTATAAAATGAGAGCAATACTCATAGATTGGCTAGTAGATGTTCATTACAGATTTAATTTGGTTTCAGATACATTATACTTAACTATATACATTATTGATGCATATCTATAGTAAATTCAAATATCAAGAAATAAATTTCAATTACTTGGAGTATCTGCTTTATTCATTGCATCCAAATATTGTGAAATCTACCCTCCTAAATTAAATTATTACTCAGATGTAACAGATAAAACCTATACAAAAGAAGAAATTTTAGAAATGGAGGGTAAAATTTTAATGCAATTACAATTTGAAATTTGTTTTACAAATCAACATTAATTCTATGATAGATATTAATAATTAATTTAACTTGATTAAAAGTCATATTAATTAGGAAAATATATTCTAGAATTAATGTTGTTGGATCATAAATTTATTTAATACAACCCTAGTTTATAAGCAGCCAGTGTATTATATTTAGTATAAAAAATTTATAAAAAGTATTTAAAAACCAAATATATTAAATAGATCTTAGAATTGCTGGCCTACTTATTTAGAAATACATTCACAATATAATGAGAATCAAATAAGGATAGTGGCAAAAGAAATTTGTTAATAATTATGCTAAGCAAAAGTTATGTCATTATAAGCAATATAAAGAAAATATAGTTCACCAAAATTTCAAGAAGTCTCTAATATTTAAATTCAATATAAATGAATATAATTATTAAACTAACAATTTAGTTTCATTTATGTTCGAGATAATGCTCATTTTTATTTAAGTATTATTAAATTTAATCTTCATCTGTTAATTCAAGAGCAGATAAGTAATCTTCATAGGTAAAGTTTTCTTTATCACAAGTTAAAACAGGTAACTCACTTATGATAATAGAAGCTTAAGCCTAGATTTGTAACTTTAGCCACTCTATATTTGATTTAGCTATCCCCTTTTTGTCTTTAATATTCTTGTAAATCTACCCATGAAAATAGGTATTACAAACATCCTTTATTTTATCATTCAGATCATCATTTATAAACCATTCGACTTTATCTCTTCTGGATTTATCTAATTTTTCTGCTTTCGCTTTAGCTGAATTTAACAATATACTTAATTCTGATTATACAAGTTAGTTTTCTTACTTAACTTTATTCAAATAGTTTTCAAATTCTGTACTTGATGTAATCTCTTCCCAATCATTAATATTAAAGGAATTAACCTTTTAAGATAATAAATTTTCAATCTACTTTCTTAATTATAGCATGCGTTTAAACACTAAAAATAAAGGAATAACCCAAAAATTTTGTAATGCATTAAAGAAAGTTAAGCATTTTGCTACTGTTTAGCCAATCACATTGATAGCTTCTAAAGATCTATTATATTTTTATTAAAATTATGTATTATTCCTTTTTTTTAATTAAATATTATTTTCAGCATCATAATTCCCTAACATTTATGATTAAGATTATTATTATTGTTAAGATTGCAATTTAGATTATTAAATTTATAATAATTATTAATGCTATTATTATTAATCTAAAACTTATTGCTTAATAATTTTTTTTTCTTCTTCAACCTTTAAAATTTCTTATTACTAATAAATTTATTAAACTTCCTTTTAATTCTTGGAAACTTGATTTTGATGATTTTTTTGTTATTATTTAGGTTCTTCAAGCAAAACTGAGTGTGTGGAACCCTTTCTTGGTTTTTACTATCTGATTGTGTCTACTTTAACTGAAGAAACCCTCAATCTCATATTATCATTAAAGGAATCTTAATTTTAAGTAGGCTAAACGATATTTTCAATTGTAATATCGCTAGATTATCGTTTCGAATCTAAATCTACATTTTAAGTACTAACTTAATTTTAATTCCTAAAAGTTTTGAATCCAAGGTTCTATGGTTTTGTTTTAGATTTAGGTAATATTTTTGTAGAGTTAAAAAAGTTATTATACTTGTTTGGACTATTATTTGTTTAGGTTATTTACCTATTTTATTAAGATGTAGATGTATGTCTATTTAATATAGATGAATACATATTGCCCAAAGCATTACGTACTTTATCTTGATGAGCCTTTTACAAATTACTAACCTTTGTTATTAGAGATTAATTAATTATATTTTAATCACTAATTATTGGATTCTTTAATCCATAAGGGCAAGGCATAATACTAATTTAATTGCTATTTTCATCTCTACTATTTGTTCTTGATGAAGATCTACTTTTCACTTCAGTTTTAATGGAATTGCCTTAAAACTCTTTGAGAATTTATTGACAAGCAATATCTTCCCTAAAGGCTGGATGATTTGGGATTTAATCCCAAGGTATTGGATTCTCTGGATTTAAAAGAGAGGATATTAAATTTTGGACTGATTACTTTTTATTGGTTATCAAAAACTCAATATTCAATCTTCCTCCTTTTAACCATGCAGTTATTTGCTTTTATATCTCATTAAGAATTTATGTCCCTTAAGTCATAACTAAGTATATAATTCCTAGAGACCATTAATAAGAAGATCTACAAGGCTTACCCTTAAGAATTAAGGGATTCCAATAGACACAGTATTTTTCTGTTCGCTTTCTCAAGCCGAAATCTAAAATAACAATAGAATCATCATTTTTAATTATATTCTCTAAAGTACAATCACGTGGAGAACATCCAGTATAAAGATCATATGCAAAATATATTAGCAATAATTTAGAGAGATTCCCAGTAGTTAAAAACCACTAAGAAGCATTCTCAATTAAGACATCTGTGTATGTATTAGTTCTAACTATCTATAATATTGAAGGAAGTAAACTAATTTATGGTTTGAGCATTATAATATCCTTTTATGGTTTAATTCGATGTTGTGAATCAAAAAATGCTAATTCTTCATCTAAATATATAGTATTATTCCATCTTGCTATAATAACTTATTTGTCAGATAGTTTCAGACGTCCTCTAAATGCAGTCCATTGATCACATTACCATATAGGAAATGTTATTGTATAAGGATGATTAGGCCTCATAAATTATTTATATTTAAATATTTCTATGTTTAATTTATTTAGATAATTATATATATATTTGATAGATAATTATATATATATTTGATAAATAAATTATTTGAATTATGTCTTAAAATTGATGTTGATTGAGTATCAAAGGTTGAGATTATATTATAAGCCTATTAAAGAAAAATTATTATCCTATTTAGAAAAGTAATTAATATAATGCATATAAGTACTAATAGATTCTCTATAAATTGTTATTGACTATTTATAAAACTTTCTATTGATTTTAAATATGATTAATAAATGATAGCAAACATCAGGAACCATGATTTAAAAAGAAACTCTATATATGTCAATATATAATATATATCATATAATCATTTATATTTGATCATCTATAGTTTCTTTTTTTTTTTAATTTCTTTTTATGGGAGTTTGAACATCTTCATTTTTCTTTTTATTCCCTAACATTCATAAAACCCTTTTTTCATTTATTTCAATCATCTATTATTCTATGCTTAAAAAGTTGATAGATCTTCTTTTTCTGATTTTATTAAGTACTTAAAAATTTCAATCTTCAATCATATCGCAAACATATTTCCTTTGCAGCTGTCACATTTTTAACTATTCGTATTTATTTTTTATTTAAACCTCAATATTAAAGTCAAGAATTTGATTTTATAATGTTTTTTATGAAATTCCATAAAGTATAATATTCATACCTTTCAGAAAAATACAAATTTTATTCTAAAAATTAAAAGGTTATTAGGATCAGGAATGTTTCTATTGTAATTAAATATATATTTTGGAAATAAAGAAGAAAATGAACAGTTAAACAAATATTAATAATATATTTTAGTATTATCATTGTTCGACAATCCATATTTTATTTTATGGAATTCATATTGTTGATTTTATTTAATGAATATTCATTATTATAAATATAGCTCACAAAAAACGCATCCATATAAAAAATAATAGAATTAAAGTGACTATTTAAATGACTATGTCTTTATCTAAAGTAATTATAATATAAAAATAATATGGATTAATAATAACCAAATGAAGCACAAGAATCACAATTAGCAAAAACCATCATAAATATTAATAATCATTTTGAAAATATTAATAATCAAATAAAAGATGAATTCCCTTAAATTCCATAAAAAAGCACAGTACTTATCTTTTTGGGAGAATTTGGATAATAATTTCTTAATTTCTATGCTCATTTTGAAACATAATAAGTCATTTAAGTTAATAAATACTATAATTTAGTCTAAGTAGAAGATTAAGGAAAAATTTATTATTTATTAAATTTTCCTATGATCTTATTATATGATGATCAAAATAATGAAATAGCATAGAATTTATGTATTTCTAAAATTTATGCTGAAATGGCATTAAAATAAATGGAAAAATGTTCTTTTAATTTAATATTAGATAATTAATAAATAAAAGGAGATGATGATTTGGCAAAGTTGGATAATGTGATTGAAGATTCAATATTTTATTTTGGATCTTATTATTTTAATGTAGATAACTTTTTCTTGTTAAGAAATCAAGTAGAAAATCGATGGGATTATCTATAATTTTCAAAATCAAATGGATTTTTTTCTTATTTTTCATAGAAATAATAAATTTAAACTCAGAATGTTGGCTAAAATGAAATTTTGAATTCAATCATTAAATCAGGCAATATAATAAATGTAACCAAAGTAAAATCATAAGATTTCATCAATTATGGAAAAATGATGACATATTTATAAAAATAGTATGATGCTTTAAAGGAATAATTGAATCTTAATATTTTACAATTTTAAAAACTCCTTCTTTACTTATAATAAATGCCAATCATCAATAATAATTCTGAAGTTCTAAAAGAAGTTGAAGACTATTTAAAAGAATTATATAAGAATTTTGAGGATAAAAGAAATCTTCTAACTGATAAGGCTTCTTAAATTGGGAGTGTTTACAAATATATTAATAAAGTGAATAAACAGGTTAATGCTTGTATGATAAATAAAAGATAAGAAAAAGTATTTAGTCCTTAAATGAAACAATTTAAGGAAGATAATAAAATTGAATAATTAAAAATTAAACCTTTACTTAGTGATGATCTAAATGTTAAACTTAATAGCATAATTTAATTTTTTGTTCAATATCTTATTACAATAATAAAAAATGATACAATTTGTGAAGTGTAAAAATTAAAATTAAATCTTAAATAATGGTGTGCCTACTGTCATGAATCATTAGAAAATACTCTCTATGAACTAAAATATATCACATAGAGAATATAAAAAGGACCAAAAAAAGAAATTGAAAATGGAATATATTTTATAGGTATAACAAAAGCAGGGAAATCTACAATAATTAATTCACTTCTTAATCCACATAAAATTGTTTAAGAAGAATTTCTAGGTTAAAAATGTTATAGAATTAAAATTGAGACAAAGTTTGAGATTGGAGAGGGTGGGGTTAGTGAAACATAAAAAATTAGTGGTGTCTATATAGGTAAAAAGGAAGAATTAAATTAATTCTTTGATTAAGATGAATCAAATGTTTTTAGTCTTGAAGAAGTATTGGACTAGAACTAAAATCAAAATTGTAAAATCCCTTAAAAATGTTTCATTTTTGATTGTCCTGGGTTTGATGATAATTCTAATGAATTAATGAGAATTGCACATAGGATAAGTTTATACAATTACTTCAGCAAAACAAAAAATATAATTGTATTTTTTGTAGTTGACATTTCCTAACAAAATAATGATTAGATTAAAAATACTTTTGATCCAATAAGCTATCTTTTGGAAAATAAAAAGGACTTAGAATAGGATTTTGATAAATGGACAAATTTGATTCTAACAAAAGCTAAAGATGGATCAAGATAAAAATATTTGGAAAGTTGGGAAAAGGTTTATAAAGGGTATTTAGAGTAAGATTATAGTTTCTATAAAAAATTATTTGAAAATGATGAAAGATGTATTGAATTCCCAAAACCATCAAAGGATATAACTAAAAATATTAAAAATTTAGTTGATTCAATTCCCTAAAAGTTATAAAATTAACTTGAATAATAAAAAAAATAATAATAAAATGAATAATAATAAAGCAAATAATAATAAAATCAATAATAATAAAATGAATAATAATAAAATGAATAATAATCAAGCAAAAAAGAATAAAGCAAATTCAAACTTGTTCTTGATGATAAAGTTTGGAGGCTTTACGAACAATGCATACCTAAAGCTAAAATGAAATTAGAATAATTAATAAATTTTTTAATTGAAGATTTAGATTAATATATTTTAGAAAGTGATGATACTATTAATTAAAAAAAAGAATAAATGCAAAAAATCTAAAACATTTTATTAAACTAAATAATACAGGATACTAAAATAAAATAGGATATCAAAAAAACATAGGATATCTAAATAATATAGGATATCAAAAAAACATAGGATATCTAAATAATATAGGATATCAAAATAACATAGGAAAACTGTGAATAAATCCTTAAAGGTATATCTGATTGGGTAAAGGGAAATCACCACTTAAAACATAATGATTTTTTCCTTTAATTATACATTGAAGATATGAAATCCATTTTAACAATATCAAAATATTGCTAAAATAATAATATAGCGCCTTTTGAAATTAAAATTGATCACCTAGTTAATAAAATTAAAACAATCCTTAAAATGATTGAATAAACCATTTAGTATTATAAAAATTTGAAGTACACTGGATATGCTACTACTTTTATAGCAGGAATAGCGACTTGTGGTACATCTCTAGCTTTGTTAGAAGTTGGGGTTTTGGCTAATTTGGCTAGGCAATTTTTATTAACAAGAGGTGCATTGTGGGTAGCAACTGTAAGTTCAGGATCCCTTACAGCAAGTACTAGTGGTTTAAGTGTAGTTTTAAATTTTATTGAATCCTGGAAAAATACACATTTAAAAAAGATTTATCAAACAGAATTGGAGAAATAATAATAATAAGAATAATAATAGAGAGAATAGTAATAATTATTATAACAATAAAAATAATAGAACGCTTGAAAGAAACTAAGATAGAGAGAAACAAAAATGTAAATCTGAGATTTTTATTTTTGTTTACAAAATTATTTAATTTGTTAATTCATATATAATTATAAAAAAAAGAGATTAAGCAAACGAAAGAAATTAAAATTCTATACCAAATTTTCAGATTTTAATTCATCCTAGTTGATTATAATTATTAATTATATTTAAAAGGCTTTAGCGAATAATATATCAACTTCAGTAAATTATTATGTATTTTGTTTTTATAATTAAAATTAATTTCAAGATAAACTATTTTAAAATAAATTACAAAATGACATTTTAGTTGAAGCTCCCTTTAATTAAGAGACGAACAGAATAGGAATAAACTAATATAGATTTTAAATAAGCATCAAATAAAAGTCAAGATGTTGTAAATATATAAGAAACAATAAGAAGTTAAAATCAAAGGAAAAGCAGCAGCCTTTATGGTATTATAAATAAATAAAAAAAGAAATTTCAAATTAAGGATCAAGTCGTACGACTGATAGAACGAAATCAATTGAAAATTCATTAGTTGGGGAAGCTTCAATAAAACAAGAGAAATCAAATTACGTCATGAAAGAATAATAGAAAATTTAGGGTTAGATTGATATGAGAAAAGGTTTTGCAGGGAGATATGATAGAAATGGTGAATGGGAGCATTATTTACCACCAATACCAAGTGTTAAAGAGAGAGAAAATAAACAATTATAACAACTAGTCAAATTCACTATAAAATTTGTTGATAAAGTTCCTAAGCTGAAATTAAGGCAAAGATTAAAATCTTGTTTTTTAGCAATCAAAGCATTAGTTAGATGGGCAAAATTAGTACAGTATTTCATACTTATATTTTAAAGATCTCTAATTTAGAAAAAAAGATTGAATTCTTTTTGTTATAATAATTGTTTAAAGGAAGTAATTTATAATGATTAGATCAAAGCAATAAAATTTAAATAATGGACATAAATGGTGTTTTCAAAAGTATTTAATTAGATAAAAAAGGAGAGATTAGATTAATATTAAAATTTAAATATTATAGTAATTATATTATATATATTTGTTAGGATGGTCATTGTCAGTAATTAAGTCCACAAGAAAATGATATGAATATACTAAAATTAAGACATTTAATAATGTTGATGTTAGAAGGTTTATTAATAATGACAAATAAATCAAATTTATTAAAAGAATTGATTGGAGAAATGTATTTATCATAATTTGAAGATTAAAGAAATAGTTTTTATTTATTTACTAGTATAAGAACTTTGTATTTATAAAATAAAAGAGATGAATTACCATAAATGCAAAGAGCTATGATATATATTGAATTTTTAATAATGAAAATCATAATTTAAAATATACAAATACTCATTAATCAGGATAAAATATTAAATACTGAAAACAATACTTTAAGTTTCTTATTAAAATTACTAATTTCATTTCTACACTATCTCTACTTGAATTTATTCTCAAAATTAGAAATTATCAAGTAAAGAATAAAAAAATAATTAATTTAAAAATAATTAATCATTAATCAAAGTATATAATTAATTGATACACCTTCAAGTAGAGATTGTTAAGATTTAATAATTGGAATATATAATTATGAATCTTTAAAACCAATTTTGGAATCTTAAAGATGGAAACTTTAAATGAAATCAATCTTTATGAAAGTTATTTAAAATCTTGAATAACAATAATTATGAGTATTTTTAATTTGATTAAAATTGAAATTAATATATTATGTACATATTGTTTATAATTTATTAAATAAATTTTATTATTTAATCAATTTCATTTGAAGAAGCAAAGATTTTATATGACATCATATACTTAAGTAGTTATTCTAAAATTATATTTATTAAAATTTGGGTTCATTAAAATCAAGATTAAATATGATAAAGGACAATGAGATAATAACAAAGAATGATAAACTAAATTCTCATCTTAATTACTAATAAACTAAGTTTAAAATTCCAGAATAATAAAATCTCAAATATAATTCTTCATTTCCTTAAGAACCAACCAATTATAATATATATGAAAGTAATATTTCTTCAATTTATATTATTAAGGTGAAAGAACTGATCATTATACAATATTTTAAAAAGTTGGGTATTCAGTTTCTCAAGATCTTAAATAATAAGAATAACAGAGGATTATAAAGGAAAGTCTTGTTTCAACTGAAATTTAATCTGTGTAAAAATTGACTAGTCGCTAATCTCAGTAATTCTCGTTCATTCCAAGAGGTTAGAGTATAGAATTTATCAATAACAATGATAAATTAATAAATAAACCTGAAAGTCCATATAATTCTCAGAATATTAGAAATATATATCACAATTATGAGAAATCCTCTGAATATAAAAATGAAAATTTATTAAATGACCATACATCTAATCCATTTAATAGTATAAGTTTATCAAACAAGACAATTTCAAAGAAATATAATCCAATATTGTTTATAGATAAATTCAAACAAATAAGAAGATGTTTTTAGATGATTAGAGCTCTTTTTAGATTGAAAACGTTATACAAGTAATATTTATTATTTAAGAATAAGTTTGAAAAAATCAACATGGAATTTGTAGATGAATATATTTAGAAGTAATTAAAAGATTTTAAAATATAATGAAAGCATTACACTTATAAAAATAAAATAATGGACATAAATGGTATTTGCCAAGATGATTTCAATTATTCAGTATTAAAATTTAGAAAAACAAAAATTGAATTTTATTGTAAATATTTTAATTAATGAAATTTAAAGGAAAATCCAGAAATAATGACATCTGTTGAAATTGATTAAGCAATTATTTTTATTCAAAATAACTTTACATTCTCAATGTCCAATCTTTTAATGATGACAACAGGTGAAAATCTATTAAAAGAATTGAGTTTACAAATGTACTAGGATTAATACTTAGAATATAGAAAATAATTCAGTAAATTTGTTAGTTTAAGAACAAATTACATAAGTTATTATTATTAGAAATTGAATTAATAAGAAAAATAATTAGTATTCACTGAATGCATAATAATTCATAATTTAATACCCAATTTAATAAAATTAACATATAGTTTGGAATCATTAAAATGTAATATATCAAATATAAAATTTTTGATTAAATGTATGATTTCACTCTTTTAATATTTCTTTTTATAATAGTTTTCTAATTATCCAANCAATATTTTAAAAAGTTGGGTATTCAGTTTCTCAAGATCTTAAATAATAAGAATAACAGAGGATTATAAAGGAAAGTCTTGTTTCAACTGAAATTTAATCTGTGTAAAAATTGACTAGTCGCTAATCTCAGTAATTCTCGTTCATTCCAAGAGGTTAGAGTATAGAATTTATCAATAACAATGATAAATTAATAAATAAACCTGAAAGTCCATATAATTCTCAGAATATTAGAAATATATATCACAATTATGAGAAATCCTCTGAATATAAAAATGAAAATTTATTAAATGACCATACATCTAATCCATTTAATAGTATAAGTTTATCAAACAAGACAATTTCAAAGAAATATAATCCAATATTGTTTATAGATAAATTCAAACAAATAAGAAGATGTTTTTAGATGATTAGAGCTCTTTTTAGATTGAAAACGTTATACAAGTAATATTTATTATTTAAGAATAAGTTTGAAAAAATCAACATGGAATTTGTAGATGAATATATTTAGAAGTAATTAAAAGATTTTAAAATATAATGAAAGCATTACACTTATAAAAATAAAATAATGGACATAAATGGTATTTGCCAAGATGATTTCAATTATTCAGTATTAAAATTTAGAAAAACAAAAATTGAATTTTATTGTAAATATTTTAATTAATGAAATTTAAAGGAAAATCCAGAAATAATGACATCTGTTGAAATTGATTAAGCAATTATTTTTATTCAAAATAACTTTACATTCTCAATGTCCAATCTTTTAATGATGACAACAGGTGAAAATCTATTAAAAGAATTGAGTTTACAAATGTACTAGGATTAATACTTAGAATATAGAAAATAATTCAGTAAATTTGTTAGTTTAAGAACAAATTACATAAGTTATTATTATTAGAAATTGAATTAATAAGAAAAATAATTAGTATTCACTGAATGCATAATAATTCATAATTTAATACCCAATTTAATAAAATTAACATATAGTTTGGAATCATTAAAATGTAATATATCAAATATAAAATTTTTGATTAAATGTATGATTTCACTCTTTTAATATTTCTTTTTATAATAGTTTTCTAATTATCCAAAAATTTAAATAAAGAATGAAAATATTAAATATTCGCAATATCATCTAGGAAATAATGGTTCATAATTTATATTGATTTAGAACCAATAATTAAAATCTGATAATTTAATTGATGGAGTATATACAGAGGAATAAATGTAATTAATTTTAAAGAAGAAGAGTTGGTTTGAATAAAATAAAAAAAAGATGAATATAGTTTCATAAAATCTTGCTATTGTAGTTTGATTGATGGACTATATATATATATATATTATTTGTAAAATGGAACAAGATTGTAAACAATGATTATATATTAAAATAATTATTATAAATTAATTGAATACTTTCTATGATTAATATTATATAATAATGATAATCTAATTAGTTTTAATAATAATTTTTCTATTTAATGGAAGATATTATTAATATAGAATTTAAAAGCATCTCTAAATATATTAAAATAAATATATATAATTTTATAGATTTAACACAATAAATTGATAATCCATCAATTATATCTAAATATTTTAGTAAAATAATTTTGTAATGTTGAAATGATACAAAAAAAATAGTGATAATACATTTTTTACTTTTTTCATAATCATACATCAGTATAATAATAATTTAAATTTAATATGTAAACAGAGAAACCTACACCAAAAACAGAAGCAGATTATAAAGCATAAGCAACTGCATTGTCAGATTAATAATTATAGGAGGAGATCATTAAATTGAATAAGAGACTTCTTGAACTGAAAACTATGCAATCAAGAGAGATTAATTCAAAGAAGCAATATGAAGATTAATTGGATAGTACAAAGAAGAGAGTGTATAAAATCATTTATATATTAAGGGGCAATATGACAACACTTCCTTATTTAGTAGCAAATGTAGTGGAAATATTAGATATTGAAGCAATTGATAAAGATTAATAAGATTAATCTGTGACAGATGATTATGCTACAATTTCTGGAAAAGGTGTTGTAATTAAGACTACAACTAGATAGACCATCTTTTTACCAGTCACAGGTTTATTAAATGCATCTTAATTGAAACCTGCTGAATTGATTGGAGTTAATAAAGATGGATATATGTTATATGAGAAATTACCAACTGAATATGATGCAAGAGGTATTTTAAAAAATCATAATATTAGTTAAAACAATGGAAGTAGATGAAAAACCATAAGAAGATTATACAGATATTGGTGGATTAGATAAATAAATTGAAGAATTAAGAGAAGCTATTGTTTTACCTATTGTACATAAAGAAAAATTTGAAAATATTGGTATTAGGTAATAAATAATATTATAATTATTTAGACCACCAAAAGGTGTCTTAATGTATGGACCACCTGGAACTGGTAAAACTATGATGGCTAGAGCATGTGCTGCTCAAACAAAAGCTTCATTCTTAAAATTAGCTGGTCCTTAATTAGTTTAAATGTTTATTGGTGATGGAGCTAAGATGGTTAGAGATGCATTTCAATTAGCTTAAGAAAAAGCACCTGCGATTATATTTATTGATGAATTAGATGCTATAGGAACTAAAAGATATGATAGTGATAAGAATGGTGATAGAGAAGTATAAAGAACTATGCTTGAATTATTGAATTAATTAGATGGATTTAGTCCTGATGATAGAATTAAAGTATTATTTAATACTTAATTTTAATAGGTTATTGCAGCCACTAATAGACCTGATATATTAGATCCAGCATTATTAAGATCTGGTAGATTGGATAGAAAAATTGAATTCCCATTACCTAATGAAGAAGCTAGAGCATAAATCTTGAAAATTCATTCTAGAAAAATGTCTGTGGCTAAAGAAACTGTTAATTATGTAGAAATTGCTAGAAGTACTGATGAATTTAATGGTGCTTAGTTGAAGGCTGTATGGTATTTATTATTAATTAATATAATTTAAGTGTAGAAGCAGGTATGATTGCTTTGAATAGAGGTGGAACATTCTTGATTCATGAAGATTTTGTGGAAGGAATAGCTGTTGTACAAGCTAAAAAGAAAAGTAGCTTAAATTATTATGCTTGAATCAAATATATAATATAATATTTCATGCAATAAGTACAGAAGAATAGAATCACTAAAGAAATATAAGATTTCGAATAGAGATAAAAGAAAGTATATGATATTCTCATTTTCAAAAGAGTGAAGATAATGGAATTTCTATCTTAGTTGTTGATAACAATATCACACATTGGAAAGGATTCATTAATGGATCACCAGATACTCCCTATGAAGGTGGCTATTTCTAAATTGATATTGTACTAACAGCTGATTATCCTTACAAACCACCCAAAATGAAGTTTGATACACGTATCTGGCATCCAAATATTTCATCGTATTTTAAACCTATATTAAGATAAACTGGTGCTATATGTCTTGATATTTTGAAAGATGAATGGTCACCTGCCTTATCAATTCGAACAGCCTTATTGTCATTACAAGCCCTATTATGTGATCCATAACCAGGTATATATTATAGTATTATAAATAGATTCTCCATAAGATGCTGTTGTAGCCAATCAATATAAATCAAATAGAGAATTATTTGTAAAAACAGCAAAGTATTTATTATTTGCATTAAGTAAGAGAATGGACTTTAAATTATGCATCAAAAAATAAACAAAATGAAAAAATTGCCAATCTCGTTTTATTAGGTTTAGATGAATAGAAAGTTAAAGTAATTAACTATTCAAATTTCATAGGAAGCATTACTAAGATTCGGATATGATGAAGAACAAGCTGCTAATTTCTTATTAGGTGGATGAATAATAATTATTAAATTATAGTATTGTATTGCATTACATTTATAATAATGTGATATTATTTCTTTTTAAAAATTATTTAAATATAAATGTTTTGAACTATTAATTAAAACTAATCAAAAACACATAACATATATTCCCTCTAATTTTCAACTTAAATATATTTAAAAATCTTTCTACTTTTTATTTTATATCTTATCCCATTATTAAATAATAAATATATTATTTTTAAATATGATATTTTATGATTCTTGTATTATTATTATATATAACAAACCTATAAATGATGTTACAGTTACAATTAATGTTTATATGGTTTACTTGTAGTGTCTTAAACAAGCTTGAGTCAATCAAAATCTCTATTATTTATTATATTTTCAAAAACTTTTCCTGAACCAATTTTCTATATATTTATTAAGTATTCTTCTATAATATAAAATTTTTGTAATGAAATATTTACAATTTCATCATTTGTATTATTAATTACAAATGATAAAAAATGATTGAATCATTTAGATTGAATTATTTTAATATTCATTTTATAATTAGAAAAAGTAGAAGAAATATTTTGTTTAAAATATTTATGTTTGATAAAATCAATATCCAACTGATGAAGCAAGTCTTTGGTTTCTTTCGTGATTTTCATCTTCAACTTAGTCGAATCTTTCAGCAACCATCTCTTCCAATTGAGCAACCAATTAGAGTTCGTTTCTTCTGGCTTAGGTAGCATAGTTATATTCATTGGCAAAGGTTGAGCATAAGGTTTAGGCTTAGTCCCAAAGTTATTAGTTTCTTTAAAGTTTTCCTGAAGCGGTTTAAGCAATGGCTGATTGAGTTCCAATGCATTAAACTAAGTTGGTTAACTTGTTTTAGAGTCTTTCGTTTTAAGCTTCAAGTCTGGCAATAGTTTATCCAATTCTTTCCTTTTAGTCATTGAAGGCAGCAACTGATGCAGCATTTGAGGCTGAGTAATCGTTGTAAGCTTCTTAGATGTTTGATCTCAAGGTATCCAAAAGTTAAGCAACTCTTTCAAGAGCTGATTCATCGAGTTATCCTTCTTAGGCAGCCAATTAAGCAAAGGCATAGAAGATTGGGGCGAATTTAGCTGTTTCCTTGATGTTGAAGGCAGTTTAGAGCATACTCTTTGAAACTCTGCTGATTTCAGCGAATGATCCTGATCCACTATAGATGGTGGCTAAGATATCTTAAGCTTCATCAATAGCATGGAGAGCATCTTCATAATCTCTTCCTCTTCTCTTGAAATATCCAGCTTCTGTTTCAGCAGCACTCAAAACTGAGGTCATGTGTTCTTAAGCTGAGAAGTATTATTATTAGTTGACTTCTTAGACATTGGTTGTTCTGATCTTGGATGTGTTGCAGACATTCAAAGCAGCAGTGGAATCTCTCAAGACTGTTTGAGCATCTTAAACTTATCTGGATCTGAATTCATTTTCAGAAGCACATTCAGCTTATTATGTGTTGTAGATTTCATCATGATTGACTTATTCTGTGTTGACTGCATCTCTGAAATCTCTCAAGACATTCAAGATGGCATCAAGTGGTGATTTGTTGTTCAATTTAGCTTCAACTTCAGCCATGACTGCTGTCAAAGATCTCTTCTTTGAATAGTCAAATGGATTTCTTGGAGCAGCACTGACGCATACTAACACAACTAATAATGTTGCAATCAATTTCATTTTTATTATTAATGATCATTTTCCATTTCATTTCCAATATAAATAATAAAACTAAAAAACGGATATCTTAAAATTATTTTATTTCTAAATACCAATTCATTTTATAAATCTAATAATATAAATTTAAATCTTTAACCAGAACTCAAATACTATTATCTATAGAATGTCATTTCATTCTTGACATAATTATTATCATAATTATAATTTTATTAAGAAATTCATTTATAATTACAAACAAGTGAATTAAATTTGAATATCAATTCTGTTATAAATGTTTATAAAAAAGAGTATATAATTATAATTAATTATTAGAAATGATAATTAAAAATTTAATAAATTTCTGTTTGATTTTTAGTTTTGAAATATTATGATAAATATCATAAAAAGATACTAAAAATTATTATAAATAATATCATTAATATATTTTATATGCATAAATATATATATTATTAAAAGATTGATTTAAATATTTGAATTAGAGAATCAAAAGTAATTAAGTCAAAATGATTTTTGTTAAGAATTCTCTTATCTATATTGTTGAAAGAATTGATCAATGTTTTTTTATCTTGATGAACTCATTTCTAAGTTCTTTTAAGATCATATTTAAAATTTTACATAAAGAAGTAATTTAGTTTGTGCATTCATTATTTTGGAATTAACATAAAAATTGATAGGATATTTAGATTCACTCATGTATTTATCTACTATTCTCTTTCTATTATCTTTATTTGACATAGATCTTGTCATAACTCTTATAAATGCTTAACTTAATTTATCTAATTAATCATGATGATCAATTTTTAACATAAGATAACTTAATTATTTACCATATAACAAATATTTATTAAAACTATTTATCAATTTATCTATTGGTTTTTGAAGTATTACAAAACAACCTAAATATATACAAAAGCATGATAATATTATCGAAAGTATACCGAATATAAAATCTGTAACTATTTCTGTATAGATTTTAGATAGGGTTGTTCTCAAAGTTTAATAATAATTAGAATATGCTGATGAATTAAACATTGATAGAACATAATAATCTCCAGTTACTTTTTTAACTCTAAAATACCATAAAACACCAGTATTTTTATTTTCAATGCAAATTGTTTATGGAATTTATATTTCACATATTTAATTTTTCTATGATTATATATCATGGTTTAAGATTAAATTAACATCTGATTAATCAAAACCAAAAATACTTTAATTATATAAGTAATAAACTTCAGATGTATTAACTGTATATAATTTACTAATCAAAATTCTACCATTTGAATCCATAGCTAACATCTATTGATCATCTTCCATAAATTAATGAATATCTGAGAAATTTAGATCAACAACAATAATGCCTATTCTTTCATTATTTGCTCCATTATATAAGTTAGTAGTACCAGATATGTATACACCTCCAAAATAATTAGTATAAGGTTCTGAAATAATATATTCAGATTTATTTATATTGGCCATATGATTTTGAAACCACCTTCTTGATGATGGTACATAATCACCAAAAGGTTAACCAGGATAGGTTGAAAAATAACAATCTTTTGAGATTGAAGTAAAATACATATCTAATTAAATTTGCATTGGGATTAATGAAGTTAATAAATTAGAAAGTTAAAGAAATTCTTAACTGTATTATTCTGGATTGTAAATTTGATTTGAACAATCAAAAATACCATAACAATATTAGCATTTTAAAACAAAACTTTCATTAAGATATGATTCTTAAAGACATCTATCAGAATTCTATACAAAAGTCATGCTTGTATTGTAAATTTATTAATTTAAGAGGTTGATATCATTTATTGCATAAATTCCTTATCTAATTCTATTTTCTAGATTTCTAGTATATGCATTTAATTATGAATTAGTTTGACGATAAATAAAATTCATAATGAATTTCTTTTCTGCATCATTCTACAAGGCCTAAAATATTCCTTCAAAATTTAGAAATAAACATAATCCCAAAATTGTAACAGAAACAATCATTGTGATTAATTAAGTAACTAATATTTATGTTCTTATTCTCCAAGTCTTGAACTTTTTAATTAAACAATCTTTTCCAATCATAATATCAATAATTATATAAGAAAATTAATCTATAGAAAAGTTAGCTTAATACATTTACAAATAATCTCAAGAATTCTTGTATTATAAAAACTTACTATTCAATAAAGTGAAATTAATTCAATACAATAAATCCTATTCTTATAAATGGAATTAATTATAATGAATTAATACTGTATATGATTAAAATAATTGAAATAAGACAAAAAAAAAACATTAAATATAAAAATAATATAATTATTAATCAGCAAATTCATTTAGAAATAAAGACATTGCTATTTAGAAGTTACAAATTTATTTTGTTTGGGATAAAAATTAAATCCATATCATCTTAACAAATTCTTGAGTTTTCTAGATTGAAATATCTTAATGTTGGTTTTTTATTTACTTATCTTTCCATAAGTTAAGTCCTTTTCTATAGTTTTCTGCATCTTAATCCACTTTTAATCATACAATTCATTACTAGTTTCATAAAAATAATTGTTAATTTTAGCATATTTTTCTAAACAAAATGGTTGATTCAATTTTTCATCCAAACTTCTTCTATCTAAAAATTCTAAGTATTGCACTCTTATAGGGTTTATTTTGATAGGTAGTCGATAATTAGTGTGAATATCAATAGAATGAAGTTTTAAATCTGATTAAGAATTCGAATCTATAATTACAACATAATTAATTTATTAATAAAATCATTTATCCATGAATTATGAATGCTATTATTATTATTGCTATTTTTAAGTACTTGATTATCGAGTAATTTTAGATTTTTAACTAATTTATGATTTTGTGTCACTAATAGCTTTTTCTGATTTATTTATTTAAGATTCACTTTCTTTATAATTTGATCTCTTTATAATTTTATTTGGGTTTTCTGCATATATTTTATATTAAATGAATACATTCTGGTTTTTGAAAAGTAGGTACTTTTGTTCCAATTACAGCTTCAGGATAATTTTATAGAAACTTTTCTATTCCTCCACTTAGAAGATAAACATTCTCAAAACCTTTTTCAGCAAAGAGTGTGGCAGAAGGTATACCATTTTTTTCATCAAAATGATAAATTATGATTAGTTTGCCTACTTGATTTTTCTATTAATAGTGTTATCATAAGAAACTTACAAATCTAAATATTTATTGAGTTAACTTATCTTATCGGAGTAATGGAGCAGGGAAATTGATGGCTTCTTTAATGTGATACATTTAGAATTCATCTTGATCTCTTAAATCAATAAGAAGAAATTCAGATTAATCAGTGAGACCAAGTTATTCGGTTGCATAAGTAATTGCAGAAACCTATGAGACTTCAGTGAATCTTGTTTTCTAACTATATTGACTTTAAGCATCAAATTATTTCAATTGATCTTATTCTTATTGATCTATTATATTATGTATTGATTCTTATGCAGGTTCTTCCTAGAAATTAAGTATTAATTACACTAATAAGCTTGAATATTGTGGAACATTTAATTCTTTTAAAAATCTCAGATCTCTTTTTTGCTATTGTTGCATTGCTGATAACTTCAATATCTCTAATAGTTGGTCCAGTGTTGAGAGTTTATTTAACATAATCATATTTTTTATTTCTTGGGACCTTCTTATCTAAAGGCTATAAGGATGTAAGAATAAATGAATACATTTCCCTTTCCTTTAATATATCCAATTGGCAATTTGTCCATTTTAATTTAAATAATCTGTTAACTAATAATATTCAATATTGATAATGATTTTCAATCTGATACAGGGATAGTCTTTAGATTTATTGGAAATTAATTAATTACAAGGTAGAAACTATAAGACTAGTCAAATAATCTTTGATTTATGTATCTTTATCAATATTTGAAGCTATTTTTTATAATAAAAATGATACTTATAGACATTAGATAAATTTAATCTGCTTCAATAAATTCCATTCTTAGAAGAGAGAAGAATCTATTATCTTTGAGAATTGGGATTTTATGAATAAATTATTCAATTTGATTATTGATCATTTTACTAATTGTTTCATTATATCTTTGATGATCTAGAGGAACACCCTAATTTAAGATTTATTTACTTTTTGTATTTTATAATAGAAGCCATCAAAAATTTAATATTATAATGGATCTACAAGACTGATCAATAACATAGCAAAGAATCTCTTTTGTCTATTTTCAACCTTCTTTTATATTATAAGATCATCAATCACAATTCCACAATTTTTACCATCTTAATATTTTCTTCTTATAAAATTGTGTTCTAAGGTTTATTATGAAATTTATCTTTTAATATGATTCTTAATCAAATATTCTGATTCATTTAGATTCTTATATTACTTAAAAAATTCTAAACATTATGTAATATCTAAGTAATAGTAAATGAAGATTTACTATTCATGATAAAAGTTTCTGGTATAGGAACTTCAGTTTTCTGTAAAATTTGATAAAGAGATGATTTTTTGAATAATATTTCAATTCCAGGAATATGATTGTAAGCTTGGAAATTACAGAGAAATTAAGACCCAATTTCAAAATATGTATGAAAATTAAGATTTTCCATAAAAAAGATTGTAGTATTAAAGGGTAGATGATATAATTTATTACTTTCTAATATTACATCTGGTAGTAGATCTTTACCAGCAGCATTTAATGCAAAAGTGATTATGTTATCATTAGGATAATCAGTGATTATATTGATAGGTAATTGATGATGAGTTATAACGTAGAGATTATTTAATTCACAATAATTATTATCTTTAAGGATATTAAGTTGTGTTTATTACCGAATAGGTTCATTAGTAACAAGAATACTTTATTTAATAGGATTGATGTCTTTTATTGCTTAGATTGTATAATCATAATTAGTGTCTATATCATCATCTCCTACAGCAATTAGATCTCCTTTTGGATCATCAATAAATTAAATTTCTCTTTCGTTTTCTTCAGTATATTCAAATTCTTCCTCTTCACTCATTTCAATTTATATATCTATGTTATTCTAATCTTTTATGTTAGATTCATATATATGATGTTCAAAGATGCTATTTATAAATAGTTTAGTCTCATTAATACTAAACTCTTAATCTTATGTGATGTAAGCAAAGTAGAATAACAAAAGTGTCCAATTAAATAATAAGAGAAAGGCTAATCGTAATCCTAATTTAATTGGAGTCATTTTCTTATAATAATGATTTAAAATGAATTTCAATAAAAATAGAAGAGTCACTTTATTTTAGATTCTAGGAAGAGATAGAGTGAATAAGAAATCATAAACATAACATAAGAAGTCAAATACAATAGATCATGTGTAATTACCATAATTATATGATAATTTTCTAACTGAACATAGAATACGTCTAGGATAATAGAAATAATTCAAATCTATCAAAATTAAAGATGATTTTCCAGCCAATGCATCTTTAAATGTATCAGTTAGATCACCGATTAGATTATAAAGCATTTTCTAATCAGGTTAAATGAATATCAAAATAGACTAATTGTTAAACAGAAAGAAATATGTCAAGTCAAGTATACAGATGAAATTACACTGATTTATATATATATATATAAATTCAAATAATAAATCAATCAATCCTTTTATTCTTTTTATCCCTTAGAATATCCTGTAGGGTATAATAGTTTTCTTAATTTCTCTTCCTCTTATAATGGATCATTATCTTCATAGCCTTAAATATTCAATTTACAAATTTACCATATAATCTATATGCATTAATATCACCTCTAGCATCACCAGTAATAAGTACTGGACTATTGTGAGCAAATCTAACCATAGTTTTAGCTGGCCAAATTTATTAATCTTATGGCATAATAGTAAAATATGGATCTAACATATTATTCTTAGTTAAATCCCATAATTCTAATCTACCATCTTTACAAACTGATGCAAATAATACAGAAGTATGAGGAGACCATTCAAAATCTAATACTTCATCTTATAAATTTTATTGCTTTTATAAATCAAATTATAAATACTTAGAAATTAGCTTTAGGTAATTCTTCTGTCCAATTCCATAATTTACATGACCAATCAGCACTACAAGTTAAAAAGATATCACCAAAAAAAGGATTGCATCTAACCTTATAAACTGGACCAGAATGTCCAAAATAATTATCTAAATATTATTCTGTATATGATTTTGAGCATCTATGAACAGTACCATCTTCAGTAGCAGCTAAATACATAGCAGATTCTCTTTATAAAAAATCAAAAGAAAATCCTGCTGACATTCTAAAATTAACACCTTCTTATAAATTCTCTTTTTAAGATGATTAAACAACTCTTTTAAGATTCATTAAATTAGTATATTCCAATCCTTTTTTCATTGACCATTCAACAATACGACTATCACTACTAATACTAACAAGTGATTCTCCTTTATCTGTTCCTTTAGCTCCTTTTCCTACCCATTATACTTCCCAAACAGAATCACTATGTTTACCTGCCATCTCTTTATTTTCAGTAATAGGTTTATTAGACTTTCTTCTAATATCCCATACAGCTACTATACCATCAACAGTTCCTGCAGCAATTAAATTTGGTTAACTTTCAGAGAATTTACAACAATTAATTTTGGATGGATAAGTAATAATACGTTCAGGGAAAGTTGGATTTTTTAAAGTCCAAAACATTATATGTCCATCAGATGTTTCTCTATTACTATATGAAACAGCTAATAAATCTTTATTAACTGGATTCCAATCAGCACTAGTTACTTTACATTATTCACTTAATTAACATTTGTATGAAAATAATTATGTAATAGGATCTTATTATTTCTTTTCAACAACTTCTTCATCTTCTAATTTATTTTGAAAATTCCTTTTAAATGCTCCTCCTCTTTATTTAGGATCTTCATTTAATGTCATCTTCTCAAATTTAACTTCTGGATAATTTCTATATTGAATATATTATTTATGATATAAATTCTAATTAAGAATTCTTTCCACATATTTTAAACTAGTTTATACTTATTGACTTTAATAAATGATTTATTCTTATTCACTAATTTAAGAATTGGTTCTTTAAACATATTATTTCATATATTCTTCTTCTTTTATATCTTATTCATCCTATTTTTATTCATATTATTTTTATTATTATTCAGGTAATGGATTACTAGTTTTACCATGACTTTTTGTCACTTATTATTAAATATTAGCTTATTAAGATCCCATATTAGTAACACCTTTAGTACCAGTATGACTAGAAGAACTATCTTATATTCTTTCATCTCCACCTTATCCAGTTAATCCCCCACTTAAATTATTGATAGGTTATTATTTAGTATTAGTAGCAATACCACTTCTAGTTTTACTTTATGATTTTTCAGAAGTTTCTTTACCTAAAACAGGTCTTTCAGCATGTATTTTAATTGCTTCTAATTCTGTAGGTAATAAGAAATAAGGATTCTTATTCAATTATTTATACTCATTTTCTATACTTTATTTAATCTCTTCTTATAATATTTCAAATTCATTTAATTGATCAGTTATTGAAGCATCATATAAATCCCAAACAGCTGTAAATGCTCCTGTATCATTCTTTTCTATTTTAGTACATTATTAAGGTTTATGTTTCTATATATAATTGAATGTTTAAGCAAATCTCTTTGTAAAATTATCACTTCCAATTTTCTCTACTATAAATTATTCATATTTTTGAGTTCTCTAAATCTATCCAGTTTTTTTACCATGTTCACTATTTACAAATGATGATGGTCTAAATGTAATATATATATTAGTTTACATAAACATTAAACATTATGTAGGAGTCTCACTTAAATTAATTGGTATATTCTCTTCTAAATCCTCTTCTTTCAAACCTTTCTTCTATTTTGGTTTCTTCTCTTATTATTCTGATTGATCTCTTTTAGAATCTGAATCAGAATATGTATCTGATTACTTAGATTCCATAAAACTACTTCTCTCTGGATTATTAGAAGATGAAACTTTCAAATCAGAATTTGATGATTTATCCTATTATACTTTATTAATAGTACTGCACTCTAATGGAATGATTTCATATTACTATCCATAACACTTGCACTAACTTTTGTATCTGCCGGTTTCTATAATTATTTCAATTTCTATTCTTCCTCTCTATTCAACTATTCAGCCAATTACAAGAATCTCTTTGTAATCAATCTAATTTTTATATCATAATCTTACTCTTTTGGTGTTACTACACTATCTTTATACTTTACTATAACATTATCCTATGATGATTATTGAGTATCTTTCCCTGTTTAAGGTGGACCTAATTAAGTTCTACCTCCACCTAATTGATTTGGTCTATTTATACATATTCATAACTACCTTTTAGCTGTAACATTTGAACGAACATTTGATTTAGTTACTCCTGCTTTTAGTACCTCTGATGAAATCGACTACATTTATTTATTAATGGAATCTAAAAATCTTACCCAAAACATCAATCCCTTATATTTACTTGCATCATTAGCTTTGGGTACAATTGGGGCTGCTGCCTTTAATGCATTAAGAAAAGGATCAACTGAAACTGCTTAACAACATGTCTTTGAAGAAAATATGTCTGCAAATGCATCTGCTCCTTAATCTCCTAAAAGACCAACTAAAAAACATGTAATTAATAAGTTGATGGCAAAAAATGCTAATGAAAATGAATTAGTCAAAGAATTAAAAAATTTAGAAGAAATTACTTGTGAAATAGAAAGAGTTTCTAATCTAGCTTATGATCTCAAACTTTAAGTATTACCTTTGAATGTAAATCCAATGCTTGGAAATTCAAATTATAGAAGTGTATTTGGTGGAGAAGGTTTTCTACCTGAAACTGCTTTTGTTAATCATGATTGCTACATCCTTTGTATTATTATCTTATTAATTTAGAACATCCTAACTTTGGACCAAATGATTTATTATCAAGAACAAAGAGATGGTTAAGATCTGGTCCTAGAAAACATCTATTATTTAGTCCAGATGAAGTAAAAGCAGGAATTGTAGTTGTAGGTGGATTATTACCAGGATTGAATGTCATAATAAGAGAATTAACAATGTGTTTGTTTTATAATTACAAAGTATAGAATATATTTGGTGCTAAATATGGATATAATGGAATATATAATAATGATTGGATTAAATTAGATCCAAAAATGGTTAAGACTATTCATCATTAAGGTGGATGTTTTTTAGGTACAGCCAGATCTAAATTTGATGGTGAAATGATAGTTGATGAATTAGCTAAAAATGGAATTAATTAAGTTTATTTAATTGGTGGATTAGGTTGTATGAAGAGTGCTGAATAATTATATGAAATAATAAAAGATAGAAATCTCAAAATTAGTATTGTGGTTATCCCTAAAAGTATTGAAAATGAAATACCAATCATAGATAAATCATTTGGATTTGAAACTGCTATTGAAGTATTATTATTATTCAATTAAAGGAAGCTTAAAATCCTTTAAAAGCAGCGTATCAAGAAACCCATTCTAAAAGATATTCTGTTGGTATTGTTAGATTATGGGGTGTACATACAGGATTTTTGGCATTAAATGCTTCCTTAGCTTTTAGAAGTGTTAACATATGTTTAGTACCAGAATTTGAATTTGATCTCTATGGAGAAAAAGGATTATTATAATATGTCTATTCAAGACTATAACATAAAGGAACTTGTATTATAGTAGTAGCTGAAGGAGCTGCTTCTTCTTTGAGAGATTGCAAAATTAATGATAAAGGTAGAGATGCTTCAGGTAATGTAAAATAAGGAGATATTGGATTATTTTTAAAGAATGCTATTTTAGAATTCACAAGAGAAAAAGGATTAAATGCTGAAGTTAAATATATTGATCCATAATATATGGTTAGAGCTGGTAAAGCTAATTCATTAGATTCTAAATTATGTAGTTAATTGGCATAAAATGCAATTCATGCATCAATGGCCGGTTTCACTGGATTTGCTGTTGGTCATGTTAGTAATAAGACATGTATGATTCCATTAAATGAAATGAATTCAGGAAATTATGCCAATAGAATTACAGTAATATATATATTATATATATATAGCCATCAAATATTTCATGGTAGAGATTATTAGCAGGTACTGGATAACCATCATTTATAAATAATGAATAAGATATATGATAAAAACATAATAAAAATGAATAATCATATTAAATTGAAAAATAATTAGGCACTAGGCATCAATCCTGCTTCTTCTAAAGTTGTTTAGTCATCTTTTTAAAATATTGTTCTAGGAAAATTCAATATTATTTAGATATTTCTATCTTAATATTCTTTCAATCCTGAAACTATTTGATACATATCACAAATTCTTTGATTTCCAAACATCAAAGCTATTAAACTATATTTTCCTGTTTCTGTTCTAAATTTTAATGTACAAACATCTTCTAAATCTTCTCCATTATCAATTCTTTTTTAAGCTTCAGTGTTTACAATCCAATTTCCATCTATAGGATCTTATCTACATCCAGCTGATCTCAATTATTAAGTAGCATTTAAATTTGGTTATCCAGAAAGTCTTTTTTCAATATCTGATCTAATTGGTATTATTTTACCATTCTTAATTACACATTCAGGTAATTACTTAAATATAAAATATAAATACTTCTAAAAACTATTCCTTTTTCATTGGTTTTAATTATTTCTCTTCTAAATCTTCATATCCACATTACTTTTTATCATCAGCATTTGCTTCATAAATTTCTTCAGTTTTATCAATTAATTTCAAAGGAGTTCCATTTGGAAATTATTATCTATTAATTATTTTTAATTTACTTTAATTAATATGGAAAATAACCTTCTAGAATATCTGCTAATATTTAATAAGCATCATTTGAACCATAACTGAAAAATTTATGTCCCTTCATAGCAATACCATTTTTATAAAATCCAATAGGTAATGGTTCCATTTTTTAAAATTGATGCATACCATTTGCATTTTTAACTATTTAATTTGCTCCATCCTTTTCCATTATATAATTTAATTCTTCAATTCTTCTTTTTATTACATCTATTGAAATTTCCTTTGGTAAATGATAATTAAATAAAGGTTTCATTTATTTCATATCTGATGCCATTTATTTCATTTTTTTATCATTTTCATCACTTACTTTATCACCAACCCATTTTACTCCATATTTCTATAAGAATTTTTCCATATCCTCTATTTTCTTTTATTTCTTTTGATTTTCTTCTTTTAAATTATTTATTTCATTCATATATGCTTATTTATCTCCACTACCTAATTTTCTATTAATTTCTGTTAATTCTTAAACTTTCTCTCTCAATTATTCAATTATTTAATATTTCTCTTTTAATTCTAATTTTTAATTTTATGTTAATTTTTCAACATCTGCCAATCTTCTTGCCATTGCACTATTTAAATCTTTAGAATTTGCACTATCCTTTTAATTGCTCCTTATTGGACTTTAATTTTGTATTTTATGTTAATTTAATAAAGCCTCTACAGCATCAAATTATTATGATGGTTATCCTATTTGAATTTTATTAAAATAATTAAATTACCAATAGGAAGATCCTTTAATATGAGATTTGCAGTTTATTAATCTAAGATATCATGATTAATTTATGGATAATTAAGAGCTTTTGAAGCAGCATCTTTTAAGACTTTTGGTGGTTTTGCACTAGTAGGCTTTTATTAATCAGTAACAGATGATTTTCTATTAGATTAGATTGGAGTTCCATATTATTCTTATTAATTATTCTTGATTTATAATTCTTTTTTGTTTTTATCATTAGCAGCATAAAACATAATATTTATATATATATATATAAATTATAATACTTTCATGAAAATGTAATCTCATATATTTCACAATTAATAATTTTAGGTTAAATTTATCCAAAAAGATGAGTATTTAATTTTTATGCTTCATCATTATTCCAAAGATAATTATTTCCTAAATATGAACATCCTCCTTAAAAGTCTTCATCAATAGATAAATCATATTCTATTATATCTCCATTTTCACAATATCCAAAACAAGGTCCTTTTGTTTTATTACAATTGATAGCTTTGTAATCTTTATCTAGAATGGGATGAAAAGTATTATTAGTTTTGGAAAAGATAAATGAAGATTTAGTTTTATCTGCATAACTATGATTTTTAGTATATACCCATTTACAAGGAGAGTAAGCTCCAAAAATATAATTTTTATTTGATTTAAAAATCATTAATAAATTCTCTTTATTTTAAACTTTTTTCCAAAACATAGTTGCATTTAATCTATCATTTTTACCATCAAATATTAAATTAGTTTTTATAATTTTCTTTTTTGAATTCAATTAAATTCTTGCAAGTAATTCTTCTAAAAATTCTTCAGATACAATAGATGATAAACAATTATACTTATTTTTAAATGGTTATATTAATAATTAAATTTGATATAATTAATCTTTCAATTATTTATTATGTTAAAATTCTTATGTTTTAATAATATTACAATTAATAAATATTCTTTCTAATTGTGTATTAAGTTAAATTGGATTAGATTCAATATTATGACACAATTATTTTAAATTATTTTCACATTAATTTATGATTTCTAAATTTATTTGAGTCTATGAATTATAAACTAAATCTAATGTAGATCTAAAATTTTAATATATTTATACCTATTATATAAATAATATTTACTTATTCTAATTACTTTCTATGATTATATTTATTTTCATTGATATTCACTACTTCAAGTTTTAAATCATTTATAATTCTATCCAATATACATTATATCTCTTGAATATGTTTTTCTGTATTTTCAATTAAATATTTAAATTATTCGAATGAATATTTTTACAATGCTTATATCCTAATCTTATTTTTTTCATTTAATTCAAACTAAGAAAAAAAGTGATCAGGTTCTCTTATTGCTTTTTCAATAACTAATTTTTTCCATTTATTCGATTATGTATTTGTATCAATTATATTACTACTTATGCATTCTTCACAAATAAACATTAATTAATCCTTATTCCAAACAATAAACAATGCTTATTTATTAAAATGATATTTGCAAGAAAGACAATTCATATTTTTTAATTTATTAATAGAATAAAATAATCTATAGTAATAATAAAATCATTCAAAAATTTAATAATAAATATAAATCATTAAAATTTTTTAATTATCTAAATTAATTAAGTTTCATTAATGGGTTTAATTAAAAAGTCAGACATTCCACTATTAATACATTTTTCATATTCCTATTAATCTGAATATCCACTACATCCAACAATAATATAATTAGGATAGATACTTAAAATTTATTAAGCTGTTTCTTAACCTTTCATAAATGGCATCTCTATATCCATAAAAACTATTTTGTATCCTTAACAAGAATTACTACATTTTTTATTTTTTATTTTTTCAATACATTCTTATCCAGATAAAGCTGAATCAACATCAAATTCATTCTAAAATAAATATTTTTTATTTTTTTGTAATTATTAAAATAATCTTCTAATTGCAAAAATATTAAAACAATCATCATCTACTATTAAATAATGTAAACATATTTATTAAGTTGACCAATCTTCTTTGATATGAGTATGTATCTATTTAAAACTAGCTATTTCTTCTACTTCTTAAATTTAAACTGAAATTTCAGGTATTTTGAAACTAGATACTTTTTTTCTTAATGGTTATTCTAAAGGCAAATCAAAATAAAAATTTGAATAATGATTATCTTTTTTATTACTAGATTCAAGATTCAATCCATTAGAACCTATTGTTTATGCTATTTGATTACTAATTACTAAACCTAAACCAACTCCTTATTAATTTAATTTTTTGCTTTCTTCTGAATTTACTTTTGAAAATGCTTTAAATAATTACATTTAATCTTCATCTGAAATTCCAATTCCTTCATCTATAATTCCTATTCTTAACATATTTGAATTAATCTTTTAAACATTTATAAAGATATTTCCATTTTAAGTAAATTTAAATGCATTACTTAATAAATTAATAATTATTTATTTTATTCTACTTCTATCAGAAAATACAACTTTTGGTATTTAACTAGCTAAATTAAATTTTAATTGAACTTTTTTCATTTTAGCTTTTAATTCAAACATTTTCATACATTCTTAAATTAATGTTTCTAAATTAAAAGGTACTTTGTCAATTCTAAATTTACCATTTTTTATTTATGCTAAATCCAATAAATCATTAGATAAATTAAGAATATAACTTGAATTATCTAATGCCACTTATAATTATTCTGTCAAATCTTAATTATCTTAAATTGTCTAATCATTCATAACACATTCTAACATTTAAATTATACAATTCAAAGGTGATCTATATTCATGACTAACAAATGCTAACATTTTAGATTTTTATTTATCATATTCTCTTAAATATCTTATTTTTTATCTATGTGTAACATCTCTAAATATTATAATAATATTATTCTTATTAAGTGTCAATGTTAATTCTATTAATTAATAATTATCAGTATTAATTAATGTTTATGAAGTTTATTATAATTAATTTGTAGTAATTGAATATCTTTATTATAAATGTGCTTATACTACTAAACATTCACAATTAGATGATTTTAAAAGCATTTCTAATACTTATTTAAATTGATATTTATGTAATTAATCATATAAAGAATCATAATTTGAATTTTTATGTTATTGATCTTTTAATTCAATTTATTTTAAACAATTATATGAAGATCTCCTTTATAATTATGATGTAAATTATAAACCATCTGTATGATCATTACCTGTAAATATTATAAGATTTTCTAATAAATTTAATATTTCAGAATCTATTTCCTTTCCTAAAATAACTTTGGTTGCTTAATTAGTATATTTAATTGAATATGGAAAGTGAATATTATCTGAATCAATACCTAAAATGATTAAACCCTCATTTAAATATTATAAACAATGATATGTTGTTTCTAATATAGTTGAATCATTTATTGCAGCTTCTCTTAGACATGCTGAATGTAGATTTTAATCTAAATCAAATTATGATGTATTCTTATTAAATTTTAGATTATCTGGTCTATTAGTGTTGCTTATTTCAGTAAATAATACATTAGCTTAAGATTGTTGAGGTTTAAGAGATATAATATAACAATATAATGATATACAGAAGCTGATTAATAACTAAGGGTGTTCAATATCTATCTCAATATATATATAGGAATAAATAATCAAAAACATTGAAACCATTAATTAGAGGATAATAATAGGAGATCTTTTTGTTTACTTTAAATCAAGATATAAGTCTTTTGTTAAAAGTTATGAAATAATGAGTTATGTATAAGGTATTCTAGATATATTTGATACATTCATCAAAATCAAACAAATCAAATCTAATTGAAGACATATAATAGTTCCTTTTAATATGAATTTGTCATATAAAATTTGAAGCATCAAAAATACAATTGTAATTGAAGTAGTAACAATTAAAGTTATCATATTGAGTATATTGGAACTATTCAAATAGAAATATATTGAATAAGAGACTATCATATAGTGTATGAGATTTGCCATAAGACATTTTTGATTTAACATTTTTATATTAAAATTACACATTAAATGATCATTTCAATTTTCTGTTTTTTATAATACATAATTAAAATCTCATCAAAAGATTACACATAAACATTCTTAATTTCTAAGATTTTTATTGATGATTTAATTTTAATCACTATTTTTTTAAGGTGATTACTAACTTGTAACATCAGTATCTTGAGAATAACTAGTTTATTTATTTTCCTTATCCATTTCCATCATTTATAAATAACTAAAAATAAATTCCTATCAATTACAAATCTTTTGTATCAAATGAATATATTTATTTTATAATAATAAGTTATTTCTTTAAAAGAATATTCCCTTTAGATATAGCAGAGCAATAACTAATTAAATTTTGAAGTAAATTATCATCAATAGTAATTTCTATTTATTTTCTTATACTATCAAATTATTCACATAAATAAAGTCGATTTTACATCAATTCACTTTCTAAACAATTTAGTTCAAATTTAAAATTTTCTGCTATTTATAATAAGTTTATTTATTGTTTTATTGTTTCACTTTATTATTTTATATCTATATCTAAACATAATTTTTAATGGCAATTCTTCAATTCTATCAAATTGTTTTTGAAATAATTACTAAAATATATTATTCTTATTATTTACATTTATTATAGGTATGACTCTTTGTTATTTTTGAATCTAGGAGGTAATTAAGCAATTACACATGTTGGAGATTATCGTACTTAAGCTTATTTATTAAGAGTTTCCTGTAAATTTTTATTAATTTTTCTGATCTTAAAGAAATTATGATTATGTAAATACTTGTTATTATTTTTCATATATATATGATTTCAATTATTCCTACTTTTCTTTAGTAAAGAATTCATCTATTTCTAATTTAATATTACAAGTTGTCTAATAGGATATTTATTATTATACTTAGACTTTCTAAAATATTACTTCTAATTGTTATTTCTCTAAATCATCTTTCCATTATGTTGATAGAATATAGTTTAATAATTCTTATTAAGTTTGGAGGGCCAATTCAAATTTATTCATTATGAGAAATATCCAAAAAGAATTTATCTAATAATCAAATAAGTATTTAATAATATCAATTTGAATGTATAGGTTGACTGATAAAGAATGAATTCAATTCTCTATCTAATTTCTCTCTTTCTTATTTTAAATTCAATCTCAATTTCCTATAATATATAGTTAAATTATTTTACATTAAAATTTGATATTATCGTTCCTTTTCTGATTTTCTTCTTAGTTTTTTATAATTTGGAGATTCAATATTTTTGTTTTCAGGCAAAGTAACTTAAATAGATGATTCATTAATATTAGTAAAAATTGATTATTCTTCTTTTAAATTCTTTTTTGAAGAATTAACTTTTTCTTCATAAATTTAAGTTTATTCATTTGTCTTATTTAATTCATAAACTTCAACTTCTACATCATTATTAATTTAATCATCATGTTCAGTTATAATAATTTTTGGTATGGATGTAGATTTATTAAGTATTCTTTTTTATCTTTCTTATTCTAATAATTATTTTTAGACTTTTTCAATTGATTCTTATCTTTTCTTGTTTCTTTTAAATTTAATTAATTCTAATTTGTTTCTTTTAACAATCTTTTTCCTCTCTTTTTCTTTTGTTTCAAGATATTTTTCCTTTTTTTATAAAATATAATTAATAAAATACATAAATTTATTCTCTTTTAGACATATTATCAAGTGCTTCTTAAAATGTATTTTCTGTTTTTTCTAATATTAGATTTTCTGCTTTCTATTTATAAGTTAAATATTTATAACTAAGACTTCTAAACTTTTATTTTTATGATTCTCTTGTTATTTATATATATTATTCAACTTTCTAAAATTTATTATTCATTTATTCTAATAATTATTAATGTTCCTATTCTATTTTCTAATTTATATATAAATATATAACTAATTAATGTTATTCAACTCTCTCCAAATATATTTTATGTTTCATAGATTTATAGATTTAATTTTATCTAATCTACTCTGTTTATTCTGCATTTAATATATTAAGACGATGTTCTCTGAATAAAAATTATATCTTACAGCTCAATCTCTTTCTTAAATAATTCATTTTTCTATTTAATAATTCCTAAAAATTGATGTTCTTGCATCTAATTATTCTTTCTCTATATAATTTTAGCTTTAATATTAAATTTATGAGCCTTCTATCTAATCTACATTTTCTTTTCATTTTTAAATCCTTCAGCCTTCTTCAATGATTCATTAAGAGATTCACTTTTTAATATTCGATTGGATTCCTCAGATTTTAAACTACTATAAAATTTCTAATATTATCAAATTCTCTTACTCTAATCCTTTCTCTCTCTTAATTATATGTAGTATAATACAATTCATATTATTCTTGCATAATATATTTATTTATTAATATTATTTATAATCATCCAAAAAAGCATATGATAGAATTGACTTCTCCCAATTCCACTAAGAAAGCTCCCTCTCCTAAACTTTAATGTGGAGGTAATTATACACAACTCATGTATTTACCAACACTATATACTTTATTATCATGAATAATTGAAGTCAAAGGTAATAAATCTACAGGAAGTTGACTATCATTTACAGTAATACTTTTTTAATTAATAAAATATTAATACCTTTCATTCTAAATATTATAAACCAAAATCTTTTTACTAAAATAAAGATTATTTTCAAAATATTGACTATCCTTTAATCCTCCAAATATTAATATTTAATCTTCATTAATACATATTGCATTTCCCCAACTTACATCAAAACCTTCTAATTAATTATTAATTATTAATCTTTCCCATTTCTTTGATAATAAATCATATCTTTCTGCACTAACAACATTTAATTATTAACTTGATGTTCCAAAAAATACAAATATACCATGTTATTCTTCTGAATAAGCACATGAAGATCTTGATCTAGCATCATTTAATTTTTCTATCTCTTCCCATTATTAATTCTCTATATTAAATCTTTCACATAATTTTGTTCTAAAATTATTATGTGTTTTTCCACCAATTGCATAAATATATCCTTTTGGTGCTTCTGACCAAAATGTATTTGGTTATATATATACTAAAGTATGTCCTACTCTTTTTACAAGCATATCAGGTAATTTTAATACAGTTCCTTTTGAAATATCAATAAATCTGCATTCTCCTAATATCTATCCTTATGAATTAACACCTCCACTAATGAATAAATTACCATTTGGTAAATTTAAAAAAGAACTATGATCTGGAATTTATTCATTTAAATCTGTTTAAAAGATCTTTTATGAAGCATAATCATATGCATATAATTTATTATCTTAAGCATATGGTATACAACTATAAAATAAATAAATAATAATAATAAATTTACATTGTATTTTCAATAAAGAAATTTGGTTTGTTAATGAATAGACTTTCTGCCTTTCCTTTTTTACTTGGCCAATATACAGAAGCATATTAATTTAAACCAAAATATAGACTTTCTGTTATTCTATTTTGAACTTTGATATTTGGCATACATTCACTTGTATGATTAGGATAACTTTCAGTTTAAATTTACATACATTCTTATTATATTTCATCTTTCTTTGCAGGATAATTAGCAGCTTAAAATTCTTCATAATCAAATTATGAAAATTGTTTATCATTCATTTTTTTCTTATATTCTGATAATTAAGCAAATATACTCTCAATTTCTTATTTCATATATTCTTTTTATATATAAAATAATTCAATACATTTTAAAGCTGTTGTTGGATAGAATCGACTTAAGTATATATAAATATTTTGAATATCTTTGAAATATTAAGTAATTATATGATGAAGCTGTTATTTTGAACCTTCAATTAAATCAGTATTTTTATTATAACTTGCTTAATTTCCTAATTCAGGTATCTCTAAATTTTGAATCTTCTCCTTCAACTATCTTATTTGAGTCAGCAATTACGAGATATGAGCTTTTACTGCCTCTTAATTAATATTCATTATTTTTATTTATATCATCATATAATAATGAAATATTACTAATTATTCTAAAATATACATTCTAATCAATAATTAATTCTATTCATTCAATATATCAAATATAAAAATAACACTATAAATATTCATTTGAGATCTATCAATATTTTAATAGAGAATTCCTTACTATAGTCATGTTAGATAAATGACAACTCTTTTACATAATCTTAGAATTATAAATATAACTAACTGAGTCTTTCTTCATAAAATTATTTCTAATATTATTAAAACTTAACATACCCTAAAACTCTAAATAATGATAAAAACTCTTCTACATGAGTATATTTTGTAATATGACCAATATTTCTAAGCTTATTTTTAAGATGATTCATCAACTTTATAAATTCTTCTCCTCTCTCTTCTCCTAAACTTTCAAAAATTATTGTTCGTTATCTACAAGCATATGACACTATAGCTTTAGCATAATTTTTCTGTATATTTGTAGATTTAACCAAAAGGTTAAGTTTCTAAATGTTCTTAGTTAGATTGGCCTTAATTGATTTAGGATTTTAAGCAGTATCTCTAGGTTCATCATTATCACTATCACAATCTAGATGACTTTCGGTTTCAGAGATGGTTTTTTGTTTTTACCTTCCCTATTGTTAGTTCAAACCAATAGATATATTATTTGTTTAAGTTAGATTATCATTAACTTAGATTTGAGGATTAACTATCTATGTATTAGTCAATGCAATAGGTGCTGTCATTAACAAATATTAATATCCAAAAGGATAGAAGAATGGCTATTGTACATAATAAGCATTAAAGTTTGTATTAAGCATCAAATATTTTTAAAAATAAATAAACACAACCGTAAGACTTAATATATTAATAATCCAAATTCGGTTTATTCGCTTTATTAATTATTTATTATTTTTCAATTATTTTTATAAATATCTAATTGAAGTTTTTTTAGATATTATTAATAATTATTTATTTTAATACTGTTTAGTGCTAAGAGTTTTAAAGGATAACAAAAGATGAATCTGAATTGAATGGATTAATTTTTAATTGAAAGAATATCAATAAAAGTTAAATTAAATAATTTGAAAGAAGGTAGAGATATGGAGTATGGATTAGTTAATATACATACTACAAGAATAATAGTATCTATCTTAATTTAATCTTGTTATATATTGATATTTAATTTTATATTATTATATTATAGTTATATTTCCAACATTAAATTACATATATACATATATATAGTGATTATTATATATGAATTAATTGAATATATATTTAAGATGATATAATTTAAAGTATTTTAAAATAATATTATATATATATATATATATAAGATATATCAAATNATAAATATAACTAACTGAGTCTTTCTTCATAAAATTATTTCTAATATTATTAAAACTTAACATACCCTAAAACTCTAAATAATGATAAAAACTCTTCTACATGAGTATATTTTGTAATATGACCAATATTTCTAAGCTTATTTTTAAGATGATTCATCAACTTTATAAATTCTTCTCCTCTCTCTTCTCCTAAACTTTCAAAAATTATTGTTCGTTATCTACAAGCATATGACACTATAGCTTTAGCATAATTTTTCTGTATATTTGTAGATTTAACCAAAAGGTTAAGTTTCTAAATGTTCTTAGTTAGATTGGCCTTAATTGATTTAGGATTTTAAGCAGTATCTCTAGGTTCATCATTATCACTATCACAATCTAGATGACTTTCGGTTTCAGAGATGGTTTTTTGTTTTTACCTTCCCTATTGTTAGTTCAAACCAATAGATATATTATTTGTTTAAGTTAGATTATCATTAACTTAGATTTGAGGATTAACTATCTATGTATTAGTCAATGCAATAGGTGCTGTCATTAACAAATATTAATATCCAAAAGGATAGAAGAATGGCTATTGTACATAATAAGCATTAAAGTTTGTATTAAGCATCAAATATTTTTAAAAATAAATAAACACAACCGTAAGACTTAATATATTAATAATCCAAATTCGGTTTATTCGCTTTATTAATTATTTATTATTTTTCAATTATTTTTATAAATATCTAATTGAAGTTTTTTTAGATATTATTAATAATTATTTATTTTAATACTGTTTAGTGCTAAGAGTTTTAAAGGATAACAAAAGATGAATCTGAATTGAATGGATTAATTTTTAATTGAAAGAATATCAATAAAAGTTAAATTAAATAATTTGAAAGAAGGTAGAGATATGGAGTATGGATTAGTTAATATACATACTACAAGAATAATAGTATCTATCTTAATTTAATCTTGTTATATATTGATATTTAATTTTATATTATTATATTATAGTTATATTTCCAACATTAAATTACATATATACATATATATAGTGATTATTATATATGAATTAATTGAATATATATTTAAGATGATATAATTTAAAGTATTTTAAAATAATATTATATATATATATATATATAAGATATATCAAATAATATAGATATTATATAATATTAATGATTTATAATATAAAAGATATTCATTATTCAAATTCATCTATCTTAAATTTGTTATCTATTTTTGGTGTAGGTTATTTTGTACGAATACTGTCATTTTGATCACCTTAAAATTATTAATATTTTTTAATTTATTCTTAATATGAATTAATCTACTTTCTTGTTTTATTGCCATAACAAATCAAAGCTAAAATACTAAAGAATAAAGCTATTCCCAAACAAATACTTATTATTATCAAAAGTTATCTATTAAAATGATTGGCATTCTCTTAAATAACATTAATTCCAATTTCAGTATTAAATTAACATACAATTAAATCCTTACTTAGAATTTCTTAATTAAATTATTACTTTTTTTCACAATCACTTAAATTAGTAAATATTTAATAATAAAAACTCTAATTTAAATAATAAATAAATACCTATCCAATTAAATTTGTGTCATTTGTTTAGCATACTATATTACCTTAAATCTAATCTATTTAAAATAAAGTTATTGAATCTGTATCTACACCAAATATATTATCATATGAATTTTATATATTAGATTCATAAAAATTTAGATATATTGTATGTGCTAAGGTAAATGGATAATTATTAAAAATATTCTATTTATTATGAATATTAAATACAGTAAAAATACTAGGTTATGAATGCTTAATTATACTATGAGTTTCTAATCCTTTAACAATAACAAAATTATTATTAATCTCTAAATTCTAGGCTGAATTTTTAAGGATATGGGAGTTTACTATAAACCATATACCTTATACTAAATTAATCTCTAAATCTATCAAAATTATTTATTTTTATGATTTTTTAAGAATAACAAAACTTTAATCATTATTTTAATTAAAATTAAATGAAGATTCAATAGGTATGAATGATAAAATAGAATATTATTTGATTTAAATTTATTTTTGATTATCAAATAACATTCTATATATATGTATTCCATCATCTTTTAATAAAAATATGTATTCATTTTATTTACTTAAAATAATATCAATAATAGTTTGATTTTATTCAATATGATTTTTTAATATAATTATTTGATTTCCTACATCAACCCAAAATATTAACAATCCTTATTATGTAGCAATAAATATATATCCCAAACTACATAAAATTTTTGTAATTTTCATCTCTGGAATAACTTATGGCATCAACATGCCTTTATCATCTTAAATGATCAAAGTAGTTTAATAAAATAGAAATGCCATATTTAATTCAGCACTGAAAATACCTTTTTAAAATACTTCTTTTGTTTTAATAAAATCAGATAATTGCTGTTTATTTATAATTTCTATTTTATCTAAGTCAAATAAAATATAGTTATTAAATTCTGTTATTAAACCTAATTTTTTATTTAAGTGAAATGCATATATGATTTGATCATTTTGTTAATCAATTTTATCTTTTGATATATCAATAATCTATTTAGTAATATTATTTGTTAATGCAATCGTGTCATGTTAAATACTGCATAATAATGTCTAATTATTGGTTGATATATTGCTTTTATAAATTGATCCTCTAGGATATGTGTATAGAATTGCATCTTCATTTATTCTCATATCATAATTTATTGATGACTATACTATAAATGGGTATTATGCTGATACCTTATATCAAAGACAATGCAAAGTCAGATGGTTTGATTTATTAAGATTAAGCAATTGCTAAAATAATTGATAGTATAATCATTTTATTATATAATGAGATCAACATAATTAACATAATGCATACAAAAAGAAGAAGAGGATCAATTTGTTTATGAATTTGATAACCTATCTGAACCTTAATAAAATTTATAGACTCCTGATTTTTAAGCTACAAAACAAAATGAGGCTAATTAGTAAGTCTCATACTCAGCTTAAATTTAGTAAACAGATCAATATGGATTCAAATCATAAATAAATTTAATACATCATAAAGATAGAAAAACACTTAATGCAAGAGTAGAAAAATGGAGATAAATGATAAATGAGTTTGATAAATAAAATGCATAATTAATCAAAGAAAGAACTCGAAAAGTATTTCCTAATTTTATTTTAGGGAATACCTGATGGATTAAGAATTCTAGCTTGGCCACTTCTAGCTGATATCAAAAAGGCAAAAGAAAAATCAAATACCATTTAAAAGATGTCAAAATATTCTGATTTTTTAACAAAAAATGAATTTAAATTCGAGCATTAGATAAGATTAGATGTTCATCGTACATTCCCAGATAATATTAATTTTTAAGTACTTATCCTTTATATTTAGGATTAAACAGTACTTTCTGAATCTCTAGTCAATGTATTAAAAGCATTATCAGAAGCTATTCCAGACATGGGATATTGTTAAGGATTAAATTTCTTAACTGCAGCTCTTATTATGGTGACAAATGATGAAAATGTAAGAATCCTTAATAATTTTTAGGCTTTCTGGATTCTATATCGATTAATGACACATTACAATTTAACAGCTAAATACAAAGATCCCAATTCTCTTTATAGAGAATTTTATATTCTTGATAATTTGATATAATAATATCATCCTTATACTTCAAAAATACTAAAACGTCATAATATTGATTTGTTCTATTTTACAACTGAATGGTTATACATATTTCATTAATATTAGGTTTATTACATTATTTTCAACTGCTCTACCAATTAATCTATTTTATAGAGTTTTTGAAATATTCTTAGTTGAAGGTGAAAAAACTATTTTTAGATGTGCTTTAGCAATAATTCATTTCAAAGAATAAAAATTAACATAATTAAATGATTTTGAAAATGGTCTTTAATATCTTAGGTCTAATGAAGATTTATTTCATTTAGATTCTAATTAATTCATTAATCTAATGCTAACCAAATACAAATTCTCCAAAAATATCATTCAATAATTAGATTAGAAATATAAAAAAAATTAAAAGTGAGAAACAAGAATTTGTTTAAATATATATATTATAATAATTAATTAAAGTACTAAAATCTAGAAAATTATTCTTAAGAAAAAATAAATTATGAAAAAATTATATGAGTTATTTTGGTTAAATTAAGTTATAATCACCTAATAAATTAACTAAAATCTAAAAGTTTATTCTTTTAATATATAATTCATATATTTATATATATAATAAATATATTTATAATATTATATATATAATAAATATATAACAATCTAATTTTAATTTCTTATTCTTATATGATTTTGTTCGAAATAATATCATATTTTATATGTAAAAGTCTATTTTCTAAATCTTATTATTCTTAAATAATAAAAATAACATTTGATCTTAATATATGTTTTAAATATCTGTTCATTATCAATTACAAATTTAATTATGAAATGATATAATTTTCTAACGTATATTTAATTTTTGGAGAAGTACATTAAATATTTGAATTCTCAATTTCATAATCATTATTACTTTAAAATATTACCTAAGAGTAATGTTTGAAAAAAATAGATTAATCAGAAACTAATAAACAAAATGTATATATATATTTAAATAACTATTCAATATTAAAAATAGGTTTTCTAATATTTTCTACTAAAAATAGAGATATCTCCAAGAAATATTTGGTATTTTATAATAATATAGTATATCTTTATAAATTGTTAAACAATATTTATGTTAAATTTGAAATATAATTATTATTATAAGATGATTATATATCATTTATATTATCTTACAACAATTTTAATAAATGAATTAAAAAGTAAAATTTTTGACATAAAAATATAAATAATACTATTTTTAAGTAGATCTAATCATAAATGAATTAAAAATGACATTGTATTATTTAATAATAAATAGTTGAATTAATAAATAATATATTTATTGGATTATATCGATAATTTATTATAATATATAAATGTAAAAGGAGAGTGAAGAGAAGATAATCAAGTAGTTATTTAAGGAGGTATATCCTTAGCCGATTCGCATTAGATACTGAACTATTATAAGAAGTTGATGGAGAATACAAGTGATAGTGCAGAGTTACCATGCCAAGACAATATGGTTGAGGATGTTTAGGTTTGTTTCCGAATAATGTGCCAAATTGTAGATTCATTTCTCTAAGGGTATCATGATTTGAAGAACCAATATAAATTACTTGAAGATCAATTAATTCAAAAAGAGACTGAGGCAAGAAAGCATATTTAGATTTAATAACAATTAAAAATATATGCAGAAGACTTATAAGACACATGTGAAGAAATGCAAAAACAATTAGAGAAATCTAATTCATAAATAATAGTATTGAAATGATTAATATTATGGAAGCAATTATCAAAAGAGATTGTTAGAATGAAGAAATAAATTAAAATTTCTAGTTAAGAGAGATTAATGACTGATACTACATAAGATAGATTATCAACAATAATATCATAACAGAAATAATAAGTATAACCTAAAACAATGATTAAATTGCCAAAAAAGAAGACATCTTAAAATCTGTATTTAATTGAAATTAAATTGTAGAAAAAATTCGATATCAGTCTTAGGATAGACTATAACAATAGACAGAATGTAGGAATTAGTAAGTTTGTATGGAAAGAAGAAACCTAAGAGTGCAATAAAAACTAGATCTAATACAATACATATTACTGATTAGATGACTAAACCTGTTAAATAAAAGAGAATGTAATCAATCCATGATGTTTGAATACTGTTATAAATATATTTAAATATAAATTGTTGTTAATTATATTACAATAATAAAATTAGTAATATATATATATATATAATATCATTATTTTATAATATAATTATTATTGATCTTAATCTCTTATTCCATTAATTAAAGAATCTTTCCTTCTAAATTTTAATTCTTCTTCATTTATGTATCATATCCTTATTTAATCTAAGTTAATTCCTCTGATTTCTTTGACAATTCCTTATCTTTTTTATTAATAATTTAATCTATCATCTATTATATTATAATACTTAATTAATTAATCTTCCACTATAATTCTTATAAATCTAATGTTTTACTACTTTAACATCCATTCTTTTCTAATTATTATCTATAATTCTCCTTCTCTTATTAAATTTAATTTAGTTATAATTCTAATTACCTAAAAATGAATTATTAAATGTTTAAACTTTATTTTTTAATCATTATGTAGTAAGATTTATTCATATTCCTTAATTTTGTCATTTAAATTTTAAATTTAAGTTTCAAATAATACTTTTTCTGCATTAGATAACATATAATGGCTATCTTCTTCAATTTTCCTTTATTCTAATCTATCTTTCATTTCAGATATTTCTTGCCATATTACTTAATATCTAGCACTTGCTTATTATAATTCATTTTATTTTTATAATAACTCTTATTTATATGAATTCTAAAATATTATATAATATTACTTCAACTTATTCTTTTTAAGTTCTTAATATATTCATTTATTCCTTTAACTATTAAATAGTATTATTTAAAGAAATTATAGTCTAATGACTTTGAGCTTATTCTTATTTAAATTTTATTAATTCATTTTCTAACTAATTTTGATATATCAAATATTCTTATGTTTTTTATTTATCTTTATATTATTTTTCTAAATTTTCTATTTTTTAATTTAAAAGATCATTTTCTTATTGTAATGCATCTTTCTGATTTAATAAACTTTAAGATTTAAGTTCTAAAGTTGTTATTGTTTCTTTCATTTATGAAATAGTTTATTAATCTAATTAATAATGTTATAATTATTATCTTAATTAATCATTGCTTATTTAAAGTGTTAATAATTTAATTTCTGCTTATTCAAATTTATAACTTAATTCTCTTTAAGTATATTTATTTTTATTATTATTCGAAATTAGATTCTCTTTCTCATTTTTTATGATTGGATCTTATTACATTTTATCCTAATTAAATACTCCATCTTTCAATTTTTTATTTTCCTCTTATAATTTATTTATTAAACATTTTAATTGTTGATTTTCACTGTTAATTTGAGAAATCTTCTATTCTTATTATTCTAAATGTGATTATAGTTTATCTATATCTACATTACTTAATTGATTTTTAATTTAAGTATTTTCTTCTACTAAAACATTTGATAACTATGAAGCAGATTTCAAAACTTAAATAACTTAATCAATTTAAGCTTGTATCACTTTATCAAATTGTTATTTAAAATCATCTAAATAATCATTAACAAATTTGAAATGATCTTTGAGTGTTTCAATATTATTCTTTAACCCTTTAGGCAAAGTAGCATTCTTTTTTTCAACATTACTTTCTTAAGTATAATTTAAGGATGTATATAAACTATCTAAAAATCTACTTGGGAATGTTTTATTAGAGAGAAGACAGACTGTAGATCCAGATTAGCCTTTAACTTAATAAAATGAATCTCTTTGAGTGTTTTTTTATTATTAACCTTTGATTGGTGAGATTTAATCAATTATGCTCCTAAAGAAAAATAGTTTAAATACATTCTCATTTTTTAGCAGTTAGTGGTATTAGTATTATGGTTTTAACTATGTTGACGGACCTAAAAAAATGGATTTGGTTTTTGGGTTAGTTACATACTCATTTTGCTGTTATAAATTTAAATTTATTGGAATAAAATGAAATAAATCAAATCAAGCATGGCTAGCAATTCTTTAATTTCTCTCATGGTTTTCATCATTAACTTAGTTAAATCTGGATTCAACTAGTTCTTCTAATGAAGCTACTAATTAAAGTTCATTTCTTCTAGCTTGAGTAGCAAAATTGTATTCATTATCAAAAGTTGCACATAAAGCTTAAGCTTAATCCCAAAGTTATTGATTTCTTTAGAGTTTTCCTGAAGCTCTTTAGGCAATTGCTGATTAAGATCCAATTTATTAACTTAAAGAATCTAATTTATTTTAAAGTCTTTCATGTTAAGCTTCAAGTCTGGCAATGGTTTATCCTAATCTTTCCTTTTAGTCATTGAAGGCTGCAACTGAAACGGCATTTGATTCAGTATAATCATTGTATGCTTCTTAGATATTGGCTCTTAAAGTTTCCAAAAGTTAAGCAACTCTTTCAAGTGCTGATTCATCAAGTTATCCTTCTGATGTAGCTAATTAAGCAAAGGCATAAAAGATTGGGGCAAATCTGGTTGTTTCTTTGATGTTGAAAGCTGTTTAGAGCATATTTTTAGCAACTCTACTAATTTCAACGAATGATCCTGATCCACTATAGATTGATGCTAAAATGTCTGAAGCTTCATCAATAGCATGGAGAGCATCTTCATAATCTCTTCCTCTTTTCTTAAAATATCCAGCTTCACTTTCAGCAGATGTTTAAACTGAGGTCATGTGTTCTTAAGCTGAGAAATATTATTATTAGTTGACTTCTGATTAACTTGTAGCTCTAATTTTTGATGTTTAAGCAACATTTAAAGCAGCTGTAGAGTCTCTAAGGACATTGCTGGCATCTTAGACTTCAGCACTTCTGAATTCATTTTCAGAAGCACATTCAACTTATTGGATACCATAGATTTCATCATGTTTAACTTATTCTGTGCTTACTGCATCTCTAAAATCTCTTAAAACATTTAAAATAGCTTCAAGTGGTGATTTATTTTTCAATTTAGCTTCTACTTCAGCTAAAACTGCTGAGATAGATCTTTTTTTAGTATAATCTAAATTGAATTTTGATGTAGCATTTGCCACAGCTAAAATGACTAATAAGCACAAGGCGATTCTCATTAATTTTAATGATAAATTTCCATGATGGTATTAAGTTTTAAAATGAAAAAATCGATAATCAAAAACGGATTTAATTAAAACAGCATACTATGTGCAATAATCATATTTGTTAAGAACATTCTGAATTTATTCCTGTCCAACTAATCAATAGGAATTTTTCCATTTTTTTATTTTTCATTTATGTATTAGATTTTACTCATAAATAAGGGTTTGTTTAATTATTATAAGCATATAAGAATATATTGCCTAAGAATTACTAATCTATATTATTTTGATTTTGTGTTCCATTATTATTCACTATTAATATATTTAAATAATTTTTTATTCCACATTTATTCTTTCTCATTCAATAACTATTTAATTCATTCTATTTAAGTGTATTAATTATTCTGACTCTATATTCAAAGCTTTATTTTGTAATATATTATTTTAAATAAATGATTGATTTCACTTTCATCTAAAAATAAAGCTAGAATAATGTTATGTTTGAGCATAATAAAACTAGTAATTTTTATTTATTGATGAGGTTTATATTATCTTCTTCAATTTTTATATGTATAATAAATAAATAAATCATAACAAATATTATTCTTTGATCTTAAAATTATAATATTAACACGTATTAGCTAATTCATCTAATAATTGTTTATTTTATTGAATTCTAGTTGAATATAACTAATGCTTGTCTAAAATGCTTTAAGCTTACATTTCTCTTTCATTATTTAATTTTTCTAATCTCTGCCTAACTTAGATAAATTTATAATCATTATTAACAGATTTAGCAGTTCTAATTGATTCTGCTTTAGATTCTTATTATTTAAAATCCTTTTATATCTTTTATGATTCACTATTTGACAATTCTTAATTCATTGATTTCCTTCTTTCTTTACTTTATTACTTTATTTATTTTTCCTAAGCCTTTTATGTTAAATGTAATAATTTCTAATAAATCTAATTTAATCTTGCTTATTCTAATTCTTCTTTATTTTTTTATGATTTTTCAATATGTTAATGAACCTAAAATCTATAACACTCATTACAATTTCATCCTGACCATGTAACTTTTATTTAATAATATCCATTCTTTGAGATTTCCTTTATTTTGCTGCATCCATACTCTTATTTAACTAATCAAATAATTCATTCTTTAATAATTTATTAATCTTACTTCATTCAATTTTTTGGGTTCAGCTAATTTAATCTTTTGAATTGGATATCCACGAATTTCCTATTTCTAAATGGTTTTATTTTATTAAATTTAGGATATTTCTTTTTTTAAAGGTGTTTCTGATTTTTTATCATTAGTCTCTTCTTAAAATGACATTTAACGAGGTTTTTTTGGTTAATTAATTTTTTTCAATTTATTTTGTAATGCATTTAATTGTTCTTCCTTTTTTTGTAAACTTGCTTCCATTGAATTAGATAGTTTTTCATTTAATTTCTATAACTTTTCATTATAATCAGAACTTAATTTTTTTTTATTCAAATGAATGGATTCCAATCGAATAATATTGAATTTTGCTCTTTACATTTGTTCTTAAGTTATTCATTTCTTTACCTTGAAGAGGATTCGAATATCCTCCATTCTAAACTTTACTTTCAATTCTATTTTCAAGTCCTATTTATATAGTAGTTAATTTACTTTAAAGTTCTTTTGAATATGGTAATAAAATATTTTACATTTTTAATATTAAAATTTCATTAGAATAAAGCAACTCAGTTTTTCAATTATAGTAATTAACTGTCTATTTATAAATGTATTAAAAATTATGAGATTTCAAAAAAGCAATTCCTAAATTAAACATTAATTATTTCATGTTATTAACTTCATCAATATAATACTAAATATTAAAATTATACTAAAAGTAGAAAATTTATTCTCAATTAGACTATTTTATATCAAATATAATAAAATGATTATATTAAATAAAAGAGAAATCAAATAAATTAATCTCTTTTGTGGTAAAATAGATTTAATAAAAATATCATATATTATTCTTCACTTGAACTTTCAGATGACCATTTAATATTATTTATTAAAATAAAATACTTAAATTCAATAAATTATTCTCCCCTTTCAAAATCAAATGATAAAAATATATAGGATAATTGATTAAGCAGTGAGAAATGTTATTGTTCAACACAGAAATCAGTAATGTATTGATGGAAGTCAAATTTTTGACACTATTACAATTACAATCAAATATTTTATTCTTTAATTTAAAAAATGTGTGATAAAATATTATATTTTTTCCATTTTAATTTATAAAATATATTATGATTTATATTTTATTCATAAATTCATTTCTAACATTTCTCTTTTTAGTTTTTCAATAACTTTTTCAACTAATGTCACTAATGTTTCTTCTGTCTTTTCCCTTTCTCCTCTTGTCTTTTTTAATTATTCTTAGATTCTATTTGAGATCTCTCTTAAACTTTCTACTATTTCTTCCTCTTTTATTTCTCTTTCTTTTTTTTCTCTATAAATAATATATTTATTATAATTACTTTTCAAATAATTATCTTAAATCATTCAATTATTCAACAAATTAATGATATATCTTTTCCTCTACATCTTTTCTTTCTGTAATCTCATTTTACAATTCATCTGCTATTTTTGGTAAATCTTCATTTAAATATGAATCAATATATTCATGAGATGTTGATTATGCCTAAATTAATACATTTATTACTAATCCTTCCTTAATAACATCTTATTATAAGGACTCAATTTATTATCCAATTGAATACACAATCTTTTTTTCTTATTCTACTCTCTCTTTAGAGTTTTATTCAATCAATCTTCTTGCATGTCTTTCCAAGTCTGTAATCAATTTGAATGTTTCTGTTTCTTATCTTTCGCGACTTAATGTATTATTATTCAAAATACTTCTCTTATTCTTATTCTAAAAATTCTGTTATCTGTCTGACTTTGGCAGCAATATAAGTGAACTTCTCTTCTTTTTAATCAGATTAATGTTGCAATTATGCTTCAAATGCCATGATCAATTAACTTATTGCATGAAAACGATTGTTCTTTCTAAAACATTAATTTAATAATTACTCATCCTAAACACTAGTTGATATGTTATTTAATTTTTCAAAGATTGATGACACTCTATTTTAGATATTCTCAGACATTATTTTAATAATTTTTATTTGTATATAAAATATGATAATTTACATGTATTTATATATCTAAATAATTCAATCAACTCCTAACAATAATATGATTCATAACATTTCTATTTGTTTCATTTAATTTATATTTAATTAATAAAATAAATTCGTTAATGTTGACTGATAAAACACATTCCTATGAAAATAAAGCTATTGATTAAAGTTAAATTGAAGAGCATCAATTATAATTCCAGAAAACCTCTTAGTTTACAAATATTGATGACAACAGCACTATTTATAATGATTAAGAAACTAATGAATAAAGTGTTTATCTAAGTAAAGATCCAGAAGTTCAAAAATCTATTTGTTTATAAGAAAATGAGATTTAGAGATTATCTTAAGCATATGCTGATAAGTATTACTATGAAATGAAATTTGAACAGTATCAAAATCTTTTGGCATAATAATAATGCACTATTTCTAAATTATTGAATGAGAAGAAAGATATATAATAAAAATTAGAGAACAATATTATGTAACATAGTTATCAAGAAAATCATGATTCCTTATAATAGACACATCATTTAGAATAATAAATAGAAGAGTTATAATTATAAAATGAAAATTTAATACAATAAAATGAAATGTATGATAATTAATTAGATGAAACAAAAAGATTGTTATAAAAATTGAATAAAGAATAAGAATCATTATAATAATAATTTTAAGAATACAAATTATAAGTTTTCATCAAAGAATAAGAATAATAATAATTAATTGATTAATTATAAAATAAGACTTCAAAAGAATCAAAGTTATCTATTTATTAAGAATTATAACATTAGATGAATGAAATTAAAGATTAAAATAATTATTTATTTGATTAATTAAGTAAAAAAGAATAAGAAATTGAGTAAAATTTTTAGAGATAATTATCAGATTTAGTAGAATAATTCACTTAAGAAAAATAAGAGTTATAAGAAGAATTTGAATAATAATTGGAAAATAAAGATGAAATCATACATTAATTAGAAATCTAAATAAATGATGTTCAAAATCAAGCATAATCATTATACTCTGAAAATCTTCAATTATAAAATCAATTAGATTTATTAGGATAGAAGTATAATTTTATTATCTATTACTTTTTAGTTATTAAGAAGACATTTAATAATAAGCTAATGTGTTGTCATAATAAGTGGCAGAGTATAAAATAATAATTAATAATTTGGAAAATTAGATATTTGTGATGAATGCTGAAATTTAAAGACGAGGAAGATCTAATGGTAAAGAAAATGCATAGAGAGTCTTATAAGGAATATCAAAAATTAATTAATAAAGACTAAGTACTGGAGAAATGACATTTTCAAACATAACTCCTAGTTCGAAATAATTTCAATACTGATCAAAATTCTAAATTTATAGAAAAAAATTGGATTTCTATTTTTTTTATAAGGATATTATATTTTGATAGTTTTTTGGGTTTCTATATAATTTCTTTCCTTTATTTTTGTCGATTATCCACAATATTTTTTATAGCTGATAGCAATTTCTCCCTAAAACCATAAAAAAGTTTTCAAACTTTTTTTTTTCTCTTAGAATATTCTGAACTTTTAGTGATATTGGTAATACGAGTTTTTGTAAATTCAATGGGACGCTTTTATCTAAAATAAAAAGTCTTAATTTATGGGTTTATGGATAATTATGATTGGATTACAAAAATCAGATTATAAAATTTAAGAAAGATACAATACAATATTATTTGGAGCTGTTTTTAATGTTAATTTTGATTAATCCAAAATTATTTCAAACTTTTTAAGAAAAAATAGCGCATTTTTTATTAATAATCAAGAAATAATTCAAAATAAAAAGTTTAAGTTTAGATTCAAGAATAAACCTATGTTGTTTATATATATATTCCTGATCATTTATAAAATCATTGAAGAAATACAAAAAACAAATAAATATCATCTTAAAAATGCTTAGGTTAATAATAATTTTAATTTGCATTTTAGAAAAATAAATAAGTCTAATAAATTAATAAGATTTATAAAAAATAAAGAATAGATATATTATTTATTGTGTTTACTGTAAAAATTTAAGAATTGATTAATACTATTATAATAAAAATATATAAATAATTCATATTAGACAAAATGTAAATTTTCTATCTCCCATGTTATAAATAGAACCAAAATAATGAAAAAAGACTCCTAAAAAAACAAAACAATGCCACCATTAATGACTATGACCCTAAAATAAATATGATAATTACAAATATATCAAATTTGCCTGGCATAAATCTCTCAGGAATTCTTAATGTATACAAAGCTAAACCAAATAAATAACTTGATCCCATTAAAACATAAAATAGAAATGAGTGTTTGAATGGTAAATAATCTGAAATATCCTCTCTGTAAAATCTATTTAAGATTATTAATAATTCATACTCTCGTAAATAAAGATGGACAGCTGGAACACCTGCAAATAATCCTAAAGATCCATACATTAATCCTTTTATTTTTCTCCACTTTTCAGTATGAATAAAATCAAAAATAGAAACAATGTAAGCAGCCAAACAAGCTGATCCAACAGTAATGAGATAAAAGTATCTCAAAAATGCATCACAATAAAACCCATAATAAAATGGAGGGAAGCATGAGCCCAAAATAAGTAGAGAGATACCTCCATAATCAACCCTCATAAGATATTTATTGGCTGCTTCGCTCATTTAATAAAAAAGGTGGAATAATGCTGAACCTGCCATACACATCAATCCACTTATCAAAAATACAACAATAGGCCATCTTGAAACATGATAAGGATCAGAATTGTTCCTTAGAAATTGTTCTTATTTCAAAATAGATGTGTGTGAATAGTCATGCTTATATATTTCAACCCAATCAAATTGTTCACTGTCAATCTTATAATTATTAAATGATCTTTACTTCTTAAATTATTTTATCCTTAAATAAATTAAATTTATTTTAGAATACTATTGCATATTCTGTTACTTCTTCAAAATTGAGTATTTCAATAGTAATTTTCATTAAATGAACAATCTCTTTGTAAGTCTCAGAGGTAAGCATTGAATTTTAGAAATGATCTATTTTATTAAAAATTTCTTCATATTTTTGTTTATCTGCTAGGATGTTTTAGTTGCTAATTGAATTAGGACATTGTGTTGAATTAAAACTAAATATTTGATCAATGTCTTATTCTAATCTTTGTCTATGATCATAATGATAACTAGCAATATAAATAATTAATAGTAAGGTCAGAAATGATCCTATTACATGAGTCCAAACATTGATAAGTTCATTATGTTTCTAAAAGAGAGACTTTAGTACTAACCAAGGAGAAGAATAGTTGATTCTATACCCACTAAGGATGTAAATATTGTCAACTGTATAATATTTAGCAGCTTGATGGATAGTTCCAACATAATGTTTAGCTTAACTTAAAATTCCTTCCATGCAGGTATTAATTTAAATAAAATAATAAATGTATGGCATATTAATTTACAAGAATGCTTTTTAAATAGTAAAAATACGCAATGATTATAAAACATATGCAATATTTTAATAAATTATTCATTTTAATAATATGATTTTAATTAGTTTATAGTGCTTCTAAACCAATTATAAAATTTAATAATTCACTTAGGAAACTCAAATTAAGAAAAGTCAACTCCCACTAACAATTCATCCAATAGATTATACTTCTCTTTTATTTTTTCACTCTTTTTCTAATATTCTCTAAATCATTAACATAAATTTTACTTCAAAAGATCATCATCACTACATTCTGGATCTATTCCCATCTTATTAGCCAAATAAACTCTTGTTAAGCCTTAAATTTCATATTATCTTGATTGTTCAGATTCAAATTTTCTTAATGCACTACTATAAAATGAATATTTCATCATAAAGAATCCCCAAATAGGTAACGTTGTTAAAACATTACCCCAAATAAACCATCTCATACTTGCCATTCCATCTCTTGATTTTATATATTAATGAATTCCAAAAAATGTACCTAAACCAAATCCCCATTTTAATGCAGTGACTGTAAAAGGGAATCTAAAAACATATTTAGCTTTTAAATAATCAAATTTCCCATCCATTTATTCTTCTTCACTCATAATTTTATTATTAATATATAAATTAAATATGGGATTAGATTGCTCAACCTCTAGAAAACCCATTATAGATACAATCTCATAAGAATTCCTTAAAAAAATTAAAAAGAAATTTCCAATTGCCAATCAGATTCTTAAATCAGATTTATCTCCAATTATCAATACACCAATTCTGAAAATCAAAGATAGAACATATCTAAAACTTGAGAGCCATTAAACTTCTGGAAGTTTTAAAATTAGAGGAGCTTTTCTATACTTTTAAGATCAACCCAACCAATAAATTGTAGTTGCAAGTACAGGTAATTTTGCAAAAGCATGTTTTTATGCTTACAAAAGTTGTTAAGAGGAAACAAAGAATTAGAGTGAAATCCTGCAACAACAAGAAAAATAGTTCTAATAAATTAAATAGGATGAATATAATACTCCTACCCCTTAACCTGATTTTTTGCAAAAATAATAATAATAATAATAATAATAATAATACTCTTAAGAAGAACTTAACAAATCCAATTTAATAATATTTGTACCTGAAAATGTAAACAAAGATAAATTAAAAGAAATTACATGTCCCATTATTTATGCAGGTTAAGATTGTATCGAAAGTGAAAAAAGAGCTCGATAATATGCTGAAGAGCATAATAGCTTTTATGCCTCCCCTTATAATGATATAAATATGATTTTGGGTAGTTGCACTATTGGAGAAGAATTAGATTAATAGTAATACTATATTTTTATGTAGTTTTAATGCTTTAAATGAAGAACTAGATTTTATTTTTGTTTCATGTGGAGGTGGTGGTTTGATTGGAGGAATTGCTTTATATTTTAAATATCTAAAAAATAAAGGCACTAAAATTATTGGAGTTTAACCTAGAAATAATGCAGCCATGTACCATGTAATATTACTAATAAAATTAGATCTTGCGTAACAAAGACGACTACAAATTACTTGATACTTTATCAGATGGAACATCTGGTGGAGTCGAAGAAAATGCTATCACTATTGAAATTTGTAAACATCTGGTTGATGATTGGATTTTAGTAAAGGAGGATCAAATTCTTGATGCTTAACTAAAACTATTGAATGAACACAAACTTATTGTTGAAGGAGCTGCAGCATTAGCTTATGCTGGCTTTATGAACTATCCAATAGGGCGTCTTTCATGTCTGATTGTATTATGTGGATCTAATGTTGATCCACAAAAGATTATTGTAAAAAAATGATTGATAATCATTTATATAATAAACATAAACAAGAATTAATCAAAATCATACAATTTCTTAATTATAACTTGGTTTTTTTGATTTTCTTTTACTTTATGATAAAATAAACAAATAAATCTTATTACTTATCTCTTTTGATTCTAAATCTCCTGGAATATCATAAAATGGAATCTATTTGAATAATTTTGTATTATTTTGTAGCAATTCCTTAATATAATTTTTGTATTGTTCTGAATTTGGAAAACATGCAATGATATCAACACTTTGTAAAATATCTTAATTAAGACATTATTTGAATAAACTAAGAATCCCAGGTGTGTCATAAAAATTCAACCCGTGAGTTTCATTCAATTTTATTAAGTGCTTTTCTAATTCTATAAATTTATATTTTTCATTACTAATTGTAGGTCCTAAAGTTTTTTCTGTAACAAGTCTTGTCTTTCCTGATCCAGATGGGCCAATTAACAATACATTGAACTCTGTTAGCTCGTTTGCTTGAAAACAAGAAATTTAACCCATTATTCCGATTATTTAATTTAATTTCTTTCATTTATTTTTATATGGTTTGTTAAATCGAAAATACTCATTTTTTTTAACAAAGTGCTTTGCTGAATTAATTTCTAATTATTAAAGAGAGAATTTTATAAGCCATATAAAAAGGCAGCCATTAACATGAATTATTTTGCGGATTGCTATTGAATAATTTCCTAAAAAGAGGTTTTAGAGATTGACAATAATTTTGTTTTTAAATATTAAGATATTATGAGATTTTTTATTATAACCACGAAAGATTAATAATTAATATTTATAGCAGAAAATAATCAATCAAATGATTAATTATCTTGAGTATTTATTATTCATCTTTAAAATTATATATCATAGTAGAATTTCTTTTTTTTATTTATATTTAATAAATAATTGTATTATGTGATGATGATGATCAATCAAATTTATCTATATCATCTATATTATTAATATTATGAAGGAGATCCACAATAAGTTTCCATTTCTTAGCTATCATCTCAAGTATTTTAAAAAATGTTTAATGTTTGTTTGTTTAACTCTAAACATTAAATCATCAGGATATGCTTTAACATTAAACCATTCTTAAAAATTTTATAAAAATTCAATGAATTAAATGAAACTTGAAATATTTGGTAAGCTTTTGTTTAAAGGAATTAACTTAACCGCTCACAAATAGATATTTGTTTCTAAAGAATATTTTTAATTATCTAAAAATAAGGCAATCATTTTTGTTTATTTAATCAATGTACCTGATATAGAGTGTTTTTTTAATTGCTTTGTCTCTCAACATCATCTTTGATAATATAATCTATTGTTATTGTAAAAAGATATTGTGAAAGTAAATGCGTAGGTTATTAAGGGGCACTCTTTGAAATCAATATAAATTGATTTAATTAATTTTTTAATATAATTTTAAATATATAATCATTAAAATTAATCTATANTCCTAAAGTTTTTTCTGTAACAAGTCTTGTCTTTCCTGATCCAGATGGGCCAATTAACAATACATTGAACTCTGTTAGCTCGTTTGCTTGAAAACAAGAAATTTAACCCATTATTCCGATTATTTAATTTAATTTCTTTCATTTATTTTTATATGGTTTGTTAAATCGAAAATACTCATTTTTTTTAACAAAGTGCTTTGCTGAATTAATTTCTAATTATTAAAGAGAGAATTTTATAAGCCATATAAAAAGGCAGCCATTAACATGAATTATTTTGCGGATTGCTATTGAATAATTTCCTAAAAAGAGGTTTTAGAGATTGACAATAATTTTGTTTTTAAATATTAAGATATTATGAGATTTTTTATTATAACCACGAAAGATTAATAATTAATATTTATAGCAGAAAATAATCAATCAAATGATTAATTATCTTGAGTATTTATTATTCATCTTTAAAATTATATATCATAGTAGAATTTCTTTTTTTTATTTATATTTAATAAATAATTGTATTATGTGATGATGATGATCAATCAAATTTATCTATATCATCTATATTATTAATATTATGAAGGAGATCCACAATAAGTTTCCATTTCTTAGCTATCATCTCAAGTATTTTAAAAAATGTTTAATGTTTGTTTGTTTAACTCTAAACATTAAATCATCAGGATATGCTTTAACATTAAACCATTCTTAAAAATTTTATAAAAATTCAATGAATTAAATGAAACTTGAAATATTTGGTAAGCTTTTGTTTAAAGGAATTAACTTAACCGCTCACAAATAGATATTTGTTTCTAAAGAATATTTTTAATTATCTAAAAATAAGGCAATCATTTTTGTTTATTTAATCAATGTACCTGATATAGAGTGTTTTTTTAATTGCTTTGTCTCTCAACATCATCTTTGATAATATAATCTATTGTTATTGTAAAAAGATATTGTGAAAGTAAATGCGTAGGTTATTAAGGGGCACTCTTTGAAATCAATATAAATTGATTTAATTAATTTTTTAATATAATTTTAAATATATAATCATTAAAATTAATCTATATATTACTATAGATTATCTAAAATGGTTAAATTTTTTGAAATAATGTGTTCATATATTTTTTAATATATAAAATTAAATTTTCTCAATAATGTACCTTAAATATCGTTTAAGTTATTCCTATATGTAATTTAATTCTCCTTTCTATTATGTAATATATGGGGAAAATAAACATAAACTAAAAAACAATAAGTGATTTTAATACTATACAATAAAACAACACAGAGAATGAATATTTTCATTCCTATCATATAATCTTTTTTAACTTAAATTTTTTGGAGAAATAAAAGATTTTCAATTTTATTCTTTAAAAATTTATGCATTAAATAGAAAAATATTAAATTGATAAAATATCAAATGTATTCTTGTTTTAACTATTGGAATAGTTTAATAGTTTCTATATTTTATTATTCCATAATGTCTCTTTTATTAAAATAATTTTATTATATTATTGAATATATAATTCTACAGAAAATGCATATGATAAATACTGCCTTAATTCTTTTGATAATCACTCAAGTTAAAGGAATATATAGTGATTCAGATGTAGTTGATTGCAATGCAGATTTAAGTGATGAAGAACTATCTTATGCGATAAAATTATAAACTCTAGACAAATACTTTTTTCTCATAATTCGTATGTAATTTAGTTATTCTTAGCAATAATAGCCTTCATTTTAACATTGATTATAATGCTAAGTTTTATTATTTATCCGAAGACTTGGAAAATGCCTGGAGATATCATATTTTTTATTTCTTTTTGTGAGGCCCTCTTATGTATTCATTGGTTGAGTACAAGCATATACTTTATGATAAATGAGATTAGTCCATTAAGTGATGAATTATTTTGCTAGCTCAATTCAGTGGTAAGCATATTTGCTGGGACTGGTGATGTCACTTACAATCTTATATTCTGCCTTTATGTTAGAATAACTCTGAAGGAATAATTTTTGGCAAGAAAAAAATTACCTCTCATACTTCATTCTATTGCATTGTTTACGATGATTTCTGTAACGTTGATAGCAAAATTTTTTCATTACAATGGATTGTCATTATTTGGCACATGTAGTTTAAAGTATAATCCTGGATTTAATTTTGCTGGGTTGGTTTTAGTTTTTATAAACACTTTCATGTCAGTTTATACAATGTTATATATAAAGAAGGCTGTTCCTGAGAATCAAAGATATTTAAATTTGATAGGAAAAGTAACTCGATATTATTCTTAATATATAACAGCTTAATTTTTTATATAATTAACTCAAGCAATAAGTTATATCTTAGTTGGACTTAATTGCACAAAATTTCAAAAAGGATGGTTATTAATATTCATTACAATTGAAAATTCTGCTAAATTATGCACTCCTTTTGTATTATCTATCTTAAGACTTAGAGATCCAACTATAAAACGATAAATCTTGCTAATTTGGAAGCAATTTTCATCCAAATCATCAATTGGCATTTCTTTATGTATATATATATCTGATAAATTTATTTTAGTACCTGAAGAATAGAATTTAGTAGTTATTGCTAAAACTTTGCTATTAGATAAGGTTAACACTATTGTTTATAGCATATAATAAATATTCTAATAGGATGATTATACAGAAAATAATTCAAAAGTAAACTATTTATTTTTAAAAAAATACAAAATAAATAATCAAATAATTCATAATGAATCCTAATAGACTTTAGAATAGGATGAGAAAATAACTTAGGAGGAAATCAATGAAGAAAGTTAATTCATTATTCCACCTGAGTAAGACCTAGATATTGAACTAAGGTTAATGGCTTCTACTATGATCATTTATGCTCCAAAAGTTTTTCTAAAGTTGAGAAAAAAAGATTGTAAGGTGAATAATTATTCAGATTCTTTTAATCCAATAGCTAATTAAGAGTAAATCAATTCTTTTACAGGTCCAGATGGTGGAAAGGGAGGAGCATTCTTCTTTTTTACATTCGATAATAAATTATTAATAAAAACAATTAGTGAATAAGAACTTTTAGTAATTAAAAAAAATTTAGGAAGCTATTTCTTTCATCTAAGTAGAAATGAATCTCTAATCTCCCCAATTTATGGAATCTTTAAGTTTGTGTTACAAAATGTATTATTTTACCTTAATTATAGGGTTAAGAGTCTCAAATATTTATAGTTATGAGAAATGCTCTCTAAATTCCATCATCTAATGTAATCAGAACATATGACCTAAAAGGATCCGAGTATTAAAGAAAAGTCTTGAAACAATATGATCTTAAGAAAGATTTGACAAAGACTACTCTTAAAGATATTGATTTTAAAGAAGAAGAAGGCAAATTATTCATTCCTGAAAATATTAAAGATCTACTAAAAGATAATTTAATTAAAGATTCTAAATTCTTTTCAGAATTGAATCTAATGGATTATTCATTACTTATAATTAAGATGAATTGGTCAACTTTCTCTTAAAATAACCTTTAAATGGATATAAATAATTAGTATTAGATTTCCAAGTTATTTAATTCATAATTGAGTTGTATACCATCCATAAAAGAAAAAGGAGTATATTACCATATTGCAATTATTGATTATCTTTAAGAATGGAATGCTGAAAAAAAAATTGAATAGGTTACAAAAAAAGCCATTAATGTAAAAATAGATCTAGATACTTCAGCTTAAAGTCCTTCAGAATATGCAAAAAGATTTATTGAAAAAGTTGTTAATACTATTATTTGATAAGGATCCATAATTATAATTTAAGAATTAATTTAATTTTTTTTACATATTTTTAGTTAATTGAAATGTTTATACTAGAATTTTTATTTCTTTATTTAATTATTTGAATAAAGTCGTTTCTTTAGATTAATTTAAAATGATATTACTAAAATTTTAGTTTTTTTAGATTTGTTATTTAAAAAACCCTCTATCGAAAAGAATTTATAATTACTATTTATCTGAAAATCTACTAGCTTATTTATCAAATAAAAAGAATTTAGCAATTTTTTACAATCATTTTAAGTTCTAAAAATTTTCTCTAAATAATGTCTATATAAACTAATTTATAGAAATTTAATAAGGAGGTAAAAAATATATATATAATTGAAGTAAAAAAATTAATGTATTGAATACTTAATTAAATTTTTTAAGGAGAAAAGGTTGATATTGATATAAATTATACATTTTGATAACACCAAGATTTAATATTATTTTTAATAACTCGATTTTGGCTAGGAATGGAAAACAATTAATAGTAGGTGATTATTGAATAATTCGAAATGATTAGACAATAAAAAATTTAAGAGTATTGCAAACGATAAGAACTTAATAATTTAAGTCACATCAATTACAATTTTTAAAGCTAGCAATAAGAAAATTCATCACAAAAATATTATCAAATAGATATCTTAGAAATTGTATATGATCGTAGAGAAATTTATAGCAATAAAATTAGAAAGATGTAACGAAATCTAATTTTTGAACAAAAAAGAAATCTACATTAAGTACAATCAAAAGAGAACTAAATATTTTTATATCAAGAAGATGAATGCTTTAAGATAACCAATCAATTTATTGGGCTTATGTCACCATCAAATAAATATGAAGTTTTATAAGGAAGCTAGGAATCTGATATATAATTGGCGGTAGAAATTTGTAAGTTAAATTTGTTTGAAGGAATTGAATTGAATTTCCCAACCTTTGTCAATACTGACTCTATGCATTAAATTTCAAGACTTTAACAATAATATTAATAATTGATATAACTATATCAACAATTATCGATTGAATCTTAATCATTTTCCTAATCCAATTCATCTTCGCATTAAGAATCATTGGAATCTTCTTCATAATACTCACATACCTCATATTATAGTTCCTAATCCTCCTCCTAAGATTTGTAAATTGAAAGGATTAGATAATTGATAATTAGAGTAATAAATGACCTTGAGTCGATAACATCATCCTAAACTTATGATTTTTCAGAGTTTTCAGAAGGCTCAATTTTTGAGAATCCATCTGAATTTGATGATGATCAACGTACTGAAACAGATGATTACTGATTGTTAAATTATATCAATATATGCATATAACAATAAGTTAAAGCAAATTGAAAGACTATATCAATTATAGTTAAATTTATTACATAATCAATAAAAGATAGACATATAATATAATAAAGGTCTGAAAAAAAAGATTCCTCTGTATTTTATATCTTAAATTTATATCAACAAATTCATTATTCTTATTTAAATCCATATTTCATATTAAATCTATTTTATGATATCAATTTATAAAATATTAGTCCTTATTTAGATATCCATTTCTAGGGTTCAATATCTATAATATTCAAATTAAATTTAATTTTGGACTTAAATCTTTCTACTAAAAAAATAAAAATCAGATTCTAAGATTTTCTGCTAATATTTTTTTATATGAATTTTGTTAATTGAGTAAATATCAAAAAATACAAATTTTTGCTTCAAATAAATTCTTAAACACTGAAAATTTCAAGAATACTAATTTCATTATTAGATTTTTTTCACTTTATTAATTAATTTTTCTTGTATTAAATTGTAAAATCATTGAAATCTACTTTATCAATAACATATTTGGATGATTTAGGTTTGAATAGAAGTTTTTTAAAGCATAAATAATTATATATTAGAGAATAATGATTATAGGATATGTCAAATATATCATAAAGTATTATTCTAAATATTAATATAAGAAATGTACTCATTCTTAAATAAAAGAAATACTTCTTTTGTAATTCTAAATTGGCAGTTAATCTAGATTTTTTGATCCAAATAATTAAATCGATACTTATATTGAAATTAAGGAAATAAATTACTCTTAAAATCAAATGTTATCAGAAGAAATTACTATAGCACAATCTATTGGATCTATAACAATTATTCTATTGGTAATGTATAGATTCGGAAATGTTAAAGATATCACTATTCTGTCCAGAACAATGGTGTTCTTAGACTACAATCAAATGTGATATCAAATAAATTCATAGAGTCAGATTATCATTAAAGTTACATATAAATTGCTAAGATTTCAGTTTCATTATTTGCAACCTAGATAACTAATCAAAAACTAGAAATATTTGTAATTTTTTAAATTGTTTTATATTCTGATAAATTAATTATTTTAAATTAGATTATTTTCAAAAATTTAAAGATATTCATAACCACAATAGTATGATCAATATAATTTTTATTGTTTTTTAAATATCATTATTAATTTTTCACTATTAGTTTGCAAGACAAGTATTCCAATATCTTAATTTGTGAGAATTGATTTAAGAAAACCCTTTAAACGGAGAGAATTTTAAATTAATTAAGAATAATAGTATATATTAAATATGTAAAAATTAATTTATTAATTATTAATTAATAACATTTTAATAATAATAATCAATATTCAATATTTACAATTGATTTAATTTAAACAGTGTTGTATTATCTAACCATCTCAGATAGGCTAATTATTTTAGCTTCAGTATCTAGTATATCTTCTTAAATTTAAGTTTCTATTGAATCATCATATAGAAGCTAATTTTCAACTGGGATTTGTAGGTTTTTCGAATTTCCCAGGTAATTAATAGATTATATGGTAGAAGATTAATCCTTCATAGAAGATAGTAGCATTTTAATAAATAAATCCTTTATGTAAGAGTAATCAGGCATTTCATAATGTTTGAGAACATCAATATAAGAAACAAATTTCGAAAATTCTAAAGGGAATTTGATAGATAATTCCATAGAGTTAAAAAGAGAAGTTTTCATCTCTCCAATAAATTTTATATCCATATTCTTAAATCCCATAGAAGGTCTAAAAGACCATGGCAAATTAACTAGAGTAAATTTTAATGAATACAATTTCTCAAATAGACTAATACAAAGAATAAACTTTCTAAATCATCCTTATAACCTAATTATTGACCTTTATGGGATGCTCTGCTGGCAAAATTTAACGATCCAAAGAATACATTTTTTAAGAATTTTGAATTTCTTACAGATTGAGATAAGCCAAAGTCAATGAGTTAAATGTACCCAGGCTTTAGTATTTGATCTTTAGAATGCTTTTGCATTCCTTATGAGATCATTATATTTTCTGGTTTAATATCTAAATGTATTATGTTTTTTTTATGAACTTTTTCTAAAGTCTCAATTATACTTAATCCTATTGCCAATATGTTGGATAAAGATAATGGTTAAGATTTTACTAAATCTCGTAAACTACAATTTAGGAGTGGCATAATAAGAAAGCATCTAAATTTTATTATATTGTTCTTACTTATTGTCTGGGGTCATTCCATGATTTATTATTTTTGGGACTCCTTCTATTTCTTGTAATTCTTTAAGGACTTTAATTTCATCTTGTATTTGACCTGACTTAGGGCGTTTTTCGATTTTAATTGCAAATAACTATTGGGTTAGATTATGCTCTGCCTTAAACACTTAATGTGCTGAACCTTATCCAATCATTGAGAGTACCTGATATTTAGAAGTTTGAAGATACATTAAGTAAACTATTTTTAATTATGGAATTTTAAAGGAACAAAGTTCTTATTGAAAATCAAAATGAAGGGGGATAAGAACTAATATATTTTATAGATCCTTATGTTATTAATCTGAATAACTGGACGCTTTTTAATTTATTATATTCTTTATTACATTTGTATTTTGCTTAATCTATCAATTTTAAAGTGTCATAAGAAAGAGATGATTTACTATACTTTTATTTCTAAAATCTAAACTTATTCAACTCTTTAATTTACACATGATTCTAAATGTTAATTGAAGTACCGAACTATTTAATAGGATTAGTCTTTTTATATGTAAAAATACTAAAATAAGTTTAGATGCATATGATTTATTTAATATAGCCTTCAGTTAAAATATATTTATATATAATTTGATTCTAATAATTGTAAAATTAGTTGAGTTTATTAATTCATATCGATAAGACAATTTTGGAATTGTAATCAATAGAGAATTATATAATTTGCTGCACCTTAAATAGAAAATAAAATACAAAAAAATTTAATTTTTTTCCCAAATTTATCTATATAGTTTATAAACTATATTCAATTATTTAAGCCTAATTAAGACTCAAATGTAATATGATAATTTATCAATAATTAAAATCATGATACAACAAAAATAATTAGATTATGTAACTAATTTTTCATGTTCTTAACACATAGGATAACCAATAAATACAATACTATTAGATTAAAGCTTATTAATTGAAAAAAGATTATTGTGTTCCTATTGTGTGGAAAATATTGATTAAAATTTAAAAACTATTGAGATTGAGAAAGCTTTGGAGATAACTGAGTAGAAAGTCAGAGAAAAATCAAGAAATGATTTAGACTTTGTTTAGTCTCAAATTATTAATCTACATAAACTATAAAGTAATGCATGTCAAATGAGATCATATATAAATTCATAATTAGAATCAATAATATAAATTAGCTCTGATTGGATAAAAGAGTTGAAAACTTTTAATAACTAATATTAGATGCAGATTATGATCAAAGAACTTGATAATCTATTGAATTATTAAAATAAAGAAACCGAAAGAGATTCAAAATTAACAATTACCAAGCTTCATCAAATTGCTGTATTATAAAGTTATCAAATGAGTATCTACCTAGAGTAATTTAGTTCCTTTTAAGAATATCAAGAGTGTCAGCAAATTTTAGAAATGATGACTAATATTGATAAAATCAGAATATAGCATTCTATTTAGGAGGCTTCAAAAACAAAAATTTAACCATTTACATTTGAAATAATCGCATAGAACTCTATCAAACAACCTGAATATTGCCAAGCCATAGCTATTAATTAAGATAACACACTAGTTTTGGTTGGATGTGAAAAAGAGATCAGAGTTTTTGAATTAATTTAGAATAAACTTGTTCAAATAGATATATTAAAAGGACATAATGACTCTATATTTACACTTGATTTTTTCAAGAAATAAAAGAATTCATTCATCTCTGGATCTCGAGATGACTCCATAATGATATGGTTATATCAAAATGAAATGAAAAAATCTTGGTCATGTTCTCAATAATTAGTAGGGCACACTTCCTCCATACTTTGCTTAATATATAATTAGAAAGAAGATTTAATAATATCTGGGAGTGACGATAAAACTATAAAATTTTGGAGCTACAATCAAAATTGTGAAAATAACAATAAATAATTATGGTCTTGTTCCTAAACTATAAGAAAACATAGCAGTTATGTTTATGCATTGTCTTTAAATGAAGATCAAACAAAATTAATCTCATGTGGACTTGATAAACTCATTCTCGTTATGGAATTATTAAAAACTTAATACTCATATTCATGGATAGTATTATAAGAAATAAATGTTGAGAATGATGGATATCGTTTATGTTTTATAGAGAATAATATTTTTGCCTTTCAACCAAGATCATACTCAAAAATGGATATTTATGAAATTACTGGTAATTCTGAAGGGCAATTTTTGAAAACTAAAGAAATAGATGTAAAGGGATATAGTCAATCTTGTGATAATCTTTTTCCTTCAAAATTTTCTATTTAAAAATGTATTCTTATGATTAAGAATGGCAAAAATGTCAATTTAATAAGATGTGGAAATTACTGTAATGGAAACATAGTTAGTGAAAGATAATTTTTTTTAGAATAAGTTATTGAATTCGATGATAATTGTATTTATGGTACACTTAGCGATGATGGACAATATTTGCTTACCTGGGATTATTTCACAAAAGAAATATAAATTAGATGTTTTCAATCAAAAGAATGAAATTAAAATATTAAAAGTTTAATATATAATTAAATAACACATAAATATTTTATAATGAAAAACCTATTTCATAAATACTATTCTCTATAAATGATAGATGTTTCATTTAATAATTTGTATATTTTCTAAAATGTTAATTCATAAGATAAATTATTAATATTTGATAATATATCGATCTTATTATTGATTAGAATTTATGCAAAGATATTAATAATTTAATTTATTTATATTTAAGTCTAAAATAGCGCTTCTGCTATGATAAGTCCCTTAATTAATTTTATCCTATTTTTTGTTACTTTTAAATAGCTTAGATAATATTAAGATTATAATTCAAATAAAAGGATTTGTTTTTAAATTTTTTTCAAAAATAAAAAAATTGTATTTTATTATTAAAACTTATTCATTTCATTATTTATAAGCAACTGATGGAAAATATTTTCTTATTTTAAATTAATTTTACTCATCCCATGTGATTAAATATTATCCATCATTGCTGACAACTCCATATATTAGATTATTTTTAAACTAAATTGAATATTCAATTTAAAGATCTCCAGCCATATTCTTCTTTATAATATGGATATAATTATCATATTTATTAATCAGGATTTATTTCTTCATTATAAATACAGAAGGGAAATACCACATATTTTCAGTTCTACCATATTTCAAATCAATAATTTTAATTTACTTATATCCTTCACCATTAGATTTGTATACTTCCATAAATTAATCATTATTTGGTTGATAAACGAATTAATTAATATCTATAAAAGTTAATTTATATCCAGGTTTTACTCTTATGTTTTAAATTACTATCCAATCGTTGTTGGGCTGTTTATTCATCACCAATATGGTTCCATCATTATCACAAGATATTAATTAATTTTAGTTTTCATTTAAACTAAGACTTATAACCCAACTTTTATGTTCATTGATTATTTTTTTGATTTTCCATACATTTTGAAAATTCCAGAAAATTATGGATTTATCATGGCTGCATGAAATAATTAGATCCTCTTAAGAATTCATGAGGATTTGATTAATTATATGAGTATGTTATTTAGCTTGTTATTACATCTACCATTTATTATATTAAATTTATTTCCAAAAAAACATTGATCCAAAAATATCTCCTGATATAAATTCATTAGAATTTTTCATAAAGTATAAAGCACTAACATTGTTATTATGACCATTTAAAGTTTGTAGACAATGTATATTTCCATTATCAAATTCAAATATTTTAATAGTATCTTCACAACCGGCTATAATTATTGAATTTTACTAATTAAAAGCAAATACAGAACATTTTATATTTTATTCCTGTATATTTGATTTAATAATCTCATAAGAAAAATTAACCTCTTTTTTACTCTCAATTATATTTTTTTTAACATTATTATCCTATTCTTTTAGTTAAATGATCATCATTATACATAAACTAAATAATATACCAAGAATCCATTTTAATTGAAACCTTTTTTTTTAAGGTATTATTTTCATTTTAATGTCAACTTATTGACTAACTATACTTAAATTGGGTCTTACTTTATAAATCTTTTTAATTTCATTTTTTTCTAAAATTCTTTCAATCTCTTCTAAATATGAATTATAATAAACTTCTTATTATTTTCTAAATGTATACAAATATTCTTGATTACTTAGATTTTCTGCTATTTCATAAATTTATTCTATTGATAATCTTTCCGGTTTTACTTCAAAAAAATTTAATTATTTTTATAGATGATGTAAACAATACTATGTCACTTCCTATATAATATTCAGAATCTTATCGTTGAAATTTTAAAAACTTATTGAATAATTTTAGATTTATTCCATATTATATAAGATATGAGTTCTGTTTTCTTTAGAAATTACTTCCCATTATCCAAAAAAAGAATCCAAGCATTTGAATTAATCAATCATATCTCTATTTGATTTCGGTATTTCTTCAACACATTATGGGCAAACAAATCGGCCTTTAATAGCACTTACTTTATTTAAATCCACCATAAAACATTTTTTGAGATGAGGCTCACAAAATAATTAATTCATTCTGATTATTGTTATTATATATATATTTTATTGAAATTCATATAAAAATATAATCTCATAATTTATATTTAATATATATAAGATCAAATTAATGAATCTTTTTTTTTATAATAATCATATAGTTTATCAATTTAGCAATCATAAATTTTAAATTATAAATTAAACTACAATTGTATTTATTTGGATTATTGTTTTAATAAATTTTAATTGATGAGTTCTTCATAAAATAATTAAATAAAAGTTATAATTTAAATTGCTCAATTAAAATAAAATTTTGTAATCTCATGCATTTTAGTTAATGACTGTATACGTAATAAAAGTTTAATATATATTTATATTTAATCAAATCTACAGTTAAGGAGAAATTTATTATATTGAAGGTTTCAAATTTTGATTATAGGTAGAACTTCATTTTTCTTTTTATGAGTGGCTAATAATCAAGTTCATATTTATAGAAAGATTCAAATTATGATGGTAGGTGATTATGAAAATAATAATAGAATAGGAAATTTGGAAATTTATTAAAGAAACACCATACCTAATCTTAAAAAAATACTAATTATATTAATTAGGAATATTCTAATTCCCTATTCTTTAATTGTAGTTATAAAAATAATAAGATGTAAATTAAATGGAATATATATTGTAAAAATAGTTATTAAGATTAAAATTACTTTCTGTAAATAACTATTATCTAGTATTATTATTTAGAAGCAGAGAGAATCATGAAAAAGAGTATGCCATTAAAGATGAGATATGGAATGAAAGTGAGGATATTTCTGATTTTAATAATCAAGTTTCAGGAATCAGAAAAAATATTAAAATAAAATGAAATTATATCAAATAAGAAAATAGTTTGTGTTTTTTTTTAATTTTAGCTATTTTTTTGAGCTAGAATTTTCTTAAATTTGTTTTTCAAATTTAAATAAAATTTGCAATTATTTAAAAAAATGAAATATTGCTGAAATTCTTGAAAAATCTAACTAAAATGCTTGAAAATACCTCAATTAGATCAATCATATCTAAAATGAGTTTTAAGATTTCTTTATACATGGAAAATCAATACTAAGATCGAAATATTAATAGACTACTTTTTGTCAAAATTTGTTAATTAATAGTACAGCTTGGTAGCCTTGACACTTAAAATTGGGAACTAAAAAAATGGAAATGCTATTCAAGATTATTAAATATTTTTGATACCACAAAATATCTCTACAGTAAAATAATAAGTCATGCTATGATGGATAGAATATAAACTAAATTTTCTATAAATACTAAAGAACTCTAAGGTAGACATCTGTAATTAGTCGATTATTAAATTATTTGTATAAAGTAAATTACATATAGGCTTGAAAAATATCAATTACATAGAGTTATTCTTTTTTTTTGTTCCTTTCTTTTCTGGGATTTAATAAACAACACTTTTAAATATATCTATTGAGGATTTGCTTATGATAAATTTGAAATATAAGATATTGCTTTATTTAACTAAGTTAATTTTCTTTTAATTCAACCAACTTTAATAGGAGGATATTTATTTATTTTATTTTTTCAATAAATTAATAAAAATATAATTGATTTAAATTTAATTCAAAATGTTTCAAGAAAGATTGAGTATTTAAACTTTTAATTGAAATCTTACGCAAAAAAATTATCCTTAAAGCATTAAATAATCTATTTATTGGAATTGAAAAAATATTGTTGAAATTTTAGTTTAACATTATGCAGTCAATTCAATTAATTTCTTATAAGTAGAAAATTTATTTCATTGGATCAATGTTTGACAATTCTATTTAATAAATATTATGAAGCTATCGTATATCATTTACAATAAACATTCTGAAGATCTTGACTTTTGATTAAATTATATTTCTATTAAAAGTTGTAGCACTTTTTAAGTAATTTATTATTTATCTAAGTCTCTTCTATTTGAAATTTATGATTCTGAAACATCTGACAGATATAAATTCCAATCAATCCAGAGATTCAGATATTTATAATGTTTATTTGATTAGTTTCTATATTTACATCGTGGATTTGATTCCGATTAATCAAATATTCCTACAGAATGCATTTTCTAAATTGTTGTTTATACATAAAAATCTTGTCAATATTAAAAACTTAGAGGCCAAAAAAAACCAGAAAATATGAAAAATAAAAAAAGAATTCTATTGCTTACATATACAATAATTCTAGTTTAACGATTAGAACTTTACAAAAGCAAAATTAAAGAATTTTTATTCAAGTATACTAATAAATTATGATTTCTAAGTTAATTTTAGAAAGAATAAAACTAGCTAAAGCTTAAACTATGAATAAAATACACTTGGAAGGATGTCTATTGGGTAAACTTAATTCTTGTTGTATAGATGAAAAATTATTAAACCTTTTTAATACAATAATTTTATCAAATATTCAACGTTTAGGAAGGTAAAAGCTGAGAGGATTCAACAACTTTTGTATTTGTTTAAAGATTTATATAAAGAAAATTTTTAATTGCATGATAAAGTTAAGTTATTTAATTTTGTTGCTAAACGTATTTTGAATTTAATCTATTTAAAGTTCTTCACACAATTTCAAATCATGGAGAGTTATATTTAAATAATCTTTATTATAATCCTTTATTAATATAATAGATTTAACAATATCAAAAAACATTATAATTTAGTGTTACTTATAAGGGTGTAAATTGTTAAGTAACTGAAGGTGGAAAAGTTGTTGAGTGTCCTGGTGGTAGTTGTTGTAATGAGATTATAGAACAAAAAGTTTAATCAATATTGAGGTTTTATTGTAATTCATTTATCTATCAAAATTCCCAACAAAGATTTTAAAGATAACTGTGGGTTAAGAATGGAGAAATAAATTTTATCAGATAAATGATTCATGTTAAATATTTAGTTTATTCAAATAAATTCAAACATGTAGCATTGACTTTAATTTGAATCAAAATAAAATCAAAATATTCAATAATAAGTTTTAGGTGATTATAATTTTCTATAATCTTAAAATAAGAAGGTCAGTAACCCATTTTAGAAATATTTACATAATCTTTTTTTATTCTTGATTTAATCAATAAAGCCAATTACTATAAAATCTGATTTAGGAATTTCAAAGTTACTATTTAATTAGAGGTAAAACCATTAAAAAGCATAGATGAAACCAACCTATGAAAACTATAAGAATCCATTTGAATTCAATATCAAAGACAATCTAAGATTTAGAATTATTATGAGATTCTTTTATATGAGTTATTTGAATATTTTGATCTTATCTAAGCGAATAAACAAAAATTATATATATTTAGCCTTGCTATAAAGATATATATATGGTTAAAAAATACATTTATAAATATCTTATCAAATGGCTTAAATAACTTAATTGTAATTGTTTAAATATAATTATGAATACTTTTTTAATCCAAAAATTTGGATCTAAACTTGTATTTTTGAATAACATAATGGTGATTTAAATTATTTTGGATAACATAAATAATTAATAGAATTATTTATGCATTTATTGGGTATGATACCAAGTAAAGAAAAATTAGAATATAAAAAGATTTGAAGTATTTCATAAAAATACTTAATTAATAATAGATTTAACAATATCCAAAAACATTATAATTTAGTGTTACTTATAAGGGTGTAAATTGTTAAGTAACTGAAGGTGGAAAAGTTGTTGAGTCTACTGGTAGTAGTAGTTACTATTATTGTCTTTGTGAATAAGCAATTCCAAAGACTGGGAAAATATTGTTTGCATTCTAAATTCTCAGTTTAACATCTAGTATGTTTATTGGAATTGGATTTAGAGATATTATATCAAAAAATAATTATTAAAATGGAGGAGTTGGGTATGGGTATAGGTATTAAATTATAATAGATCATATATGATACGTTCAGATGGTTGTATATACTCACATCATAATAAAGATATATATGGTAAATAATTATCATTTACATATACAACTAATGATATAATCATAATGGAAGTAAGTATTGAACATAAGTATATTAAATGGACCAGATAAAATAATCCATTAGCAACAGTTGTAATTATCTAATTCAAAGAATAAATTAATACAAAAATCTTAGCATTAATTTATATGTCATTAACATTAATTGAGCTAATAATGGATTTCTTTCAGATTCTTTGAGCTTATTAAGTTTTTAAATTCATTTTGGTTTCTTCACTTTTTCATTTATTTCACATTTCTAGTTGTTTATCAGAATCAAAATTCGAGAAAATTATTTATAACTTATGGGAATATAAATATAAAAGTGCGATCACTTTTAGCTTGTATTTCAATTTATTCAAGACTTCACATTAAAATTAAACATATTTAGAGAAATCTACTCAAAATCCTTTAAATATTAGAGAGATGTTCTAAATTAATCCTTGATTGAATTCTAATTTATGTGGATTTTGAGTGACTGAAAAAAACTAATACCTTTAAGGAGTCTTTAAATTCAGGCTTTAAATTATGAAAAAGTAGAAGAATTAGCATATTAATCAAATTTTTAAAGTTTTTATATAACCTTTTATAAAATTTAGTATTTTTTGCTGTTAAGAGCCTTTTGTTTTTTGAAGCCAAAGTAAAAAGTAAGTTATATGGTTTTTAATTATAAAATCTCTAACTTCACAAAAAATTATTCTTAGGATAAGGACGGCTAAGGATAAATAAAATTGAAACGAAAAGAATTGAAATAAATATTCGAATCTAAAATCCTATTACTGTTTTTTTTTTGAAACATTGTATTAGCAGTTATACAACTTATCAATAAAGGATATCCAGAAGCTTTATTGAAAATTAGAAAATGCTTATGATAATATACAATATTCTTAGTGCAGCACCAAAGCTTTTAACTTTGTATCTTTAGGAAAAATTTGACATTTTTCAGGAAGGAATTGAGATTTGACCATAAATCTATCCTCAAAAATTCAATAGAAATGATTGCATAGTTAAGAAATTTCTCATTTGCTAAATAAGACTTTATTACCTACTATATATATAATCAAACTTTTTAAGTCAATAATAATTTATGGATTACAATTAGGAACAAACAGTTCCTGTTGAAATTTTAAATTAAGGCATCAATAATTGCTTCAATACATTTAAATTTGATACTTTATAAGTTCTGAAAAAGTGTATTTAGGTTCAAAAATTATGATAATTTAAGATTATCCAAAATTTTCAGATATTCAATAGGCTTAGTATAATAATTAAATAAATCTTGATATATTATATGATTTCGACTTTATTTATTTAAAATATGATATTTTATTTAAAGATAAAAATTTTGTATAAATCAAATCTATAGCATAAAATAGTAAAAAGGAAGTTCCACTTTTTCCTAATTAAAATTAAATTTAACAATAATTTTATCCTCTTACTATTCAAATGTTAATAGAAGATACATTATTGTTAAACAACCTATAGCAGCGATCATCCCCTTGATAATCAAAATTGAGATGCTATTTCTACGAACTTGTACCTTATGCACACTAATTAAATGAATAGTAATGGAAAATAAAAAATAAATGTTAAAATACTGAAAAGAACCAATTTATTATGATAAGTTAAATCAAATTAATGATTTAATGATAAGATTTATGATATCTATTATGCTTCTGCAACTCATAATCATTTATTAAATTTACAGAATTTATTTTTTTGAGAGATTTTACTAATTTGTTATGAAAATGTACCTCAAACTCCCACTCAGCTTGTTCCGAATACTTATAAGATTTTTCAATATCAATATGAAAATGAGTCTCCTATTCCTACTTAATCTGTATGATATTGCTATTAAAGATAGTTGGTTTTATATTTTATACCATTATATCTTCACTTAATTGGATCAATTAATTAAGAATAATTTTTCAAATTGGATTTATATTAAGAATTAATACAGTTAATCAAGCTATAATGAGTATAGTTATATTAGAAGAGCTAAGAGCTTTACTTCCTAAATATTCAGTAAAGGATTAATAGTATTAAATGTTATAAATAATAAACAGTTGTATAGATTTTTAAGAAAATTTTACTTACAAATAGTATTTAAGTTTGTAAAAAAAAAATAAATGTTGAATTTTCATTTAATAGAAGACCTAAGTTAAAATTTAATACAATTAGTATGATAAATTATAGTGAGTCTTTGTAGATGTAGCCTCATGGTTATATAAGGATACGCTTAAATATATAACAAATAAGGAAGAAGAAAGATGGAATGAATCTGAAGATTTTAAATAATATTAGATTAAATAATCTATTCTCCAAAGTGATAGCATTTCCTTATATTACCTATTGATATGAAAAAGTGTAAGAAATATCAGATGAAGCCATACTTAAAATATTGATTAAATACATTTAAGCAAGCCTCTTTCTAATTAATCATCCTAATCATATATGTTAAGTTGACTTTTTTGTATAGGCATTTTCATTAGAATTTTGGGCTTAAATAAGAATACATCAAATTATTCAGGTACTTTTAGATGAATAATCGATCCTAATTTCTGGTTTGTTACTAATATGTATTATTGCTATCGATTAGTTGAATAAAGGCATTACCTAAATAGAACTTTTAATTCTTAGTATCTTGTTCTATGAAAGAGTATATAATCATTTTTACTTATAATAACCTCAATTTTTTGATAGTTCTTAGTCAAAATTAAAAAATAAATCCATCTTCTTCATAATTATTGTTAGTTTTGAAAAATAATTATTCATTATCAGATAAATATCAAATACTAATCAAAATCACGTATATAGCTTTTATTTAAGAGATCAATTAGTCTTTAAATTCAGCATAAAGTATTTTTTTTAGTTCATATTTACTGTATAGAGTAACAGGATCATTGATTTCGATGCATATAACTTGAAAAAGATTAAAGAAATAGTAAGTTGAGAATATAATGATGCTTTATGTATAATAAATTCAAATTTCTAAATTAAAATATAAATAATAACTTTATTTTTAATAATTAATATATATTATTATTATTTTCTAATGATCCAATGCAATAAAAAGGAGATTGATCACATATTTAAGAATTCTCCTGTGAATACTCACTTTTTTTATTAGGTTTTTATCCTTCTAGTAATATTGTAGAATTTAAATTTATATATATTATATATTCAATATTGAATATAGAAATGTTTAACAGTCTTTATCATTCCAAATGTAAATTGTAATTTAGTAAATTCTATATTAATAAAAGATTAATTTATTGTTATATTTAACTATTTGATTCTATTTTTTTCATGATAGATTAGTGCTTAAATTACTTTATTTTTGATTATGGAGCAAATAGATGTTTCATTAAATTTAGACGTGATATCATTTTTGTAATTAATTTATTCGTTACCAATAAGAATTTATTGTATTGAATATCAGTATTTAAACATTTTATTTCTAATTATTTATTGTATTCCACCAAGGTATCTAATATTTGACAGAGATTTGAAAAAGTATAAGACTTTATTAATTTACAGCATAGATCTAAGTTCAATCAAAGACAAAAAAACATTTTCTTAAATTTTGTTTAATGAATAGATTTTCATCTATATAAATGGATTAGCCCCAAATATTTATTTTTTATTATTACTTTGAAATCCAATTTCTGTCCAATTATAATTATTATGGTTTAAAAATTACAAAAATTCCTAACAAAATAAAGTTATAAAATAATTGCTACTTTGATTTTAACTTACTCCTCATGTTTTGATATGTATAAATAAAATATTAAAACTAGTTGAATAGATAAAATGTTGAAAACTGCTAGATACATTGAATATAAATTAAATTTTAGTCTCAAATTTTTAATCTTCATATTATGGAATCTGGGGCTGTTATTTAGGTTAAAATTGTATTCAATGGAATGGCAGTTCTCCATCAAATACTGCTAAATTAAAATTCTAAAGATTTTATTGAAGAAGTTAAATTTAGATCAATTCTAACCTTCAACAATATATTCTATATGAAGACTCAAACTTAATTTATTTTAGTTTAAAATTTTAGTTAGAAAAAAGATTTACTTATATCTCTTTGATGATGTATAATTTTATCAATAGAATTTCAATTTAAAAATTAAAAATTTAAAAATGGTCTTATGTAACTAATTGTCAATTTTACTTAGGTGGAGGTATTCTGTATACGAAGGAATAGTTAAATCTTCAAAGATATTAACATGAAAATGACAGAGTAGAAATTTAATGTTCGATTTATCATTTAATGGATTTATGTTAAAATCATAGATTCTTTCAGATTTTCGATAAACAATTTTCAGTAAAGATTCACCAAAAAATATTTTCTATTTAGAATCCCTCATCTAAATTCAGAAGTTCTATTTTTTACTAAAATTAACTGAAGCCTGCTTAATCTGATAATCTAAGCGAAATTAAGAGGTTATATACTTATAAAATGAATTTAGTTTTTCGAAAAATATAAGAAATTAAGCAAGGAGTTTTAAGAGTAGAATCTTCCTATTGGCATAATAGCTTTAGTATTGAAATTTGTAAATTTAGATATTTAGTTAAAATGAATTGTATAAAGTTCACTATTAAATTAAAACTTTATGGAATTTTAGATATATAGGGATATTATTTAATTGCAATAATCAATATAATATTCTATGTAGGCTGGAATAATGTCTACCTTAAATAATCAAATGGTAGATATTAAGCATTGTCTTGACTTATAATAGTTTATGAAATATTGAATAAAAATAAAAAATATTTATTAAATGCACGTTGAATATTATGATAAATCAGAAAAAAATAAATATAGTTTTAAAATAGCTTTATATCCTTCAAAATCTTGGAAATTACCAATTATGATCTAAAATTATTAAGAATTTTGTACTTTACATATCTGGAAGCTTAGGAAGATCAAATTTATAAAATTGCACAAAACTTTTTGATTTACTTTTTTATCTGTAATAAATTTTAATTATATGTGTATTTTAGCTGGTTTCATTTATTAATCATCAAAAATTAAAATATTGGATAATATTATTTTCTAAGGATATTTACAATATTATTCTTAATTTTAAAGAAATAAAATGTGGTGTTTTATGCTAAAAACAATAAATTTTATTTAAATACAATTCTATAATTTCAACAAGAAATTATTCAATATTAAAAAAGGCGAAAATTGAAACACTTTTCAGAACATAAATGTTATCTATCTTGATTCATAATATTTTTGTAATTAAGAGGAAAAAATATTTTAAACATTGTAAAAGTTATTGAAAAATGTTAATTCTTATACAATTTAATATATTTAATCGGTTTCGCTTTTTAATTCTTAATCAAATTATTGCTAAAAGTTCATTCCTATCCTATTAGAAACATATCTTTAGCGGTTGTGTTTATTTATTTTTAATTGCCCTATCTCATTTTTCGTTTATTTAACTAAAAAAAAGAATCCCTCATTCATTTAATTATATTAAAAATATAATCAATTTCTATAAATTAAATGTTTAAAATTTTATAAATACAATTTAGACTTAAAACATGTCAGAATAAACAAACCTAAACACAGTTTTCAGACTTGTAAGAGAAGTTGTAAATTCATAGTTTACCTCTCAGGATGAAAAATTAAATTTGTTTAATGATTTATAATTATTTTTGTTTTATATCTAGTATATAATTAATTTACAGTTTAAACTATTTCATCTTCCAAAAAACATCATGTTCTTTATCAACTTTTTTGTTTAACCAAATTAAATTAAAAAAATTATGTTATTTTTGATATAAAATCCTTAGTAAATACACAATTATATTTTTGCTTCAAATTATCTCAAATCACTTAATGAAAAATCCAATAATTTATCCAATCTAAACAAGATATATAGGATTTAATTTTAGATTTAATACTTTTCAACATTATCTTGAGAATAAACTAACAAGATGATTTTCTAATATTGTTACATTAAACTTTAGTTACTCAAATAATTTAACTTTAATAAGGTTATCTACAATTGAGTTCTAGTAACTAATTTCATTTTAATTGACTTAAATGCCAAATCGTTCAAAAAATGAACAAAATAATAAGAATTTTATATTATATGTTTATTTTTTTTATTAATTGAAAATCGATTTAATCATAAAGTTATGTCATTTCCTTAATTACTGTATAAGTCATCATTATATTGATTCATTAAGTAACCCACTAAATTATTCTTATTAATTCCTTTTAAAGTCAATATATGATAATTTCTGACTTTCAAATGCAATCGTCAAAAAAAAGATAATAATTAATTATTTTTTATTTACATTATGGACTTTAATTAAATAAAGCTTCACAGTAGCCTAAATATATTTTGTGTCTCATGTTGCTTAGAATTAATTCTAATTAATTTTTAACTCTCTTCAGATTATCATAAGAATTTATTTTAAACTAGAGTTATTTATACAATTAAAAACCGGTTTGATAATTATTTTTATAGAGAATAAGTTTTGAAAATGAGCATCTTTTTGAGAATATGATTAAATCCTTTTGTTTTGTTAACTCTCGATTCGCTCTCTCTTGAATTCGGTGGTGGAGGATTACATATAACATAAAATTTAGTCTTAAAAATATATTATTTATAAAGAGTGTTTAAAGAAAGAATCCTTTTAGGACTTATTATTTTTCTTTTATGATAGATTATGTAAAAGTTTATAACAATATGAAGAAAGAACCTAAGAATTAAATTGTTTGGGAAAGTAGAAAAAAATATGTTATTTTTTTATATTAGATTGGTGAAAATTATTGTTATTCTTGAATAACAAATTAAATCGTAATTTTTACATGTAAGGCTCTATTTAGATAATAACAATATCAATCTGCATGCTATATAAAAATTTAGTTGAATGTTTTTGACAATGAGTCATAATAGTAATATAAATACTATTAGATTTATTTTGTAATTATTAAAAATTTCGGTTAAGTTTAATATCAATGAGGGTAGAAGTAAACAAAAAATGAATTTGTAAATAATTATATATATAAATTAAAATAGAAAACACCAAGTTTAAGTAGAATTTGTTTAAATCATAAAAAAGAAATAATAATGATTGATATGGATACTGAAAATAAGAAAATTGAAGATAGATTAGTTTGTGTTGATTGTATATCTGAGAATCCATTAATTAAATATTAAACAATTGAAAATGTAAATAAATTATGGATTGATTATAATTCATAATCTGAAAATATATTATAAGAATATAAAAAGGAAATTAAGCATAAAAAGAATGAATTATTCAATTAAATATCTTAAATGAGAAAAAATTATAATTTAAAATTGAATGAAATTAGTGATAAATTAATTTAAGAATAATTTTAATCAATTTCAAAACCTAAACAATCTAATTAAATTAAAACTATTTCAATATAAACTTTATAAGATGAATAATTATTAAAGGATTTAAAATAATTAATAGAAAAAGAAAAAGTCAATTCAAATTAAACTATAACAACTTTAAAAAATAAAGATTCAATTTTTTAAAAAGAAATTGAAAATCATTTAGAATCATTAAAATAATATGATTAATTAGATATTTAATAATCAATAGATATACTTAAAGAAATACCAAGTATTAATTTATATATATATAAATTTTTATAGTTGAAAGAAATGTAATTGTATAATTATAAGAAGTAATCTCTTAAATATCTAAGATTCCATCTACAAATGATAATAATTATTAAGATTAAGTAGAATTTATTAAGAATATTTAAGAATTCATTGATTAAGCTAAAAAATATTAATGTTAAATAAATTTATTTGATTAGACTATAACATTATTTTAATAACATACTAATAATATAGATTAAATATAATCAAAAATTTAAAATTAAATTGTAAATAAATAAGAATAAATACAAATTTAATATTAGAATTTATCAAAATTATTAAATGATTATATTATAATATTTGATAATAAAACTAAATAAATTAAGAAATATTGTAATATTTCTAAATTAGAGATGGATTTAATAAAATTAAATGAATTAAATTCAAATTTAGAAATTTAAAGTAATTTAATTAAATTAATTAATAGAAACAAATATATAAAATTAAATGTCAAAATAATTAGATGAAAAACATCAATAATCTTAATAATTATTAAAAGAATAATAAGATAAATGTATATTCATATATATATATATATTATTTTTATAGATTAAAAATAAATTGATGACATTAATCTAAAATTACAATCAAATGAAAAATTAAATTTAAATTTAAAACATTAATTTGATTTAAAAACTTAAGAAATAATCAATCTAAAAAATTAAAATGAACAAGATAAATTAAATATTATTAAAAATATTGAAGATTAAAGTATTCAATATTATTATTATAAATAGAAAATAAAGAAATAACAGAAATTAATAAAAGATTAAATTAAAAGGAATCAGAATTATAAACAATCTAAAAACAATTTGATTAAATTAATCAAGAAAAGTTATAAAAAGAAAAATAATTAAAATTAGACTTAGAAAAAGTATAATATAATTATAATACTTTATTAATATAATAGATTTAACAATATCCAAAAACATTATAATTTAGTGTTACTTATAAGGGTGTAAATTGTTAAGTAACTGAAGGTGGAAAAGTTGTTGAGTGTCCTGGTGGTAGTTACTATTATTGTCTTTGTGAATAAGCAATTCCAAAGACTGGGAAAATATTGTTTGCATTCTAAATTCTCAGTTTAACATCTAGTATGTTTATTGGAATTGGATTTAGAGATATTATATCAAAAAATAATTATTAAAATGGAGGAGTTGGGTATGGGTATAGGTATTAAATTATAATAGATCATATATGATACGTTCAGATGGTTGTATATACTCACATCATAATAAAGATATATATGGTAAATAATTATCATTTACATATACAACTAATGATATAATCATAATGGAAGTAAGTATTGAACATAAGTATATTAAATGGACCAGATAAAATAATCCATTAGCAACAGTTGTAATTATCAAATCTATTATTAGTAGATGGAAATAGATACATCCATATCATAAGAATTATATCCATGTGTATTCATTTATTAATCATCAAAAATTAAAATATTGGATAATATTATTTTCTAAGGATATTTACAATATTATTCTTAATTTTAAAGAAATAAAATGTGGTGTTTTATGCTAAAAACAATAAATTTTATTTAAATACAATTCTATAATTTCAACAAGAAATTATTCAATATTAAAAAAGGCGAAAATTGAAACACTTTTCAGAACATAAATGTTATCTATCTTGATTCATAATATTTTTGTAATTAAGAGGAAAAAATATTTTAAACATTGTAAAAGTTATTGAAAAATGTTAATTCTTATACAATTTAATATATTTAATCGGTTTCGCTTTTTAATTCTTAATCAAATTATTGCTAAAAGTTCATTCCTATCCTATTAGAAACATATCTTTAGCGGTTGTGTTTATTTATTTTTAATTGCCCTATCTCATTTTTCGTTTATTTAACTAAAAAAAAGAATCCCTCATTCATTTAATTATATTAAAAATATAATCAATTTCTATAAATTAAATGTTTAAAATTTTATAAATACAATTTAGACTTAAAACATGTCAGAATAAACAAACCTAAACACAGTTTTCAGACTTGTAAGAGAAGTTGTAAATTCATAGTTTACCTCTCAGGATGAAAAATTAAATTTGTTTAATGATTTATAATTATTTTTGTTTTATATCTAGTATATAATTAATTTACAGTTTAAACTATTTCATCTTCCAAAAAACATCATGTTCTTTATCAACTTTTTTGTTTAACCAAATTAAATTAAAAAANCTTTATTAATATAATAGATTTAACAATATCAAAAAACATTATAATTTAGTGTTACTTATAAGGGTGTAAATTGTTAAGTAACTGAAGGTGGAAAAGTTGTTGAGTGTCCTGGTGGTAGTTGCTATTATTGTCTTTGTGAATAAGCAATTCCAAAGACTGGGAAAATATTGTTTGCATTCTAAATTCTCAGTTTAACATCTAGTATGTTTATTGGAATTGGATTTAGAGATATTATATCAAAAAATAATTATTAAAATGGAGGAGTTGGGTATGGGTATAGGTATTAAATTATAATAGATCATATATGATACGTTCAGATGGTTGTATATACTCACATCATAATAAAGATATATATGGTAAATAATTATCATTTACATATACAACTAATGATATAATCATAATGGAAGTAAGTATTGAACATAAGTATATTAAATGGACCAGATAAAATAATCCATTAGCAACAGTTGTAATTATCAAATCTATTATTAGTAGATGGAAATAGATACATCCATATCATAAGAATTATATCCATGTGTATACATTTATTAATCATCAAAAATTAAAATATTGGATAATATTCCAAATTGATAATGGAATGAAATATCATATATAAGTAATAATTAAAAATTTAATATATATTATCTATTTTCAAATATTTATATATGTTTATAACAATTTATAACCATCTTTTCATTCTTCAAATACAAATTTTTGTAATTTTATTAGATTTTTAAATTGATTCAGTCAAAAATGATATTTTCAATTTAATCTACATTCAATCACAAAGATTTGAAAAATAATGGGGTTAATTTTTCTTAATCTTTTTCAAATCTATTTGATTGATTCAAATTACTTTTGTTAATCAAAATAATCTTATAAATTATTTTTATTCAGAACATACCTATTATTAAAAAATAGATTTTTAGAAAAATACGTAAAATTATTCAAAATGCTTAAAACAAGAAAGAATTCATCGTTATTGTTAAAGAATTTCATCCAAAAACTGAATTTAATAAAGGCAATTCATCATTACAATTTTTATCACACTTTAAAGCGTTGACAATTGTAAATGAAGAGGATTAAAATCAAAAAGCTTTGAAATTTTAGTATATTAATATATTACAAGAATTAAATTTTTCAATATTGCAAGAGGTTGCAAAATCTGTTTGGCATTTACTTAATTATTTGGGCATTCTTATAAATTTTAAAGGAATGAATACATGGTCCTTTAGTGGTGAATATATCAAATTAATTATATATTTAACTTGAATTTAATCTATATCACTATTTAATGAAATTTCTTGTGTATTATTATTAAACTTAATTTTATTGATTTCCTTATCAGACTTAAATTAATAATACCCCTTAGTTTAGTTTAGTTTCAGGTTGCAAATAATACTAAAATGTAATTTTTTTACTATTTATATTAAAACTTTGATATAAACGTATGCATCATAATGTAAGTTTAAGATAGAAATAATATTGATTAAAAATCTCAATTATTTCTAACAATCATGTGCTCTCAGGATTATTGAAAAGATTAAAATTTGAAGCCATAAAAAGTTGTAGGATTTTTTAGTATCATTTGATAGAAATAAAAACAAAATTATAAATTCGCTCAAATTCCCCTCTCTATTTTTTTGGAAGTTCTTATTTAAATTATATAAAATTTTATAGAATATAAGAGAATTGTATTAGTTGCTTTATATATTCTAAATAAATGTCTTGAAGATAAATCCAATATATGATTTATCGATAGTTTAAATTTTTGTTAAGGGATCTTTAAACTGATAATATTATCTAGACTATTTTGGTAAACCTGATACTTTCAATTCTTAAAAATTTGAATAAAAATGAAAAAAAAATGATATTAAATTAATTCTGATTGATAAAATATAAGTGTAAATGTTATTGTTGTCAAAAATTTTGAGGAAAAATGTTACCCAATATTGAAATCATATAGATTGTAACTTAGTTATATTGTGATATATTCTTTTAAAAATTAATCTCATATGGAACAATAGATCATATCATCAAATTATTTCATCATTCTTTATTATTATCATTGTATATTTAAAGTAATTTTATAGCCCTAACTGAAAAATGATAAAAAACCTTTTTTTATCTTAGTTGTAATACAATTAAATATTTATTATAGATTTTGATCGTATGTGTTATATATTTTATTATGGTAGCTTAATTGTTAACCAAATACAAAATTATTAAATTTTCAAATTGTAAGATGATTTAATTTACCTTAAACTAGATTTAAATCTTTCTAATTTAGACTGAACAGAAGATTTATGCATACCATTTAACTATCATTCACATAATGCTGCTCTCCATCTATTCTCTCGATTCTTTGGAATATGATTTAATTGAACCAATAAAAAATTTCTGAATATTAATACAATATATTCTAGTTTAAAGTCCTTTTGTTAAATAATTGCTTATTTATCAACTAAAGTATATTCTTTATTTTCAAAATGTAAGAACTTATTTAACATTTAAATCTATGTTCCTCATAATATATATTACTTTCTGATCTTCTTTATTAATTCTTTATAATCCTTTTTATCTGTATGTTTACGATAAATAAAGTAATATAATAATATCAATTTAATTTGCAAAATTTGTATAGTCTTAAATTTATGAAAATAATTCTAATAAATGAAGTTTTGGTGAAAATCTTCAAAATACATTGATTATCTTAATTTAATTTGATCTTTATACATATACTTCATTATGAGTTAAATTTTGAATTTTTATCTAATCAATCTCATTGGATACAAAGCTTTACCTATATTGATGAAAAATTCTTTGATTAAGGTAAAAATAAAAGAGTCTATCAAAAATTCTATCTATAAAGAAAGTTGTGTAACTCATAAATTGTAAAAATTTCATTTTTAAAGGAAAGGAATCAAAAATAAAAAACTAAACCTTACAGAAAAATTGCATTTTTGAATATTCAAACAGCATATTAATTATATCATATTCAAATGAATTATGAGAGCCGTTAATAGGTCACAATTGTTTTGCGTTTTCTTTCATTAATTTATTAAAATCATCTAATGCGCTTTAAAAGAAATTCTTAATCCTGCATCCTAAAAATTTAAATTTAGTTTAACAAAAATAGCAGAGAGAAAATTACAAAATTATTGTTTATTTAATGTAATTTTGGAGCATTAATTTATTTTCAATTAATTAAGTTATTATTTCAAAAACATTATTATATCTATACTTATATTTCAATTAAGGTATCAAATTTCTTAGTGAGAACTCATTTAATTAAAAATAATTTAAAAATACTATCCAATGGTACTTTTAGAGCTTAAAATTTTTAATTGCTGAAAGTTTTGTTAGCTAATTATACGATTATATTAGGCTAAAAGATGATCAGATATT